CTTACTAGACATGATAAGGACTGCTAAGGCTTGAGATATATACACTTGAGTTGAGCCTTATTAACCCAAAAAAAAAACAAAAAAAATATTTTGATGCACTTTGAGCCAAAACCATAAGCATGGACGACATCGTGTCTATGTAAATATTATTTCTTCATATTTTTATTTTTTTTTTAACATGATTTTTAATTATTAATCCATACACAAGTAAATTAAACTTTTTGTGAAAATCATTACACTTGTCTATGGATTATTTATCTGACTCGTGCTATTTTACGTACCAAACATTTGAAGTCCTTCTGAAGGACGACGATCTTCTCACTGTCTCCCTCTTTCTAATCATATTGAAACGACTAGTTAAACCATTGATATCGCTTTTTTGCCTAACTCAAACTGACCTTCCCATTTTTTTTGTCTCCTGTTTTGCAAAGTTTTTTCTAATTCGCTGGTTAACTTAAACGTCGAAAAATCTTCATAAGACCATCCCCATTTTTGTCTCCCCACATTACATGACCGTGTTTCTGTTTCATGATATGCTTATCCGTCTAGCATAGTAGGCATTCTCGCATATTCGTATTGCCAATCAACCTCATAGATATTCCCATGAGTGCGTCCTCGCGGAATAGTTCCCAATCCAAATGCCTAATAATTGTGAAGAGTGAAGTTTTTATTTCTTCTCAAAGGTCGGATTGCTCACATGTTGATAGCAGTCAGTAATGTGCTGAGGTATATGGTGGCATAAGACAAAAGTAAGTAAAAAAAAATCCTAAGACAAAAGAAATCTTAAGACAAAAAAATGTGGTCTAATAGTCAAAAAAAAAAAATGTGGCGTAAAGGTCAAAAACAAATTGGTGGCTTTAGGCAAATGTCTTTTTGCTAACACCATAAGCACGGCTCTGGTTGATACACGCCGAAAAGTAGTAAATCCAACGTCCTTCCAGGAGAACTTCTCAAATCTTCCGACGAGATTAATTTTTATAGTTACTGTTCACGTAACTATAACTATAAGTGACTTCTTATATACTGTAGTCCTCAAAACGGTTAAATTGAATTCTTTTTTCTTGATAACACGTGAAATTTACTACTTTAATGGAATCATAATGACAAAGCTAATATTTTCAACCAAAACAAATCATAAGACTTTTCTTTCTTTGACAACGAGCACTAAGCACCCTCTACTCGTCCAGTAAACTAATCACCATGTAGATATTGTTGTTTAATATTTTTGAGAAATAGTGATATAATATGTATAAATGTATGTTTCTGTGTAATGTGTATGTACAAAGAGTAGCGTTGAATAATAATGGAGAGGATGGGAATGTCGTACTTATCATGTGCGCTTCTGTGATGATTCCACATGCATTATGACCCTCCAAAACAAAACAACACGATATAAAGAGCAAAAAAATAAAACCTACACTTTGGATTCATGTTCTTATTCTCCTTTTTCTGCTTCTCTGTAAAAGTTTCCCATTATTGAACAACCTAGAAAACAGATGGTAAAGGCTACAAATTTCTTCGGAAAAAATTAAATTACACATGTAGACAATTAAATAAGTTTCTTTGACTAAATTCTAATTTAAATCTTTTCTTTTAAATAGTTTATTACTTTAAATTCATTATACGGTTATAAAATATATATGAACCGAACCATCTTTTTGTCTATCATATTCTCTCAAAATATTAGACGACAAATTAAGAACAAAATATTAATCTCCCTTTATAGATTTATCTACCATCTATAGAGAAAATATTGTGATTACAACAGATTGCTTCATTATTATCTATTTTAACGATTAGAAACCGAGACTAAAAGGGATGCCGGTTGAATTAAGCCATGTGCTACCATCGATAAATGGACCAACGGTGAATTGGGTTGCCTCCGTTTCGTTTTCGATTCGTCGAAAACCGGGCCATGTGACCCGATTTGTCATGTTTGCCCCAGGCCCTTCATTCATATACTCTCCATAATATAAGGTTTCGAGTGCAAAATCATTTCTCCACTCCAACCATCCAGCAGGATGTATGAGATCATCAATAAATGATTTTATGATAACCGTCCTAGAATATTTTCTCCATGGTCGACCTAAGTACGCCGTGAAGTTTTCTTTCACAGGGATCAAATCAGGTGCGGCCAAGATTCTACTATGAATTATAGATATACCGGTGGGCTGGTCTGACTGATTGCGGCTTTGAGCAGTGAATGCAATTTTTTGTTTAGGATTTGGTCTACGAGCATAAAGACTACAATTCTGGAACACAACAGCCGCGTTGCCGAATATGAAATCGATTGTACCATATATATCGCATTCTCGATAGAATTGTTTGGCTGAATGAACATAAAGGGTGTCTTGGTAACCATCGAACTCACAACGATAAAAGGCAGAGTGATCAGAGCCGCTTCGCAATGCCACGGCCTGTTCTTTGGCCAGTCCAGCAAAATTCACGAAGGATATGTCCTTAGCTATGAAACCTTTACCTTTCACGCCTGCATAAAAAATTATGTCTAGTTAATACTTCTTTATTATAACAAAGATGGGAAGATATGAAAACAGAGGAATTGTATGAATTTATTTGTTGCGGAGAGATATCTTTGTGTTGGATTTTATTTGGGCTCAAGGTGTAATGAGATCTCAGCCCATCCTTTAGATGAGTATATATATTTTGTTATCATGTAGTTTTCCACACTCATTCTAACAAGCATTTTTAAAAAATGTGTAGTATGTTTGAATTGAATAACATGGTCTATATCTTTTTTTAACTAAATGAAACTAAAAACATATTTCTTTTCATTTTTCGACAATTTCTTGCTTCAAGATCGATTAAATTTTAGAGTTCTGTTAGATAAGTACTTTATAAGACCATTAAAATCCATGCATGAAACTAGATCTCTTTAAGAATTTTTTTTTTTTTTTTTTTTTAAAGTTTGATATGATAGATATTTAAGATTAGCTATGGTAAATAATGTTTAGCACTACAAAGCCAACGGATTAAAAAGTAATTTAATAGAAGAAGAGACTAACCAACGGTAGCAGTTTGAAATGTTGACCATCCATCAATGCGGCTGCGGTTTGCTTTTATGACTGTTTTTCCGATACCATCTCCGATAAACATTATCATTGTCTTCTTCTTCGGTAATTCGACGTTCTCAAAATATTCCCCACCTTTTATATAGATAATAAATCTACCCCACAAAATTTTGAGGAGTTATATTATAAATAATGTTATTGGACATATACGGAATCATGCATATCCTTAGTTCAACATCACCAAATTAGTAACCATCTTTATAATTAATTTTTTCAAATGTTGACGTTTATACATTGACTACATTGAATTAAGATTTATGTACGTACCTAGTATCACTCTTGTTGGGAGCGGCAGAGACGGCGGCATTAATGGTTGTGAAGTTTCCAGTACCATCAATCGCCACTGAGAGATTAAAATTGGTGATCTCTTGTACTGGAGCCTCAAGGAGTCTCTTATCATTCTCTGAGACCCAACTCGGGTACTCAACGTCAACTTCAGATGATTCTGGGGTAGGGTTCTTCCCCGAGATCATCTGAAGCATATCGAGGGAGTTGCTAAGGTCGTTAGAGATGTCTAAGATGTTCTCCTTCAAGTTCTCAGGCAATTCATACATCATATCATTATTATTCTCATTGTCGCTTGTCGAGAAACCATCAAGACATGTGTCTTGGTCTGTCATGGCGTTGCTGAGCAACAAACTGACGTCGTTGAACTCAAGAGAGGAAGATTGGAGTTTGGAGATTGCGGTTTGGAGGTCCGAGATGGTGTCATCGAGTAGTCCGAGACAGTCTTCGAATGCGCAACGTTCACAGTGGGTTAGGTTTGGACCAAGATGTGTTTGGAGGTCGGAGAAGTTGGAGGAAGCGAGATTTACCTTTAAGATGGTTAGGTTTAAGTCGGCGATTATGAGCTCAGGGATGGTTTTGGTTTCGGTTAAACGATGCGTTTTGTGAGTGGTGTAGGATGGTGAATGAGATGAAACAACGGTGGATAAGAAGATTATGAAAAAGATTAATGGCAGTAACTTGAAAATTATGTGAATTGGTTTTTCTCTAATTGGATTCTTCATCTTTTTCTGTAAGTTTGTAGTGAAATACAAATATTTGAAAAAGTACTGAAAGGTGGTTTTATATAAAGTATAAACTCCCAAAGGTAAACTTGGGAGAAGAATACTGTATTTTGTTAGTCAAACTAAAATCCTTTAAATTATGGTAATTGTTTTAACTTATAACTAATTTACTCACACACATGTAATAACATTTGAGTAATTGAAAGTCTTTATTCAAATTGAATATATTATTGTAATAAATTCATTAAATTACATCAATAGTTTTCCTATCTACGTAAAAATGCATAGACCACACATTAAAAAAAAAAAATGCATAGACCACAAAATTTTCCGAATACATATACATACACTGGTACACTACACTAGCTTCAAAAAAAAAAAATATTAGCAATTCACAAACTATTTAATTTTTAACCCAAAGATATACATGAAATTTAGAGTTTTACCCTTAATAAAAAATTTCTTTGCTTCCTTTAATCTTGGACTGAAGCATCCTCACCACTTTGGAGTCCTAGCTCACTTTCTTGAAGAACAAAAAGAATATCTCTATACATGAAGAACTATGAGCTACGTGTGTTGTAACGAATTATAGTGGATCGCTAGAAGGATTGTGACCGAAACGTAGGAATTGATCACATCGATGAATTCGAATTCCTGAAAACTCTTGGAGTTGTACTTGTTCTGTTTTCTTTCATTTGTGTGTGTGTTTGTGTCAAAATCTCAGAGATCTTGTTCCAACAAAAACAAAGTTCAATTTAGATGAGCTCGTTTGCAAAACTTTAAAAATTAAGTTGTTTTGTAATTGCATAATAGTATATGAAAGATATTTATTCCCCTCTCTTCACAATCAGCAATTAACAGATGAAAAAGGAAACCACACTAAAATGTTTTTTTTTTTATTGAGACACTTAAGATTTTATAAGAGGAAGAACATATATGTGTGCATTCTGCAAGTAATGAGCCGTGATAAAAATGTCTAAAAGACTTGATCCTGTGTTTACAATCCTATGAGCAAAGTAGTAACAAAATTTTGCGCATACATGTTTATCAAAATTTTAAAGATTAGATCAGAGATCAATAGTAAAAGGAATTCCGGTAGAGTTAAGCCATTTGTTACCTTCGATAAATGGACCAACAGAGAATTGTGTTGCTTCCTCTGCGGTTTCGATACGCTTAAAACCAGGCCATTGGACCCTGTTTGTCATGTTCGACCCGGGACCTTCATTCATGTACTCTCCATAGTATAAAGTTTCAAGGGCAAAATCATCTTTCCACTTCAACCATCCGGCAGGATCCACCAGATCGCCAATAAACGATTTCATAATAACCGTCCTAGAATATAGTTGCCACGGACGACCTAAATATGCTTTAAAGTTGGCTTGCACAGGGATCAAGTCTGGTGCGGCCAAAATCTTGCTACTGATTATAGAAATACCAGTGGGTTGACTTGAGTTTTCCCGGCCTTGAGCGGTATATATGATTTTTTGGTTAGGATTTGGTCTACGAGCATAGAGACTACAATTCTGGAACACAACCGATGCATCACCAAATATGAAATCGACCGTGCCATATATATCACACTCTCGATAAAACTGTTTGTGTGAATGGACATAAAGAGTGTCTTGGTAGCTTTCAAAGCTGCATCGGTAGAAAGCAGAGAGGTCAGAGCTGCTTCGTAATGCCACAGCCTGGTGATTAGCCAGTCCGGCATAATTCACGAACGACAAGTCCTTAGCTATGAAGCCACTACCTCTCACGCCTGCACACATCATTTACAAAAAAGACTAGCTAATTCAGTGAATCACGATAACCATTTTATAATCGTTAGTCGTTAGTGTAAATAGCCTATGTTATATGACTGATACTATTTAATTAATATTAGCTGCAAAAATGTTTAGCATTATAAAAGTGAGGGACTACAAGGAAATTTAAGAAGAAGGCTTACCAACGGTAGCAGAGTGAAATGCTGTCCATCCATCTGCAAAGCTGCGGTTAGCTTTTATTACTGTCCGTCCGATTCCATCCCCAATAAACATTATCATTGTCTTTTCCCTCGGTATTTCAATGTTTTCAAAATATTCCCCACATTTTATATATATCACAAACCTACCATAAAAAATAATCAATGTACAAAGGTGATAAAGAAAGGCATAGTTATGTATTTTTAAGCTAAAAAATAAAGACATGTATAGTAAAATAAAACATATATGAGTATTGACGTCCAAAAGAAAAATATATATTGTTACACATACATGTAGGTGCCGATTACAAAAGGAAAAAGATCATGAAAATATAAAATGTATTCTTAAAACATATTTTTAGAATTTTATCTGAATGATGTAAAACTAAATGGACAAGAACAATATCAAAACAATTTATGGAATTTTATGTTTAATTGGCACTTTTATTCATAGTTTATTTGGAGATCTTTTCCATAATTCATGTAGAATTATTCTTGATTCTTTGAATACCTTTTATGAAAATTTGGTTACCTCAATCTCAATATCATTACTTCTTTTTTTTTTGTCACAAACAAAAGTAAAAAAAATAATGATCTCAACGCAACCAGACTTCTTGTAGAAACTATTGATGATATATTTTGTGATCATATGATAGTTGTTTTAATTTGTCATTGATTTTGCGTAAGAATTAGAAGGGAAAAATCTTGTTCTTCAAGTTTAAGACATTCGTTGTTGTTGTAGCTGCGATGAGTATAGAACAAGTTTAAGATATTTCTTTGAAACAGGAAAAGTAACTTGAAAGATATAATTTCATCGAGAATGAAGTTGGAAAAAACGTTTTTAAACAGGCAGAATGTTATTGTCATCTACACGTTACCAGCTCTACAAAGTTCAAAAAAAAAAAAAACCAATCAAAATCGAGGAAATGGAACGAATGAATCGTTAACCAAAACAAAACTTTGAAAAGAAGACAACAAAAAAGTGTCATTTAATATAATTTTTCGTAACATGTAAAAAACATGGAGAATGTTATTGTCATCTACACGTTACCACAACAATCGAACCTAATATTTAACGTTTTCGTACCTGGTTTCACTCGAGTTAGGAGCGGCAGATACGGCCTCGCCGATGGTTGTGTAGTTGCCGGTACCATTTTGAGCCACCACGAGATTAACCTTAGTCTCATCCACCGGATCTTGAAGTAGGTTCCGGTCACTCCCTGAGACCCACATCGGAAACCCAACGTCCTCCTCTAGTTTCCCCGGAATATTCCCTGGAATATCCTCAAGCATAGCTAACGAGTCGCTGACGCGCCTAGAGATATTGAAAAGACTCTCTTTCAAGCTCTCAGCCACTCCATATGTCTTATTATTATTATTCGAATTCTCGTCGTTGTTGCTAGAAGCAAAACCATCGAGACACGTTCTTGTATTCGTCATCGCGGCGCTGAGAAACATTTTGACGTTATGGAGCTCCGGAGAATGAGACCGGAGCTCAGATACTGCGGTAGTGAGATCAAAGACGGTGTCATCGAATAGCTCGAGACAGTCATCGAATGCGCAGCGATCACGATGGCTTAGGTTAGAGCCTAGACGGTTTAGGAGGTCGGAGAAGTTTGAAGAAGAGAGATTGACCTTTGAGATGGTTTGGTTTAATGAGACGATGACGAGCTCAGTGATGTCATCGGAGGAAGTAAAACGCTGCGTTTTATGAGATGAAAAGACGGTGGATAAGAAAAGTAGGAGAAAGGTCAAACTGAGAATAATGTGTTTTGACTTTTTCGTCATTGGATTATACAATTTTAAGAGAGAAGCTGAATGAAACAAGAACTTAATAGAATAAATTCCCAACGGTAACCATAGAACAAAAAAGAGTGACATAGAAGTAATTTATAGAATATCTAATGTGATCTGTATATGGAAAGAAATATGATGATATCAGTCAGATTTCAAATTTGTTGAATTGAACGTAACAGGAAAGAAAAATCCTTTGGTTTTTACTGCTTGGATCTCACAGTTTAGAAAATTTGTTGCCTAATTAAAGAACTGAGGGGCTGACTATTGGTATTGGGTTTCAATCCATCGAACTCGGCCCATTAACATGTGAAAGACCTAGTAAGTCTAAAGAAACTATCGGATTTCGGCCCAGAAGTGAAGGTTCAAATCGACTAAGTACCAAACTCGTCAAAGTTAAAGCCCAGTCACAATCTCCAACAAGAACGACGCCGCAAATCTTTTGGACGACCTATTGTACGAAATCATCGGAAAAATCCTCAAATGGAGATTCCGCTTCACGCCTTCACCGCTAAAGTTTCCAAGAAATTTCACGACGTAGTCAGGGCAGTCAAACAAAAATGGTGGTCCAATTGTAAAATATAAAATATAAATGTTTTAGAGAATGATACAATTTACAAATTTTTATATATAATAAATAATCGTTAAATTTTAAAAATTATTATTTTTAGAAAACAAATCACGGGATGGGTTAAAAAACTACATGACGATTATATTTCGGAACGGAGTTATATGGTGGACGAGTTTGAATCAATATTTATAAAATTTTAAAATATCATTAACATACCGCTTTAATACAGATTAAATCTTCAGTTTATTACAATATATAAATGTCTTAGAGAATGATACAATTTGTAAACTTTTATATATAATAAATAATTATTAAATTTTAAAATCATTATTTTTAGAAAACAAATCACGGGACGGGTTAAAAAATTACCGGACGGGTTATATTTCGGAACGGGTTTATATAGCGGACGGGTTTGAAACAATATTTAAATTTTTTTAAAATATGCCGCTTTCATATGTGTTAAAACTTTAGTTTATTAATAATTTTTTCGTGGACTCGTGGTATACCGTTAGTTAGTAACAATTGTAAACTATAAATATAAATATTTTTTAAAGAGATACAATTTACAAAATTTTATATATATATATTAATCGATTTTTGGTTTCTTAAAACCTTAAACAAAATTGATTTAGGGAAAAAGCTAGGTTTCCGGTCTTCTTTTCCGTCGAGACTGAGACTCCATCGAAGACAAGGAAGGGCAAACAAAAAAAATTGATTCATTTTTTAATAGAAAAATTGTTTTTCTATTAAATTTACTATATGGTTTAATCAAGGAAAACAATTTGAATCATTTTGGTTTGAATTTCTTGATACGTGAACGAAAATTTCTTTTTTCTAAATGTTAGCAAAAACAATATATGTTTCTTCATATAGAATTTCAAAGCTTCCCATAATGCGTACCGTTTGGCCTGTCTGTATTTATGTCGGCATACAAGTGAAAAAAGGTAAGAGAATGCATGCCGTTTTTCTCCATATTCATTACATTTTTGTACGTGTCACTTTCTTTTTGGGGCAAAAAGTTTTCACGTTAGACTCAAAGTATGGCGCAATTCTTTTTCATTAACGTTACTTATAGTACTTGTTTTAGAATAACGGGTTAAACTCTATTTACAAAATGAGTTTAGTTATCAATTTGACTTCTAGAACCTGCACATAAGAATCGAAATCAATCCAACCACGTGGAGTTAATTTTGTTTCAGTCTACTTTTTTCGCAGTGAAATAGCATTAATGCCGTTAGTTGAGAGTATAGTTTTCTTAGAAACGTTAAAACTTAAAAGCAGACTTGGCATTGATTTTTTTTGTGTAAGGATATATAGTTTTTATTTGATTACTTTGCTAATTCTGACAAAATCTTGAATAAGTAGATTCTTGATTTTGAAATAGTAGATTATTGATTTTGCGTGTGTCTTTTACATGATATTATATACACAAATATACACAAATTTATGTTACTATAAGAAAACACCTGCAGATTACGTTTCTGTCACTGTTTTTTATTGGCAAACAAACCTCTAATGTATCTAAATAGTTGACCCTTTTTATTTTTCTCTTTAAGATCATGTTTAATTCAAATAAGTTATACCAATATAAAATCAGCGAAAAAAGAAAACAAAACATACGAATCACGAATATAAAACAATAAATTGTCGGAAGAAACAAGTACTAAGAACATGCAACTAAAACGAATGTTTGATTATTTATCTAGTCTTTGGCTCAGAATCCATCGTTTTCGGACATTCTGCTTTTTTTGTTTTTTTTACCTTCCGATAGGCGATAGCATGCAATATTCTCCAACCAATACCACAAATAAAAACTATTATATTGAATTAGGTTAAGATACAAACAAAATAATAGCTAGTATTTGATAACCAGTGTAGTAAAAGTGTAAAACAAACTTCAAAATTCTTTACGATTTTAAATGATTAGGATTAATTATTTAGTTCAAATGCAAAATCTTAAGTGTGGACCACGACGATTCTTCATGGGTCTTGACTCTTCTTGAAGCTCAATTATTTGTGCGTGTTGACCAAAAAATTGTTCCTGTTGAAACAAAAATTTTCTATACCCTCATGGCCTCATCAAATACATTTTTCAAATATGTTGACAAAAATCAAAAGGGAAAAATGCGTTCTAAATTTATGAGATCTCAGTTCTCTACTAAACAAATAAAAATGTTAGTCCTGTAACTTTACAAAAAGCTGATTTTATTTCTTCTCATATTTTCCTATTGAAAAATTTAGGTGTGTTAATGATAATTGAACAATTAAACAATTTATCACAAAATTCCAAAAAAAAACGAAAGACAATTAAGTTATAATTAGGCTCATATAGTCAAATAGCCAATAATTTGCCCCATACCTAAGATAGTTAATTTAGGCGAAACGACGGAGAATTTAAGGACAATTGACTATAGAAATGACTCTATATTATACTATTCACAGTGTCTCAAATATATAAAAATTGCCTAACACATATAGGCATGTCAATCGGGCTAGCCCGGCCCGGCCCGGCCCGAAGCCCGCAAAACCCGTACATATTTGAGCCCGGCCTGGCCCGGCCCGTAAAAATTCCGAGCCTATATTTTAAAGCCCGGCCCGGCCCTAACAGGGCTACAGGGTTTTTCCGGGCTTTTTTGGGCTTTTCTTCCGACAACCAAAAAACAAACTTATAATTAATAATATCTCTTAAAAAAGAATCTATATATGAAACGAGTCAATCAAAATTTAAATAACCGCTAACGCTAATTTAGTTTTTTAAAAAAGAGTTAAAATCAAATAAATAATCCAAATAAATTGTTTAAACTTATACTATATAAAATATAAAATCAAAATAATTCAAATTAGGTAGTAGAGCTAATATTTGCTTTTTCGATTTATAGTAATACACAACAAAAAAACTATGTTTAGGGTTTTCAACTCTATCAAAAAATTTTTTTACAACAAACCTTACAATTAAACGAAAATATTAACAAAAAAAAGATCAAAATATTTTTTAAAGGGCTTTTCGGGCTAGTCCGAGCCCGGCCGGGCTAAGCCCAAAAAAAACTTTAGCCCGAACGGGCTTAGCCCGAAAGGCCCGATTTTTTTCTGGACATATATTTTGAAGCCCGAGCCCACTGTTTTTCAGGGCTGGGCCGAGTTAGCCCGCGGGCTTTGGCCCTAATTGACATGTCTAAACACATAGCCACCGTCGTTGACAACTTTTCTTAATTTCGAAATTTACAACATATAGTATATAAAGAAATGAATGAAAATGGATCTTTATATGTAGTATATAATTAATAGAGGCAAGACATGAAGGAAGATGGATCTATACCAAAACAGCTGGGCAGCTTTGAAAATGCAATGTTCGATGATAATAATATCTCAATAACTAACAACGCGTTTTTATCTCAGAAGACTCCAATATATTGACTTGGAACCACTAAAAGTCGCATTATTATTGTTTTGTTATATATGTAATCCCAAAAAGGAAAAAAACAAAAGTATATAAATTAAATTGGGGAAAACAGCCCATATATATATATATGTGTAATTGTTGATATTATTATTGGTTCAATTTAGAAAGAAAACAAATTTTATATATATATATATATATATATATATATATATATATATATATATATATATATATATATATATATATATATATATATACAGTACTTCAAAATTTTATAAACCATTCAAAATTTAATGTTTTGAGTTAACCTCTCATAGATAAATAAATAATTATCCGTTTGGTAAGCAAATACGTAGGAAAAAAATTACAAACAAAACCTCAATATTTCTAATTTTAGCCATACAAACCAAACCTCAATATTTCTAATTTTAGCCATACAAACCAAACTATATGTCAATAAACAACTTAAAATCAAGCTAAACGAAAAAATATTAGAATTAGTATAATTATAAAGAAAATAAATTCGTCTAAAATTGGGATCTAAAAGAATGAGAATACATCATTTTAAACCATTTGAATTGTTATGTCTCAAACTTCTAACACCGATTTGATGCAACAACATGCTTAACATGGATCATATCAACGCTTCAATTAAACTCTGAATATACAGCGGATAACCTTGTTCACATTTGACTCCTAGCAACTTTGTGCTTCCATTCTTATGTAGACGTACACTCATTCCAATTGACGATTTGGTTTAGGTTTTTAAAATTTAACCAATCTTGAAAATATGGAAATTGAAATTTACTTTACAAAAATTGTTTTAGATTTTGATTGGTAATTATGTACCGTTGTGGTATAGAGTATACCGCTTTGACAATTATCAATCACAAAAACGATACTAAAAACATTACCAAAAACGTTATTCTCAGTTTTTTTATATAACTTTTATGTATTACTAGTTTTTACAGTTTTGCATTATTTCGTAAAAACTTACCGATCCAGTTTATCGCTAAAAAACTTGTACAACTTTATATTACAAATCGGACCTTATGTTAGTTATAATTTTGTAATTTGTCACGCTTAGATCATATATATTCATGTTTATATACTAAGATAAGATAACATGAATGCATTATTATATTATACTGTAGATGATAAAATAACTACAGTCTCAAAATACCAAAATTTTAATACGGACCCACATCCCAAACCTCTCCCACTATATATATTTGGTCTATATAAAACCCATTAAACCTAAACTTTTCCAAAATCATACCAAAAAACATTTAATAACACCAAAATCTACAGCAAAAAAAAAATGCTATCTCCCAAACTCTTCCTCGTAACACTCTTCTTATCTCTTCAAACACTCTTCATTGCTTCTCAAAATCTTCTCCCTTCTTCTTCAAACTCTTCATCAACCATCTGCAAAACGACACCGGATCCAAAATTCTGCAAATCAGTGTTCCCACAAACATCTCAAGGCGACGTCCGCGAATACGGCCGCTTCTCCCTCCGCAAATCGCTAACGCAATCGCGAAAATTCACACGCACGATTGACAAATACCTCAAACGCAACAATGCCCTACTCTCCCAATCCGCCGTTGGAGCTCTCCAAGACTGCCGTTACCTCGCAAGCCTCACAACAGACTATCTCATAACGTCGTTTGACACCGTCAACATCACTACATCATCCAAAACGTTGTCGTTTTCCAAAGCCGACGAAATCCAAACACTTCTCTCCGCCGCGTTGACTAACGAGCAAACATGTCTTGACGGAATCAACACCGCTGCTTCCACTTCTTGGACCATACGAAACGGCGTCGCATTGCCTCTAATCAACGACACGAAGCTCTTTAGCGTCTCGCTCGCATTATTCACCAAAGGTTGGGTTCCAAAGAAGAAGAAACAAGTAGCCGGTTACTCTTGGGCCCATCCGAAGAACACTCACAGTCACACAAAACCATTCCGTCAGTTCCGTAACGGAGCTTTACCGCTAAAGATGACGGAACACACACGCGCCGTTTACGAGGCTTTAAGTAGGAGGAAACTCGCAGACGACGACAATGATGTAAACACGGTGCTTGTGAGCGACATCGTAACGGTGAACCAAAACGGAACGGGGAATTTCACGACCATAACGGAAGCTGTTACGGCGGCGCCGAATAAAACTGACGGTACCGCCGGTTATTTCGTTATCTACGTGACGTCAGGTGTTTATGAGGAAAACGTAGTGATTGCGAAGAACAAAAGATATCTAATGATGATTGGTGACGGGATAAACCGTACGGTGGTTACCGGTAACCGGAATGTTGTCGACGGTTGGACCACTTTCAACTCCGCCACTTTTGGTACGTCTATAAGAGATAATGCTCTATTATTTTTTGACCCATAAAAACAAATAATGCTATTTTTTGCACATGCACAACTTTAGTTTTTAACTATTTATTGAGCAATCCCTTTAAGATATAGTAATTTTAAAAGTTTATAGAAAATAGTACCTTGATGAACAAATGATTTTTAAGTATCGTATTACAAACTTTTTAATCATTTGCAATTATCTATTTTTAGCATTTTTAAATGGTTCATGCATGTCGTGTAAAAATTAGCAAATCACCGGCACTTTTGTTACGTTGCCGACGACACACATGGCTATGATGACTTTGTGTTATCTTAAAATTAACCACAAAAATTATTCATACTTTTTTAGACATTTTTACGTGCATAGTAGTTCGGATCATAATTGCACGTTTTTCACTTTAGGACAAACTTTATATTACTTCTAGGAGTGTGTAGTGAATAGATGACAAGACGCATTATTGAATTACGTACTGTTACCATTTTATTTATATATTTTCATAGAAATTAATAATCATTGCTACTTTTTTCTTTTTCTAGCCGTGACATCGCCGAACTTCGTTGCCGTGAACATGACTTTCCGAAACACCGCTGGACCAGAGAAGCACCAGGCCGTGGCTATGAGGAGCAGTGCTGATCTTTCAATCTTCTATAGTTGCAGTTTCGAAGCTTATCAAGACACTTTATACACACATTCACTACGACAATTCTATAGAGAATGTGACATTTATGGAACAGTCGATTTCATATTCGGCAATGCAGCAGTTGTGTTCCAAAACTGTAATCTATATCCAAGACAACCGATGCAGAACCAGTTCAACGCTATTACAGCTCAAGGTCGTACTGATCCGAATCAAAACACAGGAATTTCGATTCACAATTGTACGATTAAACCGGCAGATGATTTGGTTTCGAGCAACTATACGGTTAAAACGTATTTGGGACGACCATGGAAGGAGTATTCACGGACAGTTTTTATGCAATCGTACATAGACGAGGTTGTTGAACCGGTTGGTTGGAGAGAATGGAACGGAGATTTCGCATTGAGCACATTGTACTATGCTGAGTATAACAATACCGGATCCGGTTCAAATACTACAGACCGAGTGGTTTGGCCCGGTTATCACGTGATTAATTCTACAGATGCGAATAATTTCACGGTCGAGAATTTCTTATTAGGAGATGGTTGGATGGTTCAGAGTGGTGTACCTTATATTAGCGGTTTACTTTCGTAATTTCTTGTATTTGATTATTTGTTTTAGCTAATTATTATTACTTGATGCAAATTTTGGTCTTAGTTAAATTGTTGTAATTTTGAACATTCATTAATAAATAATGAAATTTAATAAATTTTTATTTACATTAACTGATATTTATTATGGTCATTATTGTTTGGTCAGCCATAAAAATAAATAAATATCTCAAATTCAATGACATTTCTGATTTCTGTGTTCATCCACACCTGAGAGTAAGAACTGAGAAGAAGCAATGGAGAAGATAGAGCACACGACGATTTCTACCAATGGCATAAACATGCATGTGGCTTCGATTGGTTCAGGTCCAGTGATCCTCTTCCTCCATGGATTTCCCGATCTCTGGTACTCATGGCGTCACCAGCTTCTCTCTTTCGCCGCCTTAGGTTACCGCGCAATCGCTCCAGATCTCCGCGGTTACGGCGATTCCGATGCGCCGCCTTCTTCTGAATCTTACACCATCCTTCATATCGTCGGAGACCTCGTCGGATTACTGAATTCACTCGGTGTTGATCGGGTTTTCCTCGTCGGTCACGATTGGGGAGCAATTGTTGCGTGGTGGCTCTGTATGATCAGGCCTGATCGAATCAACGCGTTGGTCAACACTAGCGTTGTGTTTAATCCGAGGAATCCTTCTGTGAAACCTGTTGATGCGTTTAGGGCTTTGTTTGGCAATGATTACTACATCTGCAGGTTTCAGGTGAGACTTTAAACTCATTAAAACTAAAATTGAAATGAAAATTAGGGTTTTGGTGAAGTTCTCAGTAGTTGAAATTAAAGGCATAGTTAGGAACTTAGGGTTTATTAAGCTCAATGAAAGATAGCTTTGATGATTACTGTTCAGGATAGATTAGGCTAATGATTGTATAGAAATCAGAAACTTTTACTTCATGTATTGGTTAGTTCAACAAGAGTTGAGGCAAATTACTTATAGGCAATGCTTGTTTGGTGTTTAGTTGTGTCAAGTTATTAAACTAATTGAAATCAATGTATAAAAGAGACTGATTATGCTTGAAGAAACAGCTTTTATGTACTGTATCAAAAAATGGGAAATTTCTCAACGACCAGTAATTTATGTTTGGATCTATAGAAATAGGGACTATGCACCTACCTATACATAGCTCAAATTAGCTCAGCATCTGATAATGCAAGTTGCAATTGATGATTTGAAAAAGGCAGTAGTGCTTACTTTATATAGTCTAGTGAAAGTCATATACGTTATTTGTGTATGTGGTTACTTTAAGTAAATGCAAGTTGGAGCAGTCTTGTGGTTTTCCATTGCTTAATTTGGTCTCTTTACTTATGATTTTGAGTTTCTTTTCTCAGGAGCCTGGAGAAATCGAAGAGGACTTTGCTCAAGTTGATACAAAGAAGTTAATAACCAGATTTTTCATTTCGCGTAACCCACGTCCACCTTGCATTCCAAAGTCAGTTGGTTTCAGAGGTTTACCTGATCCACCTTCTTTGCCTGCTTGGCTCACTGAACAAGATGTTAGTTACTACGGAGACAAGTTTAGCCAAAAAGGCTTCACCGGTGGACTAAACTACTATCGCGCCCTGAACCTGTAAGTCTTGTGACTCTTGTGATCTCTGACCACAATTCTACGTCATACATTATCTTTTCATGGTTAACCTTGGACTTGAATCAATCTGGTCTTATCCTAACCTGTAGAAGCTGGGAACTAACGGCACCATGGGCCGGTCTACAAATCAAGGTCCCTGTGAAATTCATAGTGGGTGATCTAGACATAACATACAATATCCCCGGAACAAAGGAATACATACATGAAGGTGGTTTGAAGAAGCACGTACCGTTTCTACAAGAAGTGGTGGTAATGGAAGGTGTAGGCCACTTCCTCCATCAAGAGAAGCCTGACGAGGTCACAGACCATATCTATGGCTTCTTCAAGAAATTCAGAACCCGCGAAACCGCATCCTTGTAGTAGTTCTCCGTCTGCACAATGTCAAATTCAAGGTTTGATTAAGCTTGGTCAGGGTTACTTACTGTCTTACTTGGTCTTAGCCTTCTTTGCAATGTGTTGAAGGATGTTATGTGTGTATTTTACTTGTTTAATAATTTAGCAAAATATAATAATAGAACAAATAATTTCTCAAAGGGTTATATAAATTTAAATCCATAGATGATTAAAAAATTAAGAATACATACATGCATTTTATATAATTAGTTCTCTCTCATCAACTTGTATAAGTTGGACGAAATTGCCCTTCCGTATGTAACAAATTGTTTAGCGATATAATAAAATAGTTATCGATGAGATAAACTGATACTAGCTTCGGTCAAATTTCCGGTGACAAATTAGTTGCAGTTTTAGATAGTTAATTATTTTGTTAGCTTGATATCTATTATTTGTTTATCAAATACAAGGGTAAGAACATCTTATGAGTTAACTTACTATCTATTCGGTTAACATGATTATAAAATATATACATATCTTAATAAGTTTATAAATATATCATGCTAAATCATATTGTATCGCGATAACTTTATAATTGATGTGATAAACTCATATTTATCGCAGTAACTCATTTGTTATGTCATATACAAAAAATAACAAGTTACAAATAGTATAATGTTTTGTGGATAACTATTTGATTAACATGTTAACTAGTATAATATCGTAATAAATTTATATGTTAAATGCATAGTTATCCTGTTAAACCAGTTATCATATTTATGGCACCACAATAATCTCATTCCCAGCTTTTCTAAGAAAGAGTATACCAAAAAGAAGATGAAAAGCATCACATGTTCGTGAAGACCACCACTGTCATAAACTTGAACCACCACACGTCCTCCGTCGCTGTCTCATAGGTTTACAATTCCGCCAAAAAATTGTAAACCACCACCGAGATTCGAATCCACCACCGCGTCCTGACCTTGACCTTCATTGAATCAAAATCGGAACCACCATTAATTCACTATCAACCGTCTCTCCGCCAGAAAATCAAATCGACCAATATCTTTTACAAAGAGAACAAGTAGAGTAGGATTAAAATCAAACTTTTCACACTCCAAAAAATTAATTAGCTTGACCCAACTATCATCAATCTCGCATACTTAATCAATTTCGGTACTCATCTTATCCAACCACGTTTTTGATAGGATGTATATCAAAATAATCTCAAGTTATGAATTTCCATCCAACATTTGTAATCCGGATCTTCTTCTTCCACCACCATTTCTTCTTCTTGATCTACAGTATTTAATTGACTCCTCCTTCCCGCAGAGAACACAAACAAGAGAGAGAAAGATGTATATTGAAGATAGGGGTAAAAGAGTCTAAAATTGTTGTACAGTATATAATAAAGTTGGAGAGGAAAGAGAACTAATTTCTCAATCTTCTATGGGTAGATCTTCGTAATACCCTTTCTCAAATGTTGGCTATCTCCAATTCAATAGTATATACTTAAACTTTTCTTACAGTATATCCAAATTAATTTTGGAATTATTGCATATTAAGGCACTTCTCTCGACATATTTGTGCCTTTAGACACTTTAGAAGGAGAAGGCACTTTCTCTATGTGAATAGACATCACTACCCTCTAACTATCTCTTTCTCTCCGTCTCTCGTTAGCAAAACCTCTCTTTGTCATCTTTCTTAATTCTTATTTTAGATTACAAAAACACTTTTGGCTTCTCTTTATCTCTCTCTTTCCAGAATCAAAATCAATCTTTTTAGGACAATATCAATATTCAAAATCAAAATCAAAGTTGAATCTCTTATCTGTTTTTTCTTTTCCTGTAGTTATAGATACTTAGAAACCTAAAATCTTCTTCTCTTCTCTTCAACATCTCCTTAATCGGCTTCTTCACATCTTCTTCTCCCTCCCTTCTCGTCGAGAAATTCATCCACCATGGCTTCCACCCACTTCCTCTCCGTCGTTGCTTGTCACGAACCGCTGCGAAACCATTGATTTCTTATAACGAGACATGTATCTAATGTTATCTGGTCTTAATACTCTTGTCAAAGCTTTGATTTTTGATTACTAAATTCTCTGATCTAGGGTTTGATCTGTCCTTAGAGAAACGGTGGTAACAGTGGCTTACGAAGTGGTTTGTTCTGGTGGTTACGGTGGCTCACGGAGGTTGGATGCGGAAATTGAAAGCTCGAGAGGGTGGAGGTCTTTATCTAGACATCAGTCACTTAACCGTGGTGGTGGTTCTGTTAGGGTAGATCCAATGAATAACAATTCGAGCTGTCAAAGGATCACCTTCGTGCTCAAAAGGTTTCATTTTTTCATCCAATTCAATCTTCTTGTTTCTATCTTAGCCTAGGAATTGTATACACCATAGTTACAATGTGTAAGTTTTAGTGCTGATCCATTGATTTTCAAATTAATGAAAATCTAAATCTTAACCTATGATTCGAGAGTTGGTATCAATAGCTTTTCAGCTTCAGGAATTGATGTTCGGTAGGTCCTCTAGTATCCTGATATCGTTTTTATGTTGCTTGTCAAATATTAAAGACTTGTGGACTTTAGGATTTTGTGATGTTACGAGAAACTATGTAGTCATGTTCAGTACTAAGTAGCTTTTTGTTTTTGGTTAGTCTGGAATCATGGAAGGTTCTGATTCATCATTGGAGGGTAAAGCAAGTGATCTCAAGATTAGTGAACAAGAAGTGTGAATGTACCTGAATGAAGTAGTTGAGAGGCAGGGTATATAAGGATAAGGAAAAGATCACTTGTGAGAATGGTGGGTATATATGACAAATACTTCAAGGTAACACCGTGAAGAAAATGTTATTTGAGACCAAATATATCTCTTTCTCTCTTGGCTTTTAGACTTTTCATTCTTTCGTTTTTGGCTATATCTCTTTACAGATCAAAGAGCAACGTTGATAGCAATTAAAGAGTGGCTCTTGAGATTAGTAATAAAACTGTTTTGTGGGTAAGGTTTGAAAGTTGATACCAATAAAATAGAGGCTCTTGAGATTATTGTTGAACCTCTTCTTGACTTGTAAAGTTTGTATGTGTTTTATGGTCTTTGTGGCTACGGAGAAACTCCTTTGTGGCATGCCATCTCTGATTCTGCTTTTACCTTCCATTGATGGATTTACACAGCTTCAATCATTTCAATCTCGTAACATGATTATAATGAAACGAGATTGACTATTGACGATTGTGTATTTATGAAACCTTGGCACCGGTGAAGAGATTAGTCCCTTGAACTTGTGCTCATTTATGCTATATCTTGAGATGTTTGGTAATTAAAATCAAACTTGGACTTGTATTTAGAACTTCAAAATCCAATCGAGAAGATCTAAAAAAAGTATTATGTTTAGTTTGTGTAAACATCTGTCTTGGTATAAAACGACGACCATGTGAGTCACAAGATGACCATATGGATTGCACAGCTTGGACAAACATCAATAAACAACGTATATGGTATGGATCCATTTTATAATGATGGTAGTGTCCACTCACAAGTGAATATTGGTCAAAGAAAAATGGATGGTGTACTTTTAGTTGCCGATTATCGTTCATATATATTTAAAAGAAGTAAAATATCGGTTTGGGTTTAGTAGGTAGAGGTAGGGTTTAGTGTTAACCCTTTAAACCAAACTTTTATCTCGTTTTAGGTTTATATTGTTTACGAAGTTAGATATCGGTTTGGGTTTAGTAGGTAGGGATAGGGTTTAGAGTTATATATTTAAAAGAAGTTAAATATCGGTTTTGTTTAGTAGGTAGGGGGTAGGGTGTCCATTTAAATTTAATAATTTTGGTTTTAGATTTATGGTTTAGGGTTTAAAGTTTCACTTACCCTTTGAAAATCAATCAAATGGTAAATTCAGTATTTTTGCTTCTTAATTATGTGCAAACAAACTTATGTATTGAAGATTATCGTTCATGTATAAATTTGTGTATTTGTATGAAACTACCATGTGAATTACTAGATGACCAGTTGGACTTGATTTGTTTGACACTAATTAATGGACAACTATGTATTTGATTTGATGCGAATGAGTTTTATCACTTGGTAAAATTATCAATTTTTTTATGGTTACGATATAGGCACTTTGGAAAGTTAGATATCGATTTGGTTGCTTGGGTTAACAAAGTATGGTCTAGAGTATACTTATCTATATTGAAACATGAATTAAGATAAAGTTGGGAAATAGGGTATAGGGTTAAGATTTTGTTGCTTGGGTTTACTAGGTATTATCTAGGGTATAGTTATCTACATTGAAAAAAGAATTAAAACAAAGTACAATTTTATTAGTTAACTAGTAGTTATGGTTATTGCTTGGGTTTACTAGGTATTATCTAGGGTATAGTTATCTACATTGAAAAAAGAATTAAAACAAAGTACAATTTTATTAGTTAACTAGTAGTTATGGTTATTGCTTGGGTTTACTAGGTATTATCTAGGGTATAGTTATCTACATTGAAAAAAGAATTAAAACAAAGTACAGTTTTATTAGTTAACTAGTAGTTATGGTTATTGATTGGGTTTACTAAGTATTATCTAGGGTATAGTTATCTACATTGAAAAAAGAATTAAAACAAAGTACAGTTTTATTAGTTAAGTAGTATCCATGTACAAGTGAACCAATGGTCAAAAGACAAATGGACACCCTAAACATCTAGAGTTTAGTGTTATATATTTAAAAGGAGTTAAATATCGGTTTGGGTTTATATTGTTAACGAAGTTAGATATCTGTTTGGTTTACTAGGTAGGGATAGGGTTTAGTGTTATATATTTAAAAGAAGTTAAATATCGGTTTGGGTTTAGTAGGTAGGGAGTAGGGTTTAGTGTTATATATTTAAAAGGAGTTAAATATCGGTTTGGGTTTATATTGTTAACAAAGTATATCATCCATTTTTCTTTGACCAATATTCACTTGTATACGGACAGTCACTTCATTATATAGCATTTAGTCATTTTTTAAGTATTAAGATCACAAATCTAAATGTCAATTATATGGTTGTTATGTATATGGACACTCTCATCATTATATAGCATTTAGTTGTTTATTTTTAACCATGGAGATTCTGCATTTAGTTGTTTATTTTTTGTTTCTTTATAAATACTAAGATGCTTGCAAACTTTGCTTACTATTCCATACGGTTACATCTGGTACATGTGGATTAGCAAAATATTGTAATGAAGTCAACTTCTAACATATATCTAACATATTGATTCATCAGAGAGCGAGTGCTAGGGAATTAGGCATGAATTAAAGAAAATCAAGTAAGCCCTTTTTTTGTTGGTTTGTAAAGAAACCAAAGTTCCATGTTCATGTGGTCATATTCTCGTGGCATCAATATATTGTCTTGAAGGTGGAGATCTCTGCACATTGAAAGAAAAATCAACAAAAAATTTTGGGTGTCCAAAATAACGAGTCCATATATATGTTTCCATTCGGAAACCTTTTTACTGAGCCATATCCATTCTACCGAGAATTTTACAGAGTGATAATTTTACCGAGAATTTTACAAAGTGATAATTTTACCGAGAGATAAAACACATTCACAGCAAATCAAATACACAATTATCCATTATTGAGTGTCCAACCAGTCGAGTCCACATGGTCATCTAGTAACTAACATGGTCGTTTTATATCAATACACAAATTTATACATGGTCGTCTTCATTTGTGATGAACAAACCAAAATTTTAATAAATTATTCAACCTGGTTACAAAAATTCATAAAAAGACCAATGATAAAAAATTAGACACAAAATAGCCATGTACGAATTCGTATCTATTTTAGCCACAAATTGTAACATAAAAATATTGTAGCTATAGCTTTGTAGCTATTTTAAAATTTATGGCTTTTTGTGGTTATCTTAGACATGGATATTGACAAATATAATCGTGGCTATCTTGTAAATTTGATTTAAAAAAATATACAAATACAGAAATAAAATAAAAACTTCATTTATATATACATATATATTCAAGGCCGGTGGAGTTACTCTCCGGCACCGCCAGTGGAGTTACTCTCTTTCACCGTCATCGTAAAAGTCACCACTCCACCACCGCCTCTTCCTCTAACCACTCCGCCATCAACATCAACTTCTTCTCCGTCTCCCCTTCACTCTTCTCCACCGCCTTTGTTTTCAGCTCGACCTCCACCATCACCATCTTCTCCATCTTCTTGTAGTGATCATCGCCTCTCTTTTTGATGGATTTATCAAAACCACTTGTTGGCTTCTCTTTCTTGTTATCAATTTTGGTGGACTCAATACTGATAAGACCACTTGAAGAGATCTTAGACTTTTGCAAAGCCTCAGCTTCTTTGTCCCCAATAGCAACTTATTAAGACCACCAAAGAGGCTCGTAAAGATAAGAGTACCCACCAACACCTACAAACACAGTCTGTTACCTTTCATGAACCAAAGGAAACTTAAAGGACAACATTTACACACAGTCTTGAAGCAATGTGGCTATTAACTATTAAGTGAAGTTCAACAGAGGAAACACAAAATCTCCTATCTGTTCACAACCTCTGAATAGCTAGCTAATTGAATCCTGATAAGTTCAATTACAATTAGAGATCCCAAATCTGTTATCTACTTATCGAGTTGAACATAATTCTGCACACTCTAAACCCACAATTCCAGTCCCAAAATCGAAACCCATAAACCAAAATTCAGAGGAAAGAGATTTATACCTGCCCTAGTGCCAGTACTCGCAGCTTTCTTAAGCCCTTTCTTCTTAACGATGAAACTAGCACCAATGAAGAAACTAGAAGACAACGCTAAAACCAAACCCTTGATGTTATCAGACGACATTCCTTTATAAGAATCTCGCCAGCTTCCACCAGATTCCGCCATTCTAACGCCAAATTCGAAACCTTTTTCAACTTTAACTTCGACCCAGATGAGAAAACCCTAGATTTCCTCGGCTCGACCTCAATCTCACCGCCGGAGACATTGCTTGGAAGGTTTCGTTGCTCATCTTGGCTAAACAAGTTCCACAGAGAGCTTCGAAGTCTGACATCACAAGACCTACGTTGTGGCTCAAACACGCCGGAGAATCCTTCGTTGTTCTTAGACGCCGAGTGTATTGTTAATCGATGATGGTGGTTGGAGAAAGAGAAATCGATTAGCTGGGACTTTTTTCTAACTAATATTTCTAATCAAACGAGAGAGGAGAGAAAGTGTATAACATGTCTTTAGTTAAATTAGGGGCAATAGCGTCATTTTTATCTCCAAAAAGAAGGAGAAGTGCCTCAAGTTTGGAAAGTGTCTAAAATGTAATATCTTTCTCTAGAAGTGCCTTAATATGCAAATCTCCCATTAATTTTCAAAATTTTGAATTCCTATGGCTTCTAGAAAACATCAATTAAGCATAGGTGAAATTAATATCAAAATATTTGAAATGTATAACAATATATTTACAATTTTATCAAAAACAATAAATCTCGCAAGGACATTTATACCTACCAACTAAATAAATTTAATAAAATATAATACCATTTTAGCTTTTATGATTGGAATTTAATTTTCTGGCAGTGGATATTTTCAACAAAATCTCAAGCGCGTCCGAATCACGCGCCTATTACGCGTAAAACTCCGCCTTGTCGTTAGACAAAATATTCACGACGCCAGTCAGAAGGAAAAACCACTACGCAGCTGAAAAGACTAAAACACCCTCGTCTTCTTCCGTCGCACCGCTTCTACAGCAATGTCATTTTAGTCAAACCCAAAATTCCCTCTGAAGAAAAAAACCCACCAAATCGATTTCGTTGTCCCAATCCAAAATTCCTCCTCCTTCTTCGCTGTAACGCTTTTTACCTAATCGGAGAAAAAACAATGCAATCGGCGAAAGGACGGCGGAAAGTTGGCTCCGCAACCGCCGGAGCCGGTATAGACTCGGCGGAGAAGCTTGACGAACTCTTGATATCGTCTGCGATTTGTAACGGTGAAGATTTAGGACCATTTGTTCGGAAAACTTTCGGTACAGGTAAACCAGAGACTCTTCTTCATCATCTCAAGTTTTTCGCACGATCTAAAGAATCAGAGATCGAAGAGGTATGCAAAGCTCACTATCAAGACTTTATTCACGCTGTAGACGATCTTAAATCGCTTCTCTCAGATGTTGAATCGCTTAAATCTGCGCTTTCCGATTCAAACTCTAAACTCCAATCTGTTGCGGCGCCGCTTCTTTCGTCTCTTGATGCGCTTGTTGAGGCTCAGACTGTGTCTAAGAACGTCGATCTGGCGATTGGAGCGGTGACTCATTGTGTTCGTGTTATGGAACTTGTTTCTCGAGCTAATCAGCATCTTCAGAGCGGTAACTTTTACATGGCGTTGAAGTGTGTGGACTCGATTGAGAGTGATTTCATGGAGAAAACTCCTTCGTCAACGCTGAAACGGATGCTGGAGAATAGGATTCCGGCTATTCGATCTTATGTGGAGAGGAAAGTGAATAAGGAGTTTGGAGATTGGTTGGTTGAGATCCGTGTGGTGAGTCGGAATTTAGGTCAGTTGGCTATTGGTGAAGCTTCTGCGGCTCGTCAGCGAGAAGAAGAGCTCAGGATCAAGCAGAGGCAAGCGGAGGAGCAGAGCAGACTCAGTCTACGCGATTGCGTTTATGCGCTAAACGAAGAAGAGGATGATGAATTTGGGTCTGGTCATGAAGGCAGCGATGGTGGTAGTTCCGGAGGTGGATTGCTAGGTTTTGATTTGACTCCACTTTATAGAGCTTATCACATTCATCAGACACTATCTCTTGGAGATAGTTTTAAGCAGTACTATTATAATAATAGGGATCTTCAGCTTACCTCTGACTTCCAGGTATCTACTATGACTCCGTTTCTCGAGTCACATCAGACGTTTTTCGCACAGATTGCTGGGTTTTTCATAGTAGAGGATAGAGTTTTAAGGACTGGAGGAGGGTTGATTTCGAAGCTGGAAGTGGAGACTTTGTGGGATACTGCTGTTACTAAGATGTGTGCTGTGTTGGAGGATCAGTTCTCTAGAATGCAGACGGCTAATCATCTCTTGCTGATTAAGGATTATGTGAGCTTGTTAGGGGTGAGTCTACGCAGGTATGGCTATGCTGTTGATTCCCTTCTTGAAGTATTAAGCAAGCACAGGGACAAGTATCATGAGTTGTTACTATCTGATTGCCGTAAACAGATCACAGAAGCTATATCAGCAGATAAGTTTGAGCAGATGTTGATGAAGAGAGAGTATGAGTATTCCATGAATGTGCTCTCTTTCCAGTTACAAACAACAGATATAGTACCGGCATTCCCTTTCATTGCTCCATTTTCGACCACCATCCCAGATTGTTGCCGAATTGTGCGGTCTTTTATCGAGGATTCGGTTAGTTTCATGTCTCACGGAGGTCAGCTTGATTTCTATGATGTAGTGAAGAAGTATCTGGATAGGCTTCTAGGCGAGGTTCTCGACGAGGCTCTGTTGAAGCTGATTAACACGTCGGTTCATGGAGTTCCTCAGGCAATGCAAGTTGCAGCAAACATGGCCGTGTTTGAGCGTGCTTGTGATTTCTTCTTCCGTCACGCTGCACATCTTTCAGGAGTTCCTTTGAGAATGGCGGAGAGAGGTAGGAGGCATTTCCCATTGACCAAATCTCAAAACGCTGCAGAAGATATACTCTCAGGAATGCTTAAGAAGAAAGTAGATGGTTTCATGTCGTTGCTCGAGAATGTCAATTGGACAAGCGACGATATTCCACAAGGTGGGAATGAGTACATGAACGAAGTGTTGATGTACTTGGAAACTTTGGTTTCCACTGCGCAACATATATTACCCGCTAAAGTCTTGAAAAGGGTTTTGCGCGATGTCATTGCTCACATTTCTGAGAAAATCGTTGGAACGTTATGCGGAGATCTAGTAAAAAGATTGAGCATGGCTGCAATCAAAGGACTTGATGTGGATATTCAGTTGCTGGACTCGTTTACAGAGAACCTAACTTCATTGCTCACGGATAAAGAAGCGAGAGAGATGAAAAAAGCATTCATCGAGATAAGACAGATGATCAATTTGCTTCTGAGTAGTCACCCTGAGAATTTCGTTAACCCGGTTATCAGAGAAAGAAGCTACAATGCTTTGGATTACCGGAAAGTTGCAACAGTTTCAGAGAAATTCAGAGATCCATCAGATAGTATTTTCGGGACTTTTGGAACAAGAGGATCGAGGCAAAACCCGAAGAATAAATCTTTAGATGCGTTGATAAAGAGACTGAAAGATGTGAGCTGATGATGTATCAGAGCACAAACCCAAAGCGTAAGTACGATCCCGTCCTTTGTTTTATCTATGATCTATTGTTAATTATATGATTGCTTTATATTTCATTGTTGATGATTCCTTGGTCTCTCAGAAAGAAAGGCAAAAAAAACACAAAACTGATTTCACCCCAAAGATTGTATCTTTTTTTCTTCCATTAATAGCATTTTCGGAAATGAGTTTGATTTTGAAATTCAAGATTCATGTCACCTCAGCCAAACCAAGGCTTGACATATCCCCATACGATCCTATATCAGTTGTTTTTCTCAGGTTTTTTTTTTTTTTTTTTTTAACCGTTTTCAGTCGTCAATCGGATCCCCCTATTAACTATTAACGGTTTATTTACGATTTTGATTTGGTAAAATCAATCCAGTGGTATGTTAACTTGGCTCAGTTTCTTTACTTCAATCAAGGTTGGTTTGGTTACCACGTGATCGTCGTTTTCCCCTATTAACACGTGTGCCCTCTGTCAGTCAAATCGTCACCGTACATCTAATTTGCATGGTCTCTTCATCAGACGCGCTGATTTACACAGTCCACAAACACACCTAACCTAACAACTGTTTTCGCCTTCTGTACTTAATGAGACATTTCAACGCTTGATCAAAAGAGAACTCAACTAGACACGAATCATAAGAACAAAACTTAAAGAACCCATGTCGCCATACGCGAATACTTGTACTATCATCTTCTTTCTTCTATTCTTCACCGTCTCTTTCGCCGTCCCCGACCAAAAGCCAACCGCTTACGACGCCGTTAAACGCTATAACTTACCGCCCGGAATCCTACCAAAAGGCGTTATTGACTACGAGCTTAACCCAAAAACCGGCGATTTCAAAGTCTACTTCAATGACACGTGTGAATTCACCATCCAATCCTACCAGCTCAAGTACAAATCAACTATCTCCGGCGTTATATCTCCCGGTCACGTCAAGAATCTGAAAGGCGTTAGTGTTAAAGTTCTTTTCTTCTGGGTTAATATTGCTGAAGTGTCTCTTGACGGCGCCGATATCGATTTCTCCGTCGGCATCGCGTCGGCGAGTTTTCCGGCGGCTGATTTTGAAGAGAGTCCTCAGTGTGGTTGTGGGTTTGATTGTAATAATGGGCTTTTATTTTCTTCTTGAATCTGTTGGGCCTTGTGTTGTACTGAATAAAAATGCCCTTAAAAAAAATAAAAAAAAAATTGCCCTTTCTCTTATGACTGGCTTATGAGTATTAATGTACTGAATAAACCTAATCTTACAAACATTAATATAAAAATGCCCTTCTCTTATGATTAGGTAATTAATAGTTTAATTAATGTTTGTATGATTAGGTTTCTTCATGTCAATTTGCGCTTTCAGAGACTATTAACCTTTTTTGACTTTCTGTTTTACATGGGAAACTTCTTTGAAGTTTGAAACCAAAAAAGTAAATTTAAGCGACCATAATAATAAAAACAAGAAAACTGGTCAAGTTGTAGCATAGTTTATTTATTTTTTCAACGAAAAAAAAGGCTTAATGCAATAATGCTTATACTTCATCTGTTTTACAAAGAGTGTCATTCTACCATTTTTCACACAAATTAAGGAAACTAAACAAATGTTATTTCTACCTCTTATTAATACACTAGATAATACCCTCTCTATAATTAATAAGTTGAAATAGTAGAGTTAAAAAAGAGAATTAGTCTTAAAAACTGCATTGAAAACATAAAACGACACTCTTTGTAAAACAAAATTAAAACATTAAAACGACACTCTTTGTGAAACGGAGGGAGTACAATTTTTGTAGGTTTTATGAAAAAAAAACTTTTCAATTCACTATTTTTTGCAAAATCTTTTTATTTTCAAAAATACAGATTACAAATATAATATAACTATTTTTTGCTATCGTTAAATTTGTAAAATTTTGATAAATAATAAATTAAATTGAATTCTTCGCGACTAAGAGCTTAACAAAAAAACTTTATCTTTAAAAATTTTAAAATCTAATGCACATAACCGTGAAAATGTTTCAATTTACGTATAAAGATTATATTGCATATTATTTTTTGTGTTTTTTTAGGATTAATCGGTATTTTTTAGAGGTGAAGAGTAAAATTGAAAAAATGATTTAGAGGAATTTTATTTTTTTTGTAAAAAAACCATTTTTACAAGGGTGAGTAAGTCCATTTACGTCTAGATAGAAGACTTCCAAAAGCAATCAGAAAAGATCTGAAGCAAGGACAAGGAGCGAAGCCTAACCTCTCGAGGACCTTCATCACGAACGAGCACGAGGAAGGAAGGAGAAAGCTAACACCACAGCGAGCAACACCAAGGAGGAGAAACCAACTGCCAACAAAGAAGACTAACACAACAAAAACAGAACGAAGCCACTGCAAATAAAAGGGACGATCCAAAAGGGAATCCAAGGCTGAAGCAAGGAGACAAGAGACGGAAGGAAAGGCAAGGTCCGGGCACAAACTCAGCGAGAACCCACCACCACACCAGAGCAACGGCATAGAAACAACGCTAACCACTTGAACAGCAACAAGATCAAAAGATCTGTCCGCTCCAACCGCACCCTCAACGAAACAAAAGTCATCACTTAAAACAAACCGAAGAGTTCCCCAAACGAGGGCCAACAGATCTGCAGACAAGACCAAACAAAGACTCAGATCCGCCAAACAAATCAACTCGAAACCAACTCAGTCGTCGTCGTCGCATCCGGAAGTGTGTTCGAGTTTTCTCCAGTGAGTTGGCTTGCCGGGTTATGAAGTCTTTGGTTCTGGTTTCGAGAGATTGGCTCTCTTCATGATAGGAGTTGGCAGATGTTATTTTCGGGTTGGCCGTGGGCAGCCGTGATAAATCTCATCGCATGTGCTTTTGAGGAGGAGGCCTCTTTTGCCGCTTGTGGCTAATGTTTTTCTTAGGATTTTAGCCTTGTTGCTTCTGCGTTTGTATTTGGGTTCATCCTCTTTCGTTTAGGGTCAATTTTTGCTGCCTTGTGTTTTTAGTCTCGTTTGTTTCCGGGGAATCTCGTTTTCCTCCGGCTTAGTTTCCGGGGACTTTAACTTCGTCCGTCGGCTTTCGTTTCCCTTGTTTGGGCTTAGTGTACTTCCTTGGTTTCACATCAAGTTTATCAATACAATTTCAAGTGTCAAAAAAAAAAAAACAAGGGTGAGTAAGTCATGTGCAATTTTGTTTTTTGTCTTTTTGTTGACAAATGTCTTGATAAAATTTATTTCATAATTATCAGTAAGTTTTCCCAAAATAATTGTCTCACCAGCACAACATGACAGCCTGTGGTAGCTAGCCACGTGTCCAGTTGTCTACCTAAAAACGTCGTCGTTAATATCTTACAAAAGATATTTTCAACGACCATTATTACAAAAAGTCTCCGACGGAAAAACGAAAATCCACAGGCGGAGAAATCAAAAACCAAAAGTCAAATCTTTTGTTTCATCAAAACCCAAAATGTCTCATCTCCCGATTCTAATCGCTTCTTTACTCTTCCTCTCTTCACTCGCCGCCGCCGTCGCCGCCGAATCTGATACTCCGACGGCGTATTCACTCCTCCAAAGCTACAACTTCCCCGTCGGAATCCTACCAAAAGGAGTCGTAGCTTATGATTTAGACACAACAACAGGCAAATTCCATGCGTATTTCAACGATTCATGTAGCTTCTCTCTTGTGGGTTCTTACCAGTTGAATTACAAATCAACAATCAGTGGTTACATCTCCGAGAACAAGCTCAAGAAATTGACTGGTATTAAAGTCAAAGTTTTGTTCTTGTGGCTTAACATCGTTGAGGTTATTAGAAACGGCGACGAGATGGAGTTTTCCGTTGGGATCACATCGGCGAATTTCGCGATCCAAGAGTTTTTGGAATCGCCTCAGTGTGGTTGTGGATTTGAGTGCAAGGATTCGAAATCGAACATGTTTGAGAGAAACCCTTTTGTTTCTTCGTCTTGAATTTGAAATAAAGGTTCTATTTTTTTAGTAGTTTGTCAACAAAAGATTGCATCTTTTATGTCTTGTCCAATAATATGAGCGTAGTTTCTGGAATTGATATCTGTTCGTGCAATTGTTGCATCAGTTCCATGTTCAAGTGTAATGGTAAAAGAAAAGTAATTGAAGGGAGATGTGAACATTGTGAAGTGAAAAATATAGCTCAAAACCATGATTTCGGCTGATTTATTATCTAATGTTGTCTTTAGATTGAATGTTTATTTGTTCATAAAGTTCGTTTTTAATTCATGGCCCTGGATAAAGTGTACTCCTTATTGGTGTTGATCTGGTTTGGATGAGCTGAGACTGAGAGTTAGGATTGAACTGCTGTTAGTAGAGAATCCATCGAGTTTACGGGACTGTTTCGATCGATCTTTTAGATATTTGATCTCGGATAGGGTTGAGCTGCAGTTGTAGAATTAGAATCTATCGATCTCTCTGGTGGAGAATTTGGCTTGCAGATATTAGAGATAGTTAGTGAAGATGTTTTTGGTAGATTCTTGTGATTTTTTTTATCTGTGTCGGGATGAATTAGGACGTGGTTCTTTGAAGATCTACAATATACCATTGTGTCGATGATCGATATTGGTCTATCTGATTTACTAGCCTTCATAGGCTCAATAGTAACATTAACTGGGAAATGTCCCAATAACTCTTAACTATGGATCTACACTGATTTCCCTTGTTTGAGATAGATGTCTACCGTTGCAGACATTCTATGAATGTAGATTGAATTACAGGTTAACATGATCATAGATCACAATCTTTTGTATAAGGTAAGATTTCATTGCTGACTAGAACATAAAAAAGGGTTATAGAGATTTTAGGTTGTTTTCTTGTTCTTCAAGTGGGCTTTTGAGATGAAAGGTTTAATGCTTAATTCAACACCCTGTTATATGTCGAATAAGCGGTTTTAGTTTTCCGGTATTGGATGCTTAAACTCAATCCTCGCAAGGTTTCATCTACGTTATTACAGTTTTGGTCTTAAGCCTTAAAGGTAAAAAGATATGGTTTTTTGTCGTTAACGGATTTGAAAAGACAAATAAGAAATCACTGGTTGTTCCTACTCAACATTCTATCCCCCGTTGTTGCAAGCCAAGCGATGAACGAGTATTTAGGTGTGGCGTGTGAGAACCATATACCTTTATACCATTCTATCTTTGGCTTCAGCCACAGTTGATTTAATACCAATTCCCATGTCAATACAACCTCTCTGGCCCGTAATCTCAATTAACCGCCTTAGTGGGGACCAAATATCGTACCAAAATGATATGTTCTTTCCATTCTGCACCTCATACTTGACAAAGTCGATGCTATACCCCGAAGCTTTCGCCACATCCAAAATCATAATGTTGAACTTTCTCGTATTGACCAAAAAGAGCCTTTCCGTAGTAAGTAAAGTCTGAAGTCATTGTACCCCATATAGAGCTAGATGACGACAGTCTCCAAATGAGTTTTAAACCTAAATAATATCATGAATTGGGATGGAAATTTCTCTAATTTAGATTGCATTTAATTATCATGTAATTCATTATTATAAATTGAAAAATTGAAAAACATGTAGTTCATAATAATAATATTAATAAAATGTATGAAAAATACTCTAGGTTTTGGTTCAAGATTTTTCGGCTATCAATATTAAAAATTAAAAATGTGGAAAATTATTATTAAAAATCTCAATTACAATCATCTAGAAAGAAAATACTACTCCATATTTTCTCCCGTAGACTAATAAATGAGATAGTTCTGTGGGAGGCATCACATTATTCAGGTCCTTGTCAAACGAATTATGCAGGCATCGAATAGAAGTCGTGTCTAGGAAAAGATCATAAATAAATAAAAATATCAAATTAACAAAAAATAGTCAACTATTGATGACTTTTCATTAATTGGTAACCACTTTACAAAGCGTTACAAAATATACAGTTTTGACAGTTACCAATCACAAAAGCGTTACCAAAAGCGTTACTAAAAGTTTTACTCTCAGCTTTTTTGTACAGCTTTCTCGTACAGCTCTTTTGTACAGCTTTGCACTATTCCGGAAAAGCTAACAGCTCCAGCTAACAGCTAACATTTTGGTTACCAATCGGACCCAATATCACATTACTTTTCACTTTTGGAAGAAAAGAATATGGAAAGTCTATGGTGCTTGTTCATTCAAATCCAATGTACATTTCCGATATGCATAAGAATTTACTGGTACGTAGCCATAGTTTTTGTAGTATAAGAAAAACACTATGTGCATTCATTATTTGGTAACGATTTTTTTCTTTCTAAAAATTTGTACATACTATATAATATAGTAACTATTTTATTCTCGTGAAATATCTAGCATTATCAAGCCTTTAAAAGGTGCTAGAACATAAGTTACTCGACTAATATTTTCAAACTTCTTTTTTCGTTTGTTTTTTCTAATTTCAATGCATGACATTATGGAACTATAACAAACACTACTCTTTTTAGGGTTAGATATCAAACAAAAGGATGATTTAGTTTTGCCGATTTTTTTTTTTTCGTCGATTTAGTTTTTCCGATTTTTTTAGTGTATTTATTATACAAATAGCAGGGATTAATTAGGATCATCTTATGTCTAGTCCCTATCAAAACATGTGCGAAAACTTATCTTTGAGTACACGGAATATACCAACTTTTTATTGTTCATATTCCATCATTTTTTGAACTACTAGAATTTGTTAGTCACATCCAAATCACTTGTTATTATGCAAATTATGACTCCATATATGAAATGATTGGATACGAATTGGCAAACAATTCTCAAAAGAATAAAGGAACATATGTAACAAAAGAGATGACTCAATTATTTATAGTCAAGTAAAAGAAAATTCAATGCTAATAGATTCGATGTACCAAGTTGCCGCTCTCAATAAGTCTCTCTCAAGTCTCAAAGCCTTTGAGCATAATTGACTCTTCAAAAGAAGACAGGACACGTCTTATGTTTCTTTGCCCTTTTGAATTCTTTAACTTCACCTTCAAATATCTCTTTTTCTTAGGTTCAATTTTCAAAAGGGAATAGTCTAAATATATTCATATAAATTAGATATATTGTAAATAAGTTTTGAAATTTACTTTGTCAATTATGATTGAATTAATTTTCCAAAAAAATAACAAATGATTTCTGTTCCTTTTTTTCCATATACCATGTAAGTTGAATAAGAGAATCAGGACAGAGAGCTTAAAAAGGAGAGAATGAAAGTGTGGTTTGATCTTCGACTCTCATTTATATGCATGTATGAAATAAATACTTCACTAAGACAAAGATTTAATAATTGACCCTCACTAAAGAAAGTAAATAAATAACTAGAACATTTTATAATCATTGTCATTGATCAATGTGTGATTAGATGAACGCGAAGGGGTCAACTTAAGTTGTCTACTAAACCTGACATACACTTGTATAAAATATACTTATAATAAAGGAACGGTCGAAACTCAAAAGGTACAAAACATGTCTTTAAAACTAATTTAAGTTAATTAACTACATTATTAAAGGATTTCTACGTCAAGTAGCAGCTGTTGCTAAATGCACTGCCACTAATTTAATTATAAATCAAGAAACAAGATTCTGTCGGTTAGATCCATGCAAGGAACAAAACCGTATAATTAAGAAGCTTTATATTTTATCGAATTATTGTTGAGTTAACCATGAATACCTAATGCTTATCTATGCATATGATGTGCCAATAATTCATCATTACATTCCTTTTAATACGTTATCTCATACAATAATTAATTAGATAAATTAGAAAACACACATACTAATTGAACATTTTCGTATGTTTTTCAAAAATATCCAATCAAATTGGAGCGATACAATGAAAATTATCATAGCTACGTATACTCATCACCTATAATTCTATATCAGATGACATTATGATTCTGAATCAAATTGACCGATTGATTTTTGTCTCAATAACATTTTAAATTACGTTAAGCAATATAATTTATCATAAAAACTTCTATAGTCAATTTCAAAGCTAAATTCTGTTATATTTGGTTTATAATAAGTTGTGAAATGGTTTAAAAAACTCTATCATTCATCAACGATCCTTTTGTTACAACTTAAGAAACCAAACGCTTCTCTATTTTATTCATTACAGAATCGCCACGTGGCAGATGAAAACAGGGTTCACTGCACCAGATCATTACCCACTAATCTCCCTCTTAAGACCTTGAAAAATTACATGTAATAATAATTAATCAAAAAAAAGACAAATCCTTTTTTAAAAATTAATTAATCACTGCTTGTTGTTCAAGAGAGCTGCTCGTAGCTCAGCCGCGTCAATCTCGTTAGAACCGGTTTCGGGTCTGTAATAACCGGTTTTGGGATCTGGAACCCAAGAAATCTTCTGGGTTGATTCTTCCACTCCCTTCTTCTTCATCACAGCCGAAGCAACAGCTCCACTTCTTCCACCGCTCCCTTGAGCCGCCGTGGCCGCATAACCACGTCTGTTAACACAAAAACGACACCGTTTAGAAAAACAGAGCATAACTACAAAAAAGCAGAGCATAAACGAGAAAACAGAGCAACAGATACTTACCGGAAAATAGCATTGGAGAGTTCACGAGAGACGAAAGCAGATACGATCTTAACGTTAGAGAGAGAACGAGCCATTTTCGAAGTATATGTAGTTTCTTGAAGAGAGAAGAAAACAGACAATAAAAGGTTGAAACTTTTTTTTTCTTGTCGCCGCCGCAGAAGGAGAGATTTACCCGAGGAATGAGATTATTACTGCGGCAACGAGATTGAAGAAAGTTGGTTTCGTCTGTGTTCTCTCTCTCAAGCTTTGAGTAGTTTCGAAAATGGCTTGAAGAGATGAGAAGAGAGGAAGAGGAGAGGAAGGTTTATATAGAAGAGAGTGAAGGAAGAGAGGAAATAAAGGAAGTGACTCCGAAATTGTCTTCTCACTTCTCGTAAACGGCTGCGTCAATTCTGGCCTTTGAGTCTTTTGACCCATAATTAGCTTTGCTTTTTTTTAAAAGAAAATAATTTAAGTCAAAATTGGACTTTTTCTAGTTTAAATATAATTAGGTTTTAAATGTGTGACTTATAAGAGACTTTAATTAATGTTTTATGTAAAAAAAAAATTAATGTTATATTTGGAAAAATGCAAGGTTTTCAGAATTTTTATCCAAATATTTTAGTTGAACAATCTAATTTATTACTATTTTAATAATCTGATTATATTTGAAAATTGTAAAATTAAATCTTAGTAAAAACTAAAAACCATGAAATTTGTATTTTTACGTATTTTTTCTCTTTTTGTAATAACACTAAAAAAAGGTAAAATGAATATAGAATATATTAATACGAATTTTAATGATTGATGCTAATCTACATGTAGACGTGTGTAAAGGGAGATTCGAATAGATTAAGAATGTGTTTTAGCATGTCAAGATGCCATTGGTTAAAGTTTCTAAAAACTTGAGTGTATTAAGCATATAGTACAATACAAAAATATGTTATATCATCATATACCAAAAAAAATAAAAATATGTTATACTCCCAATACATACAATATTAAAAATCACTAAAAGTATAATATTTTGAGGCGGTGGAGTTTCGATTGATTGGGTTATTGACGACCACTTGCATCGTGAAAGGGTTCTTTGATTCGTGGTTTCGCCCCCAGCTTCGTAGTATCACGAGACTCGAGCATCTTTTTTTTTTTTTTGGTAATGGTTTCACAACTTGGTTCCTCTTTCTTTTATTTTCTTTAAAACATAATAACATTTTTGTTGGAATTCTCGAGATAGTATATAGTAACTTTTAAGTTACATACATACCAAAAGAAAAATCCCAATTATATAGTCCTCCTATGAGCAAAAAAAAGAAGCTAGGGGATGGGGACAGGCTGTAATGTTAGGCGGTTGGTATATGAACTGAGAACATGTCTGTTGGTTCGGTCCATCTACACCACTCAACCATTTGGCTATGTTTCTTTTTGAGAATTTATAGAAACTAACTTTGGATTCAAAAAGAATTTACAAACTAACCACGAGCTACAGTACCATGTCTCTAACATGTCGGAACAGCTGTGTAATTACGTATATGTCCTTTGTAACACGCTTTTTTTTCGAATTACATGTGATAGCATAATATATCTCTTTTTATCATGTATTTTTCTCGTACTACATGTTATTTATAAAGAACACATAGTATTTTTCGGAAAAAACATTATATTCAGTGTAATATCTGTCTTTATCATGTTATTTTGTAATAATACACGTGTTTTATTAAGATCACATGTGAATATCTGTCTTTATCATGTTATTTTATAATAATACACGTATTTTATTAAGATTACATGTGAATATCTGTCTTTATCATGTTATTTTGTAATAAAACACGTGTTTTATTAAGATCACATGTGATTTCTTTTTTAAAAAGATGATTATTTTTTAGTAATACACGATTTGTTTTAAGATTACATGTGATTTCTTTTTAAAAAGTTACTATTCAGATTAAATTTTCCATGTCAATGTTTTTTCTTAAAAATTCACTATGTTTTTTAAAATATCATGTCTTTTAGTTAAATATAACATGCGAAATTTAAATGTTACATGCTATTTTGAAAAATCTCACGAAACTGTCTCACATATCGTTGATCTTGCAACAAACGAAGGATAGTTTTGGTATTTCACATCATCCGACAAGGTGGGTCCATGGCTATTTTCCAACAAAAAACTTTCTCTCCGCTATTTTATTAATTTGAGTGTTTTATTTGGCTATTTCTTAATATCTCCCTTTCTTTTTTGGCTTTTGCATGTTCTCTCTCTACTTTTTTTTCTTTGGTCAAAATCTCTGTCTCTTCTTTTTTACATGGCTTACCGAAAGTTAGTCGTCATGTAAAATTTGATTTTGAAAAACTATTTTATATAAACTTTATCTTATATAACATCAAATATTCGTTATCATCTAACCAGTTTTTCAAACTAAACTAGAACCATCACTTTTACTAGATTTTTTTTTAAAAAAATTCTGACTAAAAATATTTGAAGTGTTACAATATTAACAATATATGGGCCAAATAATAGTGAAAACCAAATCGGTGAAACTACTTTATATCATTGACATTTTTATTTTATTTTCTTCGCATTGACATCTTCAATTTGTGATTATGGAGATTACGGGCTAATAAACATGCATGTTCAGTTTTATCGTCCGTAAATTCTATCATAAATACATTGACCATTTGATCTCATAATAATACTAACCCTACCTACAGCTTCAAAGAAGTTAATCCCAAAGGACCCAAACTATACTATACATAATTTACATGCAATCCAGAACTGTATAGTTTTCTTTTAATAATCCTCAATCAAGCTATTTAACAAGAAGAGTCGATCACAAATCCCATATTTTTATTTAACCAAAAAAAGAAGAAAACCACCACACATATCAGTATATCACATATATTAGAGCATCCTTAACACAAACCATTTAAGTGCCAACAAGCCCAAACCATGAGACAAACAAGCCCATGACTAGCCCATGTAATTAGAGTTCTCTAGCAAGATAATTTACTATATGAATTGTGTAATGAACATCATTAATGTTTCTAACTTTTGGGAGTTGCCACTTAAATGGCTTGTGTTAATGATGCTCTGATAACATATGTTACATATGATATGTATATAACGGGGTTGATCACAAACCCATGTTTTTCCTTTGGCTTAAAGCTCTAAAACGATTAGACCGATCTTGGGTACCTCTACATTAGTTTTAGTGCTTTGCGTATGTCATTGTGTCATAGTTATCATTAGTCTACACTAGACCTAAGAGTCTAAGACCTTGGTTTGATACTGTAATATAGACCCAAGACCTTGGTTTGATAAAAATGTTGCAAAATAATTTGTGTATTCTTTTTTTTTCCAATCTGATTAATCTCTAATAAAAAGAATTGTGATCATTAGTCAACACTAATCCTCTAATCCATTTACAATTTGTATGCACGTCAAAAAGAATTTGTATGCACGTCAAAAATTAGTAGTGGCGGACCATTACCGCCAAAAACTATTTGTATGTTTTTGCTTTCGTTTAACAACCACAAAAATTTTCAGATATTTTGAAAATGTTCTTAAACTATAAATTAGTAGTACATGTTAGTAAAACATACTCCATCTGTTCCTAGTTATTTGATGTTTTGAGTTTTGCACACAAATTAAGAAAAATTAACTTTTATATTTTTTAATTATTATTTTGTTAGTTTAATAATATTAGTTTTACTTCTCTCCTTTCTCTATTGGTCATAAACAAAAATAATAATCATACTTTTACTGAACATCAAACTTAGTGGAACAAGTAAAAGATCTAAAACATCAAATAACTAGGAACAGAGGGAGTATTTTTTTCTCTAAAAATATATTTAATCCAATGAACAAAAATTCAACTCTTTTTTAAAAAGTATTTACCTGTTACTGGAACTTTAAGCCTTTTTTAATCTTTCATGATTAAGAAATTAAAAGGATTAATTAAATTAATTTATTTAAAAAGGTCCGGGGCGAATTTAGGAATTAATCGAAAAGTTTGGGGTCTTTTCAAGCTTTAAAAGTTATATGGGTAATATCCGCAAAAAGAACGAAAACTTTTTCAATTTTAGAATTTTTTTTTTGAAAAAAGCCCTAAAGCTTTCGAGGGAAGCCATTGATGAAGAAGAAGAAGAAGACTCTTCAAATGCTCGCGCGAACTCGCTTCTGACGAAAACCATAGAACCCTTCTTTCTTCCTCAGCCTCATTCCATTTCCGACGAACTAAGACTAAAATGGCGAACAAGCTCAAAGTCGACGAACTCCGTTCAAAACTCGCCGAGCGTGGACTCAGTACTACCGGAGTCAAAGCCGTTCTGGTATTTCTCTATTTACCTTTCTCTGAATTGCATTCAACTCTTCTTCTCTATTTTGTTAATATTCGGCTTTGTTTTTGGGGGTTTCGTGTAGGTGGAGAGGCTTGAAGAAGCTATCGCAGAAGACACTAAGAAGGAAGAATTAAAGAGCAAGAGGAAAAGAAACCGAGATTCTTCGGATGTTACTGATGAATCGAACAAATTGATTGCAATTGGCGAATTTCGTGGAATGATTGTGAAGGAGTTGCGTGAAGAAGCTAATAAGAGAGGCTTAGATACAACGGGAACCAAAAAAGAACTTCTTGAGAGGCTTTGCAATGATGCCAATAACGATTCCAGTGCACCAGTCAAATCTGGTAATGAGTTGTTCTACTATTGATTCTTGTTATGTTGATGTGAATTAATGTTGTTATTGTCATTGTGTTTTTAGGGACAGATGGAGCTGAAGATGACAGAAATGGTTTTGAAGAAGAAAAGAAAGAAGAGAAAATGGTAACCGCGACAAAGAAGGGTGCTGCGGTATTGGATCAATGGATTCCTGATGAGATAAAGAGTCAGTACCATGTTCTACAAAGGGTAAGAAGTATTATGAACCTAATCTTGAGTTTTGCATCTTATTGTGTTTCATGATTGTGGTTAGAAACTGGGATTTTTTGTTGAATGTTGTAGGGTGATGATGTTTATGATGCGATCTTAAATCAGACAAATGTCAGGGATAATAATAACAAGTTCTTTGTCCTGCAAGTCCTAGGTCAGTCTTCCAAAACCTTAAACAATACTTTCCTTGTTGCCCTGGCTGTTCTGGTCACTTTCGAAGAGTAATAAGACCATACTTGTATTGTTTGGGTACTGGAAAGTGGAAACCTCTTGAAGCGGATTTTGATGACTCTTCCGTCATTATTCTTGGTTTCCCAATACCATCATCATGGATCTCTCTTATCTATTGTGCATTGTGCAGAGTCTGATAGTAAAAAGACATACATGGTTTACACTAGATGGGGAAGAGTTGGTGTGAAAGGACAAAGTAAGCTAGATGGGCCTTATGACTCATGGGATCGTGCAATAGAAATATTTACGAATAAGTTCTGTGACAAGACAAAGAATTATTGGTCTGACAGAAAGGAGTTTATCCCTCATCCCAAGGCCTATACATGGCTCGAAATGGATTACGGAAAAGAGGAAAATGATTCACCGGTGAGTGTTTCGCAATCCTCACTCCTCAAGTCCTATTTCTTCTTACTATTTGTTGTCTGGTATTATCCAAAGGATCTGCTGGAATGAGGTTTTTGTGTGCATATCTACTTCTTTGTTTTTCAAATTGAACTCTCTTTTTTTTTTCCGCTTAATTGAAGTTACATACTTCTCTCATTGTTCAAATGCACTTACTCTGAGTTCCAATTTTTTTTTTTTCAGGTCAATGATATTCCTAGTTCATCTTCCGAAGTTAAACCTGAAAATTCAAAACTTGATACTCGGGTTGCCAAGTTCATCTCTCTTATATGTAATGTCAGCATGATGGCACAACATATGATGGAAATAGGTTTGTAGTCTAACTTTGATCACTTCATTCAAGTGAGAGAATCCATTGGCAGAATTAGCAGTAATTTTATATGTCGATACACTATCTCTTAGTTTTGGTGTCCTATTACCTGCGTTTGTACTTCCTATCTTTTGTCCCATCCATTTGTTTGTCATTTTCCTGGTTTCTTTACTTCTAGCTGATTTTTCATACATCCTCTCACAAATTTATAAAATTTGGAATTGAAGGATATAATGCTAACAAATTGCCACTCGGCAAGATAAGCAAGTCCACGATTTCAAAGGTAAAGATAGTAAACAGTTTGTTTGGTCTCATTTCCGTAAATTATAGTTTGGTGCTATTTCAGATGATATCTCCTCTTCAATCTGTCTAGGGTTATGAAGTGCTGAAGAGAATATCGGAGGTGATTGACCGGTTTGATAGAACGAGGCTTGAGGAACTGAGTGGGTATGTATCTGGTTAATTACTGGACTACGTGTCACGTTTAGTTGATTATATAATTGTTTCCCACAAAGAAATTAGATTTGAAATAGTCTAACTTTGTTTATCATTGATGCAGAGAGTTCTATACTGTGATACCCCATGATTTTGGTTTTAAGAAAATGAGTAAGTTCATCTGCATTTTGCATCTGTGCTAAAAGTTTAAGATATATATATATATATATATATATATATATATATATATAACCAAACATTCACTAACATCTGAATTCGGAGTTGTAACAGGTCAGTTTGTTATAGACACTCCTCAAAAATTGAAACAGAAAATAGAAATGGTAAATTTTTCTACTGTTGCCTACTTGACTAGTTTTGGTCTTCAGAAATGGTTGGTTGCTACATGTTTTGTGTAGTTTTTTTATATATTTTTTCTTTTAATGTAAGGTTGAAGCATTAGGTGAAATTGAACTCGCAACAAAGTTGTTGTCGGTCGACCCGGGATTGCAGGTAAGTCAGTCAGTCTATGTGGTTTGAAGGCATGAAATTGATGATATGACATTATTTTTTGCAATGGCTGTAGGACGATCCTTTATATTATCACTACCAGCAACTTAATTGTGGTTTGACGCCAGTAGGAGCCGATTCAGAGGAGTTCTCTATGGTAAATTTTCGTTTTTGTGAACTTTGAACAAAATCTTTGATACCCGAGTATCTCAAACATGTCTGTGTTTTAAACCTTTTACTGTCTACTTCTCAAAACCAAAATCAGGTTGCTAATTACATGGAGAACACTCATGCAAAGACGCATTCGGGATACACGGTTGAGATTGCTCAACTTTTTAGAGCTTCGAGAGCTGTTGAAGCTGATCGGTTCCAACAGGTATGTGATGGTATTTCGAGCTTGTCCGTCTCGTACACATTATTATGATTTCTCATTTTGGCATTGTTGAGACTTTAATTTTTCTTGGTAGTTTTCAAGTTCGAAGAACAGAATGCTACTCTGGCATGGGTCACGTCTCACTAATTGGGCTGGTATTTTATCTCAAGGTAACATGTCACTCTTTTTCCTCTTAGTGTTTATTTGTTTTCTTCTCCTCTTGGGGGATTTTCAATTGCATAGTGAAATGAACTAGTATGAGACACCAAACAGGCCTGCGAATAGCTCCTCCTGAAGCGCCTGTAACTGGTTACATGTTTGGAAAAGGTGTTTACTTTGCGGATATGTTCTCCAAGAGTGCGAACTATTGCTACGCTAACACTGGTGCTAATGATGGCGTTCTGCTCCTCTGCGAGGTATACTCGCTTCTTGTCTCTATTCATATGGAAAACAACAAAACTCCTATCTATCAACAGGACCTCTATAGCATTCAACATAACTACCCTTATCTTTCCTAATGATAAAAACTTCTCTAGGTTGCTTTGGGAGACATGAATGAACTTCTGTATTCAGATTATAACGCCGATAATTTACCCCCGGGAAAGCTAAGGTACGAAGATAATCTCATTTCACACAAGTTCCTTATCTCAAACCGCAATGAATTATGATTTACGATATTTGTACTGTACCTTGATTTGCAAAATTGATGGTTGCAGCACAAAAGGTGTGGGGAAAACAGCACCAAACCCATCAGAGGCTCAGACACTAGAAGACGGTGTTGTTGTTCCACTTGGCAAACCAGTGGAACGTTCATGCTCCAAGGTTTTGTTTTGCTTCGACACATTTACAAAATCCAACTCGCTCAAATTGAAAGTCAAATTTATAATGAATTGATTTTTGCAGGGGATGCTGTTGTACAACGAATATATTGTCTACAATGTGGAACAAATCAAGATGCGTTATGTGATCCAAGTCAAATTCAACTACAAGCATTAAAACTTACGTAATTATTCATAACAGACTAGCTTTTGTATTTTGCTTGGAATTTGACCCAATTATTTATCCAAAAAACAGCTTTTTATTGTATTTCTTTCAAACTTGTCAATCTGATTTAGTGATTTTGGCATTTTTGCACATAATTTCTTGGTTTTGACAAAAAAAAGAAAATGACGGTTTAATCATAACCGCAAACCATGCCGAATTTTATCCGGTTTAGTTGGTATATTATTGAGAAGAAGCCCTACAAAATTCTCAACAGGAGTTGTTTGTCAAAAAAAACAAGGCAGAGGCAGCCATGGGAGAAAAGAGGAGATCTAGTTCGAAAACCCTAGCTAAGAACAAGAAGAGGAAAGGTCCTCATTTACCTAATTCGATACTCAAGACTATTGCCAATGAGAAACGTCCTTTGAACTCCGACGAAGAAGACGATGACATCCATTCCGATGATGAGAACGTCGATATGTATGAGTACGAAGAAGGTGAGCCTGAGGAAGAGTCCAAGAAAAACAATCGCTATGACCGTGTCGATAACTACGAATACGAGCTTCCCGAAGATTTCGAGGTTTTATTCTTTTTTTCTCATCGCCGCCACTGTATGAATTGCAAGTTTTGAACTTTAGTGATAAGAAGATAAGAGACATATTTTCGTTTTAGCTCAATTAGGGTTTTTGCTTATTGGACTTTAGCTATAAGTCTATAACAAATTGGTGAATCAAAAATTGAGAGTTATATAAAGTTTTTAATTGATTGATTGGTAATGAGAGTCAGATGATGATGACGATGGTGGTAACAGCGATACTTTGTCTATATCTTTATATAGGATGAAAATGTGGAGTCAGATGATGATGAAGATGGTGGTAACAGCGACAATGAGGATGGTGAAGGTGATGATGATAGACACACTCGTATGTTGCAAGGTCTCACTGGAATGCCAAGTGCAGCCTTTCAAGGTACTGACAGTAAAGACTGTGACTTTTTTTTCTCTGAGTTTTGCTTTTAGCTTTGCATTTTTTGTAGCTGTAAATATATCTTTATGTTTTTTTTTTTTGTTTACAGGAGAGAGTAAGAGAAGACCTGTACTCTTTACTGAAGCGTATCCAGAGTCTGAATTCAATCCTACACGTGATGTTCTGGAGGGTAAAGGCCTCATTTCAGTTGAGGACCTTTTGGCGCCTCTTGAAGGAAAACCTGGGTTTAACGATCTTAAGAAGAGGATCAACCGGATGCAGAAAGATACTCAGTCTGTTGTTCATGCTCCTCTGCCAAAGCCAGAACGAGAAAGACTGGAACGGAAAGCTGTGAAAGGACTAGTTGAGAAAGAGTTTAATAAGTGGGTGCATCTGGTCAAGAGGAATAGGGAGGCACCAACTGTTTACTTCAACCAAACTGTCAGTGTTGGGTACTCTACAGTTGGCGCAATAGCATCAGAGTTTCAACCCAGGACTGAATTCGAGAAGAAAATGGCTTCTGTACTCAATGATAACGAGCTTGGGGAGGCTCACAAAGAAGATGGCGCTAAGCTTCTTGAATTGAACGAGGCAAGTTCTGTGATTTAGTTCTTTCCTGCACACAGCTTATTCGACTTATAATATAATCTGGCATGTGGCTGTGTTGAAGATAGTTTATATGAATATCTGATTTAACCGTTTGGATGAACTTTTGATCTGGCAGGTGTCAATGGAAGACCACATCAAGTACCGTGACCACATTGCCAAGATGCGGAGCCTGCTCTTCCGCCATGAACTGAAAAGTAAACGTATCAAGAAGATTAAGTCTAAAACTTATCATCGCCTTAAAGGCAAAGACCTGAAGAAATCGGCGATGGGAGCATTTATGGACCCAGAAATGGCTAAAGAAGAGGCTATTAAGCAGGAGACTAGACGAGTAGAGGTGAGTCTCAAATTTCTTCAACCTGCACAAAGTTTCTCATCAAGACACTGTCAAGTAATAAATAGTCTTGTTTGTGCTCATGAAGGAACGGATGACGTTGAAGCACAAAAACACAGGAAAATGGGCCAAACGCATGTTAAGCCGTGGACTGAATGAGAGATACGATGGAACTCGGGCTGCTATATCTGAACAACTTCAGATTAATGCTACTTTGTCAAGAAAGATGAACTCCACGAACGATGGAAGTAGCAGTGATGAGAGCGACGATGAGGAAGAGTTGAGTTGTGGTTCAGATCAGGATACTCCTTCTAAATTGATAGCAAAAGCCAGGGAGAAGACACTGAAAACTGTGGAAGATGATGAAGTACCCAATTCTGGTCTTCTTTCATTACCTTTCATGGTAATTCTTGCTTTACTTTCTCAAAACATATTTGATAATTTTATTCTGGTTTTCCTTCATTCGTTAGACTCAGTCTAATGTTTTTTATTTGATTAGGCTCGTGCTATGAAAAAGAAAAACGAGGAAGTTAATGAAGAAGCTAAACGTGCATTTGAGGAGTATGAAGAGTTGGAGAATTCTGGTGGAGCAGAAAATCCTAGAAAATCCGCTGATGTTAGTGGTAGAAGAGTATTTGGTGCCACCTCTAAAGTCGAAGCTCCAAAAGAGTCTAAAAAGGACTCGGACAACTTTTATGACAACAGTGATAGTGACAATGATATGGAAGGCATAGAAAATAGTGACCTTGGGGCTGTTGGAGATACTGCTTCACCTGCTAGAAACACTGGAGCCATAACAGAGGCTGAGGTACCATGGGTTTTTCGTTCGGTTAGTCACAATGGTTCTCTCTTTGCTCCTGTTCAACTCCCTGATAACAATTTTTTTTGTTTGTAGAAGCTCGATGATGATGTTGAAAATCCAGCTTCTAAGACAACATTTGATGTTGCCTTATTTGCGTCAGGCTCTTGGAAGAAGGTTCGCTTTGACAATATTCAAGTCAGGCTTCGTTTCCGTTTATGTTATCTTTGATTAACTTGTTTTTCTATGTTGTGTAGATGAAAGGCTGCCAAAATGCAGAATCCAAAAAACCTCCAAAGACACATAAACCAATTTCAAAGGGCCAAGATAAAAAGGTTTGGTTTCCTAAAACTTAACCTACCTTTTCTATTTTATCTTTTTCTTCTCCTCACTTCTGTGTTTTTTTTTTCTTTCTTTACAATTATTGAAGGAATCGAGAGATGAAGAAAGTGAAGATTCCGAGAGTGAAGCAGAGCAAATGGTTGATGGGATTTTGACATCTGCTTCAAAGGAAACCTATGAAATTCCTTCTCAAGCAGAGCTTATACAACGTGCTTTTGCTGGTGATGACGTTGTTGATGAATTTGAGAAGGATAAACAAGAGGTTCTAAATCAGGAAGTTCCTGAACCGGAAAAACCAGTTCTAGTTCCTGGTTGGGGACAATGGACCAATATCCAAAGAAAGAGAGGTTTACCTTCATGGATGGTTAGAGAACATGAGGATGCAACGAAAAAGAGAAAGCTAGATCTCAAAACAAGGAAAGACTATCGTCTAAGAAATGTTATCATATCAGAAAAAGCCGATAAAAAGGTCAGTGTCTTGCTTGATATCTCAATCCCTCAATTCGTAATCATCCCTTCATGCTCACATTATCTGTTTTTGACAGGCTGACAAACTTCATACAACGACTCTACCTTTCCCATATACATCTAAGGAAGTTTTCGAACACAGCATGCGCATGCCTATAGGACCCGAGTTTAATCCTGCGACTATTGTTGGAGCTCTAAACCGACCAGAGGTTCGTTTTAATTATTTTGTTAAACTCAGTAGCACCCATGTATTAAAATGTTGCATTTCTTTTGACCTCGTGCCGCTAACCTTTGTATGCAGGTTGTGAAGAAAGCTGGTGTGATAATTAAACCGGTCAAATTTGAGGAAGTGAATCCAAACGAGAAAGTTGATGACGAAAACCCTCGAAGCCATCAAAAACAAAGACCCAAAAAGGGTAGTAAAACCAGTAAAGGTCAAAGCAAAATCAAGTCCAAGCTAAAGTCCAAAGCTTAGCTCCAAAATTTTTGTATTCTCAAACTTGTTTAGACACAAATTTTGATACGAAAAGAAAAAGTTTTGCTTTGTAATTTGTCTTATTTATAAAAGAGACTTTTTGTTTGTTTCATTCAGAGCTCTTCAAATCCTTGTTCATCTCCATCTTCTTCCACTCTTTGAAATTCTTGTCTCCATTTCTCCATCTGCAAGATTTTTACAATTAACTGAGATGATTAAGTAATAATAATGGAGGCCTCGCCACTTAATAGAGACATTCATTACCTGATCATCTGAAAACTTGAGCTGTTGTGCGATAAACAGAACCGTGTCATGGTTTACTGGTGAAGGTAATGCAACTCCTAAACTCGCAGCAATCTCTTCATAGCTAACTACTTTCACCCGAAAACCATTGCTCATGAACAGTTTCTCCATCCACTTTGACAAATCTGACTGCATTCAACACCGCGTAAAGATTATAAATCAAAAGATAGATACTTTAGTATAAGGTAGAAGTCCAAAGATAGTTGAGAGATCAAAGTGACCTGGAGTGTTATATTTGCAGGCAATTCTCCTATGAGATAGCATTCATTCATGGCCAAACTACTAATGGCTGATAGAATAGCTTCAAAACCTGATTGTGACTCGTAAGGTAAACCCTGTTATGAATAGGATGAATCATGTCAACATATAACATTCATGTAAATTGCCTGGAAGAAGGGAGATATGATGAAAAACACATAACACCTGCATTGCCCATATACTTGGTCGATTCCCACTAAACCCTTTTGAGCGTAAACGTTGCTCTATGTTCCCGGATTCCACGGGAATGTGAAAGAATAAGCAACTTTTAGGGATCCTAGCTCCCACACCTGGATCAGTTAAAGGAAACAATATCCAACCATGGAACGTTTTAACAATCCCAAACAAAACTAAGGAGCATCCAAGTTCCGGGAAATTAAAAAGCACAAACCTTGAAGCTTTTCAGATGCTATTTCAAAAACCTTTTCAGGTGATACATCAAAAATCATAGTGGAAGTTGGCCAATTAAGCCTATAAGGTCGAGTATCCATGCCATCTGTGAACAAGACAACCTGCAAAGATGTGATTACACATAAACAATTGAACTTCCACTCTATAATTTTAAAGAGAATGACTATAGAAGTAAAGTAACCTGCTTAAGTCCATCAATGCGTTTAGCTATATCTAATAACTTGTCATCGATGAACTTTGTTGCAAGACAGTAATGTTGTTGTTGTTCATGGATGTCTAATTCCTTCTTTGTGTAAGGAGGTAAGAAACAAGCGGCATATGGGTCGATGAAGAGAGGCTCTGCGTTCAGAAAGTAGAAAGCTTTTAGTCAAATTTCTTCAAGAAACTAGTTGATCAAGCTATATTGGTATGTGTTCGACGAAATGCCTAAGAGAAGGTTAAGACCAGTAATCAGCAGTTTCGAGGATAATCTGTTGGGAGAATCTTAAGGAAATTGAAAAAATGAACTCTTTGAGTAGAAAACGAGAGAAATTGCTTGCCTGTTCGATTGGTTTCTCGCAGACGAAGAGATGCTGAATCTAAAGCTGATTGAATCAAATGGTCATTCTCTTCTCTAAGCTCTGCTCGTAAGGAACGAACGGCGGACGTCGGAATCCGACAACGACGGAGTGCGGTGGCCGGAAAGTGTAGAGAAGGAGCACATAGACTCTGCATCCGTAATGATATCGCTGACTTTTTGAATGAAGAAGAAGCTAACACCTCTGACGGAACCAGAAGTTTCAAGTAGATCATAATTTTTTTTGTAATTCTCAAACCAACTCCGGTTCAAGTAGTAGTCTTTGGTTAACTCCAATAACCACCGGTTAACCAGATGATTTCATGTTCACAACCCATCAGATAGTACTCAAACAGTTTTTGTAGTCATGTTGTATTCTTGGGCGATTGCACAAAGCAGAGCCGGTCCTAGAAATTTGGGGGCCAAAGCAACAAAATATTTTTTTAAGGTTATGATAAACAGTTATAAAATTTGGGGGCTTTTTCATAAAACTAAACTTTTTTGGGGGCCTATTTACATATATTTTTTCTAGCTAAATTTTTAAGAAAATTTGGGGGCCACATACATTTGCTTCATGTTGCTCCCCTCAGGGCCGGCCCTGGCACAAAGTAATGTCAAAGATCTCTCTAGCTTATTTATATTCATCTAGAGGACTCTCCAAGCTTTGTGTTTACAAAATTACACTTCTATAACCATGTCTTATCAACCACCTCTACTTTGAAATACAACATCATAAAGCGTAAACCGGTCCATAAAGTTACAATGATTTATATCAACATGGTCCCTATCATGTGCAAACAATTTCTTTCTACATATGTAATGTAACTATGTAATAAGACATATAAATGTTCTAATATTCAAAAATCACCTCCCGCCAGAGAGTATAGAATAAGCAATCGAAGATCCACTGGTAAATGTGCTTGCCTCACTAAATCCGTGGTGGATTCCCAACATTTTCCCACTCCCACGGAAGTCCAACGGCGATAAATCTGGTAACGTTGCATCTCCTCTTAGATACTGTAGCACTTGTCTCATTGTTGGTCTAACTTGTGGGTCGGAGTGAGAGCATAACAAACCTAGCTTCAAAACCATTTCGACCTCTCTTTGGTGATAGTCCGATCCAAGATTCGGATCCGTAGCATCCAAGATGTTTCCCTCTATCCAAAACCCAAAAACCAAATCCACTAGCAAGACGCTCTCATCACTCTCGATTTCAATCTCGATAGGACGTCTGCCGCACGCAACTTCTAGTAGGAGCACCCCAAACGCAAAAACATCAGTAGCGGTTGTGGCCCGTCCTGTTCTGACATGATCGGGGGCTAGGTATCCCCAAGTTCCAACGACACGCGTAGTTTGAGGATCCGAACCGTGATCGCACAACCGAGCTAAACCAAAATCCCCGAGTCTCCCATTGTACTCCACGTCTAACAAGATGTTGCTGGCTTTGATGTCGCGGTGAATCACCACTTGTTCCCATTCCTCGTGGAGATAGAATAAGCCAGAGGCCACACCTATAATTACATTAAACCTCTGTTTCCAATCGAGCGTTACCTCGGGACAATCGTACAAATACTTGTCTAAGCTTCCATTAGGCATGTAATCATACACCAGAAGAAGCTCGTCTCTACGACGGCAATAACCCAAGAGAGGGACTAAGTTCCGGTGACTCATCCTACCAATACTCACAATCTCAGCCACAAACTCTTTCAACCCTTGTCGAGATTCATTCGACACTCTTTTCACGGCAACCTCCTTCTTCGTCGTCGGCATGACACCTCTATAAACCCTCCCAAACCCACCTGATCCAAGAAGGTCCTTATCCTTGAACCCTTTAGTGGCATAGTACAAGTCCTTAAACCTTAACCGGTTCTTCCCAAACTCTGTTTCCCAATCTTCAAGCTCCTCCGCAAACTTTCTCCTCCTCCTCACGATAAAGCGCACGAGGAAGATAAGCAAGACAACAAACAAGAGAGGAATCAACAAGAGGGAAAATAACGGCATCCGGTTCTTATAAAACCTCTGTAATCTCGTTGGCCCGACCCTCGGAAATTTCGGAATTTTTGATAAAGTCAACGGCGGAGCTGTCTTCCCTTTCACCATGAAACTCCACCCAAAAACAAAATGTTCCGACAAAACATAACCAGTCGCAGAAGAGAAACCTAAGTACATATCTTGCAAGAAAACCGAAGATAGATCTCTAACAACAGAAACAAGCGGTTTTCTAGGTTTAACTTCACCAAACGGAGCCATGGTTACATCGATTTGATTAGTACGATCATCGTAATCAACCCAAACTTGCATCCGTTTACGACTTATCAAAGTCAGATTGTTAAACCGACCGTTCTCGTCCCAATACCCAGCAGGCGAGCTTTTAACCGATGTCAAGCTATTTATATTGATTCCCACATGGTTATCGTTCGTATCATTGAACTCAGGGTTCATGATCGTATCAAATTCGACAGCTAGTATATGATTTGTATCGTTACCGTTGTTGGTGCTGTTGAAGAGACCAAGGTATTGGCTGGCCATGGCGGATGAGAGGACGGGTTTAGGAGCGATGAAAAAGGCCATGCCATGGCCGCTAATCGTCGGGATCCCAGAGTAGATACCGATGACGAAGGTTGTGGAGAAGGACGAGACAGTATCGTTTGGAGAATCTTTGAACCGGATTGGTTCGGAGTAGAAAGCGTGACCAGTACTTATCACGGTTTTGTCTGTTAGCTTCAAGATACCGTTGGGTGTGACTGTGGCAATCCCTTGGATGGATATGTTAGTTGGTGGACGATGGAAGCTATTGTAAGTGAAGTCGAGAATTTGAGAAGATGACTTTAAGGGTTGAGAGAGTAGGATGAAGAAGAAGAAGATGGTAAAGAGCTTGAAGAACATGGCTCTGTTTTTTTTTTTTTTGCTTTTCTTGTTGGCTTCTGGTGGTTTATAGACTTTAGATACTTTGAGTTTTCGAAGAATGTAAGACTAATAATATATGGTGTAGAGAGTGTAGAAAAGTCGTATTTTGTTGGTCAAAGGAAAAGTCGTAGTGTTAAACCAAATTAGAAGTCATTGTGGAGACTCACGAAGACGGAGACGGGTGATAGTAACGGGCGATAGAGGCTTTGATTGGTAATGTTGTGGTACAAACTACAACGTGTGTCGTCTCATATCTTATTTAGTGAAGCTGACAAAATAGCAAACTATAGTCATAACTGTTTCTTTTAATTTCCATTAACCGCAACCGTAAGTAATGGTGTTACTACTCTGTTTCCTATGTTTCCTATAATCAAAGAGCAAAACCATGTTTCAAATTACTTTGTCGTATCAAAATGCATCCCTATCTTCTTCTTCTTCTTCTTCTCTTTGTCCTATCAAAAAGCATTACTTTGCCAGCTACACTAAAGAAATATAGTCACATAGTCATACATAGAATTGAAAATATCTCGTTAGCTATATGAAATATTGCCATCATATGCAGATATTTCCAAAAAGCATAAGTGATTTATGATAAAATATCAAAAGTATGTTTCAAATTACTTTGTCGTATCAAAAAGCCCCCTTATTTTCTTCTTCTTCTTTTTTTTTTGTTGTTGTTGATCGAGACCACTTTGTATTAGAAAAAACTTTCTATCTTTCATATTTTATCTTTTATGTTGGTTTTGATTCCGACCACACACGTAGTATCAAATAAATTGAAAATAATTGTTCACACTCGGGCATTTTATTTGCACAAGGATAGTGATGAGTCATGACTAAGTCAAAGAGACTAAGTCTTTTCTTCTAATTTCCATTAATATTAAATAATGGTGTCACTACTCTGTTTCATATAATATAGGAGCCAGAATAACTTATGATCTGTTATCCACATTTCAATAAAATAAAATAGAGATTTTTTTGTCTAAGAAACTCTTGTGTTGAACTCTTCTAACCGTTGAGACCTTATCGGTAAAAAATAACGATAGAAAATAGATACTATTTTCTATCGTTATTTTTTACCGATAAGGTCTCAACGGTTAGAAGAGTTCAACACAAGAGTTTCTTATATATCAGTGTTTTTGATCTCCTTAAAGAAATTCACTACTCTCTAGATTAAGAATCACTTGATTTAGAAAATGAGTTTGAAATGAAAGATCTAATGACTCCTTCCGGCCAGTGACTATTGTAAGAATATTTTCTTCTATGTGGCCTATGTGTCTTACGGTTTAATTATATAGTTCAAGTTTATATTAAAGTTAAGAATTCTAATATTAAAGACGACACCGTGATGGATCGGTTTCGATTAAAGAATTAGAATTTGGGTGTATTGATAACCCTCCTCCCTTACCTAAATATATACTGTATAAATATCTCTCTATTGTTATATGTATTAAATTAGTAGTTAATATATAATTAACTACATATGGATCATACTACATATTTAACATTAAAAGGTGGTTACTAAAAGATGGTTACGTATAAGTAATTGTGATGGTTCATCATAATTATAAAAGGGAAGTAACCACATGTTTTATTAACGTAAGAAAAAACGTGACCGTACGGAAAAGAGAGAGAGGAGGATTTGATTCCTTCTCCATCAAAAGGAATCGTAAGGATTAAGAGGTCAAAGGGAGGAGAAAATCAATTGGTGAATTGATTCCATTACAAGCCTAATCAAGCAATGGATCAAGGTTAGTCTTTCTTCTTCTACAAGAAAGTGTGTGGTTGAATTAAATTGAATCTAGATGATCTTGGGAATTAGATTTCATGATAGAAATCATAAAAGTTTAATTTATATTTGGTATCAGAGCATTCTAGATTTGTTTAATTCACCATGTTTAAACGTACGGTACCATGAACGAATGTTTAAAGGTTCGCTTTAGATTCTGGAATTTTGGTGTGTGGTTCATCGTCGTAATCGTATTTAGCACATATAAGTAACCGTCACATTTTCCTAATCGTCGTCTATACATATGTCTCGTGAATGAATATAGTACTTAAATATCTATTTAAATTCACGTTGAATAATATGTGTGCATGAGCAAGGAGATGTGTGTGCATGTTAATTCACGTAGAACCACATTCAAAAGTCAAAAGTCTATGTTTTGTCTTGTTGATGGTTACTGCATATGAAAAGTCACGATTGTAAAATATTGAAAATATGCAGTACCATAGAAAGGATTATTGTTTGATTGCATAATAATGTTTGTATATACACGTTATATCGTGTATCTAAAATGCTTCCGCTGCATTTTATTAAAGGGTAATTGTGTTATGAAATATTAACACAATATAAAATAGTTATACCCATTAGAATTTTAGTGTTTATATTGTATATAACTTGTTAGTCACCAAAGTGGCCTTGTTATATTACATATAGACATTAAAATAAAATTTAAAGATTTATAATTGATCATGATTAAAGAGATGCTAAAAATGACATTAAAATTTTGATTGATCAATTATTTTATTATCTATATCCTTGGAGATAACCCAAAGGTGGATCATTGGAGATAGTTAATAATACGAAAAGAATTAATCATTTCCAATATAGTCAATAATATGTATATCCAAAGGTAACATGTTTATTTGATTATATGTGTGATTTGATTAATTATAAAAGTATAAAATTTAGCATCGCTAAAAGTGCTAGTATTTAAGTATTGCCCAAAGGTTGCTTAAATATATGCTTTGAAATTTTTTTATGGCCTTAGAATCTGTATAAAAGTGTCAAAGCACTAATAGGGAAGCATGTTGAAATGTTTGCAGCTTCATCAAATTTGTTTGCATCCGCTAACTCTGTCGTGAAGTTTAATGGGCTGAATTATGAGGAGTGGTCTGAACAGATCCGGTTCACACTGGGTGTAATGACATTGGACCATGCAATCCTCACGGATGAGGAACCCTCAGCCATTACAGAAGAGAGCTCCGAAACTGAAAAGTCTCGCTATGAGTCTTGGCAGCGATCTAACAGGTTGAGTTTGAATCTCATGAGGATGACGATGGCGGAAAGTGTTAAGCCATCTATGCCTAAGACAGAGAAAGCGAGGGAATTCATTAAGAAAATTAAGGAGTGTTCACAATCGGATTTGGCTGACAAGTCGATTGTAGGAGGGCTCATGAGTGAGCTTACTACGAAAAAGTTTGACTGGTCTCAGCCAATCCATGATCATGTGACGCACATGTCTAACTTGGCATCCAAGTTAACGACCTTGGGAATGGAAGTTCATGAGCCTTTCTTGGTTCAATTCATCATGAACTCTCTACCTCTTGAGTTTAGCCAGTTCCAGGTGAACTACAACACCATTAAGGATAAATGGAACTATCAGGAGTTAAAGGCTATGTTGGTTCAAGAAGAGGGGAGATTAAAGAAGATGAAGGATCAAGTTGCTCATCTCGTGGGTCTTGGAAATGCCAGCAGCAGAAAAGGAAAACCAAGTATTAAGGATAAGAGGATAGAAAAGACTTTCGTGAAAGGGCCTGAAAGTCAAATCCATAAGGAAAGGAAGTATTTCTTTTGCAAGAAAATGGGACACTTCAAGAAAGATTGTCCGAAAAGAAAGGCTTGGATCGATAAGAAAGGTACGCAACATATTTATGTTTGCTCTGAATTGAATCTTATCGAAGTGCCTAATAATACTTGGTGGTTAGATTCTGGTGCAACTACTCATGTGTCTCATATTGAACAGGGATTCAGTTCGATTCAGCCCATAAGAGGGGCTGATCAATACTTGTTCATGGGAAACAGAATGAAGGCAAGAATCGAAGGCATTGGGACTTATAGGTTGATCTTGGACACTGGTTGTCATGTAGATCTTGAAGGGTGTCTCTATGTACCTGAATGTTCTAGAAATCTTGTTTCCGTAAGTAGATTGGACAATTTAGGTTTTGTTTTTAAGATTGGACATGGTGTTTTCTCATTGTACCGAAATGATTACCTTTATGGAAGTGGTACTTTGTTTGATTCACTTTATCGGTTTAATCTTGATGCAAAATTTTCTGAATCCTTGTTTAATATTGAAAGTCAAGGTATTAAGCGTAGTGCATCTAATGAAAGTTCAGCTTTCTTGTGGCATCAAAGATTAGGTCACATTTCCAAAGAAAGGATTGTGAGGTTGGTAAAGAATGACATTCTTCCTCAGTTGGACTTTAGTGATCTAAATGTGTGTATAGACTGTATTAAAGGAAAACAGACTAAACACATAGTAAAGAAACCAGCCACAAGAAGTACTCAACTTCTTGAGTTAATACACACCGATATATGTGGCCCATTCGATGCTCCATCTTGGAGCGGTGAAAAATACTTTATCACCTTTATCGATGATTACTCACGTTATGGATTTACTTATCTACTACATGAAAAGTCTAAATCGGTGAATATCTTAGAGGTGTTCATTGATGAGGTTGAAAGGCAATTAGATAGAAAAGTAAAAGTAGTGAGATCTGATAGAGGTGGTGAGTTTTATGGTAAATTCACTGAAAGTGGACAATGTCCAGGTCCATTTGCAAAGCTACTTGAGAGTAGAGGCATTTGTGCTCAATATACAATGCCTGGTACTCCTCAGCAGAATGGAGTAGCTGAGAGGCGGAATCGTACATTAATGGATATGATTAGGAGCATGTTAAGTAATAGTTCTTTACCCCTTTCATTGTGGATATATGCATTAAAGACTGCAACGTATGTCTTAAACCGGGTTCCTAGTAAGGCAGTTCCTAAGACTCCTTTTGAACTGTGGACGGGAAGGAAACCTAGTTTAAGACATTTACGTGTTTGGGGATGTCCAGCAGAAGAAAAGCCATATAACCCACATGAAAAGAAACTTGATTCTAGGACTGTCAGTGGATTCTTCATTGGCTATCCTGAAAAATCAAAGGGGTATACATTTTATTGTCCTAACCATAGTACGAGAATAGTTGAAACGGGAAATGCTAGGTTCATTGAGAATGGTCAAACTAGTGGGAGTGGTGAACCAAGAAAGGTGGACATTCAAGAAATTCAGGTTGAAGTTTCTTCACCTGATGTTCCATCTAAGGTTGTTGTTCCTATTGTTTCAGTACAGTCAAATGACACAATAGAACAACATGATGATGTACCAACCCCACTAGATGAAGGGACAATTAATGAACCTGTCACTATTCAAGAAGAGAATAATAGTGTACCACAAGAACCATTAAGGCGATCTGGAAGAGAAAGAAGATCGGCCATTTCAAATGATTATGTGGTTTACGCTATTGAAAGTGAATGTGACATAAGCCTTGATGAAGACCCGATCACATTCCGAAAAGCCATGGAAAGTGACAATTCTGAAAAGTGGTCAATTGCCGCAAAAGAAGAAATAAAATCTATGGGTGATAACGATGTTTGGGACTTAGTAGAGTTGCCTAACGGTTTCAAGACCGTTGGTTCTAAATGGGTCTTTAAGACTAAGCGCGACTCGAAAGGTAACATTGAAAGATACAAGGCTCGCCTTGTTGCTAAAGGTTTCACCCAAAAGGATGGTATTGACTATAAAGAGACCTTCTCTCCAGTTTCAAAGAAGGATTCTCTTAGAATTGTTTTGGGTTTGGTGGCTCATTATGATCTTGAGCTTCACCAAATGGATGTGAAAACCGCCTTTCTAAATGGAGAGCTTGAGGAGGAAGTATATATGGACCAACCTGAAGGGTTTGTGGCCACAGGAAATGAACATTTGGTGTGTAAGCTGAAAAAGTCGATATATGGACTAAAACAAGCTTCCCGACAATGGTATTTAAAGTTTAATGATACCATTACGTCATATGGATTTGTAGAGGTCATCGTTGATCGATGCATCTACATTAAGGTCAGTGGGAGCAAGTTTGTAATTTTAGTCCTATATGTTGATGATATTTTGCTCGCTGCTAATGACATTGGCATGTTACATGATATAAAGAAATATCTCTCTAAGAACTTTGAAATGAAAGATATGGGTGAGGCATCTTATGTGATCGGAATAGAAATTATTCGAGATAGATCACAAGGATTGTTAAGTTTGTCTCAGAAAGGATACATCAATAAGATCTTAGAGAGATATAGAATGGATGAATGCTCTGCTGGAAAAGCACCAATTCAGAAAGGGGACAAGTTCAGTAAAATGCAATGTCCAAGAAATGAATTGGAGCGTAAGGAAATGGAAAGAATTCCCTATGCATCAGTGGTTGAGAGTTTGAACTACGTTCAGACATGTACTCGACCAGATATCAGCTTTGCGGTTGGTATGTTGGGTCGATATCAAAGTAATCCCGGAATGGATCACTGGAAAGCTGCAAAGAAAGTTCTCAGGTACTTGCAAGGCACCAAAGAGCTCATGCTTACATACAGGAGATCCGATAACCTTGAGGTTATTGGATATTCGGATTCAGACTATGCTGGATGCGTCGATAGCAGGAAATCGACGTTTGGCTACTTGTTCCTATTAGCTGGGGGAGCAATATCTTGGAAAAGTGGAAAGCAGTCTGTCATTGCTACTTCCACTATGGAGGCCGAATTTGTGGCATGCTTTGAGGCCAAAATTCACGCATTGTGGTTGCGGAACTTTATCTCAGGGCTTCGGATTGTCGACTCCATAGAGAAGCCGCTGAGAATTTATTGTGATAATTCCGCAGCTGTATTCTTCTCTAAGAATGACAAGTACTCGAAGGGTGCTAAACACATGGAGTTAAAGTACTTGTCCGTAAAAGAAGAAGTGCAGAAACGTAGAGTTTCATTTGAGCATATTAGGACGGACATGATGGTTGCAGATCCGTTAACTAAAGGTCTACCACCCAAGGCGTTCATTGGCCATGTAGAGCGTATGGGGATTATAGACAAAGCCTTGCTATTTTAATTATAGTATGCTCATTATATGTACGATACTATGAATTCACTTAAAGTAACGTTTCTGGATTTATTAAGTATGTTATCATTAAAGTATATGTATACACTTAAGGTTTATGGATAACATATAGTTATTCTGAGAATTAAGGTTTCTCTCATTGTAAGGAAATTATAAAGTTAGAATTGGTTTGTGATACATGGAAGGGAGCATGTCGTTCAATGATGTGTAACCGCCATGATTCAATCAATTTTAATTTTAATTTAAGTAATTAAAGATCTAATAAACTTGATGTTAAAGCGCGCATTAAAGTTATTAAACCATTAAGTTGACACAAAGGCCAAGTGGGAGAATGTAAGAATATTTTCTTCTATGTGGCCTATGTGTCTTACGGTTTAATTATATAGTTCAAGTTTATATTAAAGTTAAGAATTCTAATATTAAAGACGACACCGTGATGGATCGGTTTCGATTAAAGAATTAGAATTTGGGTGTATTGATAACCCTCCTCCCTTACCTAAATATATACTGTATAAATATCTCTCTATTGTTATATGTATTAAATTAGTAGTTAATATATAATTAACTACATATGGATCATACTACATATTTAACATTAAAAGGTGGTTACTAAAAGATGGTTACGTATAAGTAATTGTGATGGTTCATCATAATTATAAAAGGGAAGTAACCACATGTTTTATTAACGTAAGAAAAAACGTGACCGTACGGAAAAGAGAGAGAGGAGGATTTGATTCCTTCTCCATCAAAAGGAATCGTAAGGATTAAGAGGTCAAAGGGAGGAGAAAATCAATTGGTGAATTGATTCCATTACAAGCCTAATCAAGCAATGGATCAAGGTTAGTCTTTCTTCTTCTACAAGAAAGTGTGTGGTTGAATTAAATTGAATCTAGATGATCTTGGGAATTAGATTTCATGATAGAAATCATAAAAGTTTAATTTATAACTATTGCATGAAAGACCGTTAAAACCGTCTATAAAGACTAAGGCAAGCATCCTCCAAAGATCGTGGACGTGGAAACCATTTTCAGATTTACCAAATGTATTGCACTATACACGAGTGGACGTGTCAACCAAGGTGGATGTGGTCAGTTGTCTCCCTCAAGATGATCATTAACCGAAGACAAAGATTCGGTTTTTATCTATTACAAATCTTATAACCAAAGCTAACCACATGGTGGTGGGCGAGTGGTTCTCGTTTGGTTGGAAGGATCGCCCTGTTGGTCTAGGCCAGGGATCGATCCTCCCCAGACGCAGTTTCGCTCTCTCACTCCTGTGGCCACCTGGGAATTTACCTGCGGACTTGCTCAGGCGCCCCAGACCACCAGTTTATCAGGGGGCCCTTAAGTGGAGGCTTAAAAATCCCTGTGACGCGGGCTTAGGCCCAGTGGGCTAGTCAGATCACTGTGTGGTCTGGATACTGGGTTATCAAAAAAAATAACCAAAGCTATTTGTCTACCAGTTTTTGTTTCTAAAACCTGTATGAGTTCGTGTCATGCCTTGATAATATTGTTATTTCTTACCATCATTTTTTATCTCTTACAGTTGTATTTCTATTTTTTTAATGTAAAAATATAATCCTATTAGTTTATTGACATATTTTTCTGTTAAAAAAATAGAGACGTAAAATCGAGTTCGTTAGGGTTGATTCAACGATATCTTTTGGTCATTAAATTAATGACTATTTTATTTGTCGTTGAATTCAACTCTATATTTGGGAGACAAGTAGGTGTTAGAGCATCTCCAATGGATGCATTTTTGGGTTCTCTGCTCAGGTTCTCATCAAAAAAATGTTGAAAAATAAATCAAAACTATAAATTATTAAGAGAGACAGCTCTCTTGAGAGAAATCTTGAGTAGTATGAGAGACGATGACGTGGCGTGTTCTCAACCGTCGATTTTTTTGATCAAAAAAAAAAAAAAAAAAAAAAAAAGAAGCCAAACACTTTTCTCATTTCCCGACTGTTTCCTCTCTTTCTTTGCGAAACCAAACACTGTTCTCAAGCTGTCTCCGACGATTGAGGTCACGATTGAAGCCGCCGGCGACGATTGAGGGAAGAATAGAGAGGCCGCCGGCGACGATTAGGCCGGATTCGTCATTTGCCCCACCGCATGTCACGATCGGGAGTGAGAGAGATACAAATCGGATATCCAAATTCAACGGATGGAGAATAATCGATTCAGCTTGAATTGTAATTGGTAAGAGCATATACTTCTTTTATATGCAGTTTATAATGATTTAATTTGGGGAATTTGATGTTCTTTGAATTTACAATTATGAATGTTTAATGTATGATGTGTTTGTAATATGAATTCTTTGTCTCTGTTTTGGTGAGGTTAAACGAAGTGGTTGAGTCTTTTCTTTTCTATTTTGCACTATGAATTTTACCTTTGTTGTGGAAGATTTCGTTGAAGTGAAATTTTCAAAGTGTACTTGTTGTATCCGTGAGCAGAATGAACATGATGTTGATTATGGTCTCTGGCTGAAACATATGTGTATACTCACTTTCTGGGCTCTCACTTTACAACAGAGGCATGGGGATGGAAGTTTGCTGCACCTTGGGCATGATTGAGAAACAACAAGCACTAGAGCTAAAGAAAGCTGGACTCACTGCCTATAACCACACTCTTGATACTTCAAGAGAGTACTACCCAAACGTCATCACTACTAGAAGTTATGACGAACGCCTTGAAACTCTTGAGCATGTTCGTGAAGCTGGAATCAACGTTTGTTCAGGTAACTTCAATATGAAAACATATAAAATCTGGATTTTCTTATTCTTGTATGCCTCAGTTCTATAGAACTAGAAGATTGAAACCTTTCTCCAGCTTGGTCATTAGACTCATAAGTCCCTAATATTCGTTGATTTGATAAATCCATAGATAAGAACAACAAACATGTTCTCAAGTGTTTTCCTTTTACCGATAAACAGGAGGAATCATAGGGCTTGGAGAGGCAGAGGAAGACAGAGTAGGTTTATTACAAACACTAGCAACACTTCCTTCTCACCCTGAGAGTGTTCCCATTAATGCTCTACTTGCAGTGAAAGGCACTCCTCTCGAAGACCAGAAGGTATATCTCGACAATCTGAAAACACATAATACAAGTCATAGCTACTTAGTGGTAAATGGCTTTGAAACCTTTTTTTTTTTGTTTTTGCAGCCGGTTGAGATTTATTGTATGAGTTGTGATGTGAAATATTGTGTTAGCTTGTCTATTTGCTAATGTAGAGGTAGGGAAAGCATTGAATAGATTCGAGCATATGCAAAAGTCAAATGTTATCTTTTGAGAGTATGTCATTTTGAGAGTCAAATGTAACCCAAGTTTTTAACAAAGCATCTTCTTATGTGAATGATTTCTTCATATGTCACACAAACTAGAACAAAACTTATATTAGATCAACCACAAAACTTAAATTTTTTTTTTCCTAAGAACCCCATTAGAGAGAAACTACCATTGGGCTAAGAAAAAAAAAATACAAACTCTCATCTAACAATTTGATAAAATTTGTATTAAAAAATTGGTGAGAGCCTATGAGGGACTCTCACCATTGGAGGTGCTCTTAGCGACCATTAAACTAAAATATTAACGCCAAATTTGTAGCAACCGTATTTTTTAAATAGTGTCCGAAATGTATCACTTAACCAGTAGGCAGTAGTAAGTTAGTAACACAAATATGTAAAAACAGTTTTGAGTACAAACAATTAAAAACCTATCATTTTTGTGACTTCTGTGATTAATTAGGACAATTTATTAGACAAGAAAATATATCTCTAAATATTTAAAAGTGGATACATAATTAGACTTCGATAACCACACACTTTGAATGCAACATCAATAAAAATAAACTCGTACGTACAAACTCTATATTCTGCAGATAATTGCATTCTACAAAGGTTATGATATACGAAAATCACCTCCCGCTGGAGAGTAGAGAATAAGCAACTGAAGATCCACTGGTAAACATGCCCGACTCACTAGATCCGTGATGGTTTCCCAACATCATCCCATTCCCACGCAAGTCCAACGGCGACAAATCTGGTAACATTGCATCTCCTCTTAGATAATGCAGCACCTGTCTGATAGTTGGTCTAGCTTGTGGATCAGGGTGAGAGCACAACAAACCTAGCTTCAAAACCATTTCGACCTCTTTTTGGTCATACTCAGACCCTAGATTCGGATCCTTGGCGTCCAAGATGTTTCCCTCCGTCCAAAACCTAAGAACCCTATCCACGAGCACGACCCTCTCACCACTCTCGTTATCAATCTCGATAGGACGTCTACCGCATGCCACTTCTAGTAGGAGTACCCCAAATGCAAAAACATCAGTACCGGTCGTGGCCCGTCCTGTCCTGATGTGATCGGGGGCTAGGTATCCCCAAGTTCCAACGATGTGCGTGGTTTGAGGATCAGACCCGTGATCACACAACTGAGCTAAACCAAAATCCCCGAGTCTCCCATTGAGCTCCGCGTCTATTAAGACGTTGCTGGCTTTGACATCGCGGTGAATCACCACTTGTTCCCATTCCTCGTGGAGGTAGAATAAGGCAGAGGCCACACCATTAATGACTTTAAACCTTTGTTTCCAATTGAGGGTTACCTCTGGACGGTTGTACAAATACTGGTCTAAACTTCCATTGGGCATGTAATCGTACACCAGAAGAAGCTCGTCTCTCCGGCGGCAATAACCCACGAGAGGGACCAAGTTCCGGTGACTCATCTGTCTAATACTCACGATCTCAGCCACAAACTCTTTTAGCCCCTGTCTCGATTCGTTCGAGACTCTTTTCACGGCGATCTCCTTCTTCATCTTGGGCATGAAACCTTTGTAAACTCTCCCGAACCCGCCTGATCCAAGAAGGTTCTTATCCTTGAATCCTTTTGTGGCATAATACAAGTCCATGAACCTTAGTCGGTTCTTCCCGAACTCTGTTTCCCAATCTTCGAGCTCCTCTGCGAACTTTCTCCTCCTCCTCAGGATGAAGCGCACGAGGAAGATAACAAGCAAGAGGGGAATCAACAAGAGGGAAATCAACGGCACCCAGTTCTTGTAGAATCTGTAGACTCTCGTGGGTTTTGGATCCCAAACCGGCAATCTAGGAAGTTTCGATAAGGCCAATGGCTGAGCTTTCCCGTTCACCCGGAAACTCCACCCAAGAACAAAAATTTCGGACACAATATTACCGGTCGCAGACGAGAACCCTACGAACATTTCTTGCAAAAGAACCGAAGACAGATCTCTGACGATAGAAACAAGCGGTTTTCTAGGTTTATTCTCGCTGAAGGGAGCCATCGTTACATTGATTCGATGGCTACGACCATCGTAATCGACCCAAACCTGCATCCGTTTGCTACTGATCAAAGTCAGATTATTAAACTGATCCTTCTCGTCCCAGTACCCAGCAGGAGAGCTTTTCACCGAGTTCAAGCTATTGATATCGATTCCAACATGGTTATTGTTCGTATCATTGAACTCGATATTCATAATCGTGTCTAACTCGACAGCAAATACGTGGTTCCTATCGTTACCGTTGTTTGTTACATTGAAGAGACCGAGGTATTGTAAGGGGCTGGCGAATGGGAGGCGAGGGTTAGGAGCGATGACAAAGGCCATGCCGTGTGCAATGGGGATCTGAGTGTGAATAGCGAAGACAAAGGCAGTGGAAAAAGACGAGACAGTGCCGTTAGGAGAATATTTGAACCGGATTGGTTCGGTATAGAAGGCGTGACCTGTTCTCTGTGTGCTTGTGTTGGTTAGCTTCATGAGACCTTTGGGTGTGACAGTGGTAATTCCTTGGATGGCTATGTTAGTCAGTGGAGGATGGAAGCCATTGTAAATGAAGTCGGTAATTTGGGAAGATGACTTTAGGGATTGCCAAAAGAAGCTTAAGAAGAAGATGGTGAAGAGCTTGATGAAGAACATGGTGAAGAGTTTTTTTTTTTTTTTTTTTTTTTTTTTTTTTTTTTTTTGATAAACCCTATCGGCTGATCCGGTCAGCCCCGGTAGAAACGCACCGAAGTGCTTCAGAGTGGACTACTCCCCGAAGGGCCACCACACTGTCTGTCCCGAGTATGGAATGCTTTCCGACTAATGCCAGGGGGTAGCCAGATCGCCTGTTACTGGACTACCAGGTAAACTGCTTGGGCCTTTTGGCCCAAGCCCAGACTTCCCACACAAATGTGTTTTTTGTTTCCAGCGTGGATCGAACCTGGGTTAGTTCCTTCCAACCTTTCCCCAATTCTCAACTACCACTGGACCACAACTGTGTGGGCAACATGGTGAAGAGTTTTTATTTTTGTTGGCTTTGGTTTAATTAGGTAGTTGAGTTTGTAAGAAACTAAGACAATTTATGGTGTACTCAAGTGTGTGGAAAAGTCGTTTTGTTATTGGTCAAGGGAAAAGTCGTTTCGGCTTAACCTAAAGTAGAGGGTATGGTAGAGACTCACGAAGAAGGTGACGAATCATAGTAGCGGGTTATAAATGTTTTGATTTGTAATGTTGTGGTACAACGTGTGTTTGTCTCCGTTGTAACTTATCTTGTCCTATACTCAGTGCTAGGCCTGGGAGTTCGGAATTTTCGGGTTATTCGGGTCGGTTTGTTCGGTTTTCTGAAAATTCGGTTTCTTAAAATTTTCTCCGAATTAATCCGAAATTAAATTCGGTTCGGTTCGATCGGTAGTCGGTTTATTCGGGTCGGTTAGCTGATTTTAATTTGGTTCCGAGAAAATTGAATCCTATGACCAATTCGGTTTATCTAACCCGAAATAGACATTTTTCAAAGAAAAAACTAGTGTAACTACTAAATAAAGACATCCAAAAGCAAAAACCATTACAAAACCATACATAAAGCTGTACTGGTAACTTAAAGCTGTGTTTGTGAGTTAAAGCTACAAGTACAGACCAGTACAGACCATTACAAACTATTACTGAAGCTGATAAGCTAGCATATTATCAAGTTTAAGCTAGCATTACATCAAGAAACCAATATAGAACCATACAAATATCAAGTATGATTTAGTGGTTAGCTTACCAGTTGTAGATTCACAAAAAATGCTAATCCGCACCAAAAGAGCAGCTTCACAGTTAGTACATTAAAAAGGCTGCTTTTCCGCATCAAAAAGGACAAAAGCGCAGCTTCTACCTATCTGTGAAAAGCATAACAAAGAATTAACAATGTCCTCAAAAACCTGAACTACTTAATCTACAATAGAACCACAATCATACCTGCCATACTATGAAGAATCATGTAAGAGCAACCGCTGAATTCCGAGCATCTACAGAAGAAAACAAGAGATTAGTTACAGACTTATAATGATAAAGAGTATGAAAGGATTTAAACTGTCAATGAGAATAGTTAAACTTACCAAGAGACTCAAAGAATTCAAATTCTTGTAACATTTGGGCCAAGTTTGCTACTGTATCTTCTTTTTTATAGGTACACCTTAACCATTGTTGTGTGCATAGCAAAACCTCTACCATGTAAGGAGTCAAAGAACTCCTATAAGGATCCAACACCCTGCCAGTTGTACTAAAAGCAGACTCTGAAGCAACTGATGAAGCTTGAATTGCTAGAACATCTCTAGCAAATTCTGACAAGACAATGAACTTAGAGCAATTACGTCTCCACCAACTGAGAACATCATAAGGCATCCCCAACAGATTTTCAACTCTCGGCTCTGGTTTTTCTGTGAGATACACCTTTAACTCATTGTAGCTAACTTCATTAATCTTCAATCCAACCACCTTATCATATATTGACAGCATCCCCTCACAATCATCTTCATCATCTGATAGCTCAAAGGTGCAAGGCTGCGGCTGAGAGTCTGTTTGCTCTGTCTGATCTTCAGTATCTTCATTGTTTTCTGAGTTGGTGGGCTTGAAACTGTAATGATCATACAGTGTTTCCATTACACTTGAAACTGAAGCATGCAGTTTCTTACTCTCTATGGTATCCTTACCATACAGCTGGTCAAAGCAAAGGGAAGCAAACTTCATCTTGTTTCGAGGATCAAAGACACTGGCCACAATGACTAGAGGATTCATGTTACTCAAACCATCCCAATACTTGTCAAACTTATCCCTCATGTCATTAGCTTGCTTTTTGGTCTCCTCATCAGTACTGCTACACTTAGTGATCAGACTCCTCTCAATGTCCACAATTTCAGAGTAACACAAACATGAAGTCACAGTCTTGGAAGCAGAGAATATCAAAGTACACTTGTAAAAGACTTTCAGAAATTTGACTAACCTTGCAACCTTCTCCCAGTCAATAGAAGTTGGTGGTCCAACTCTCTTAATCTTATCCTCCTCTTCCAAGAAATAATCACAGTACAACTTGTCCTCAGCCTCCATCTTCTCAAAGGCCACCCTCAACTTCAAAGCAGAAGACAACATCAGATATGTTGAGTTCCAGCGTGTGCTGACATCTAAAGGCAAGCTGCCTCTAGCCAACTTACTTGTCTCACACTTCAATGCAAAAGTCTTCAGCCTGCTGAAGGAAGACCGGACATACTTAACAGCATTCATAATGGCAACAATATGAGCATTAGCCTTCTTCAAACCATGTCCAACAATCAGATTGAGGATATGTGCACAGCAACGCATGTGTAAAAATTCACCATCATTCACTAATGAGTCTACTCCTCTCATCCTTAACTGATTCTTAAAAACCTCCAAAGCTTTGTCATTGTTCCTTGCATTATCAACTGTAACAGCATAGACCTTCTCAATTCCCCAATCATCCAAACAATCCATCAACTGGGCTGCAATGGTGTCTCCTTTATGGTCTGTGATCACCTTAAAACTAAGGTTTCTCTTCTGTAATTCCCACTCTGTGCTAATCCAATGACCTGTGATCACCATGTAGTTGTAGGAAGTTGTAGGACAAGTCCATATATCTGTTGTCAGAGAAACCCTTTGTTTCTCAACACTAAACAACTGCTTCAATGCTGCCTTCTCTTCCAAATACATAGCAACAATGTCTGTACTGCATGTCTTTCTAGAAAATGTCTTGTACATAGGCAAGACATTGCTACAGAACCGCTTCCAACCCTCAGATTCTACAAATGAGAATGGCAACTCATTGACTACTACCATCTCATTAACTGATCTCCTAAACATGACCGGATCATACTTCACCAGCTTCATATTTCCATTGTTATCACTACTTAGAATCTTCTGGTTCTCATGTTCTACCCAATCCTTGTACTCCTTGCATCTATTTATGTGACCTATCATCGGACTAGTTCCAACTTTTTTTGTATCACAAGCAAACTCTGCTTTACAGTACTTACAGTAGCTCTTACTGAGATCTTCTTCTCTTTGAATAAAATGCTCCCAAACCGGAGCTCGTTTTGCATACTTCTTCCTTGGTTTAGTTGGCTTATCAGCACCAGAAGCAGGCCGTGGTCGTTTATTCCCAGTTACAGTTTCTGTCTCTCCTGTCTTCTGAGGGTTAAGTGGAGGTTCACTCTCGTTTTGCTCTTCAGTCATCTACAAATTATACACAAACATCCCATTAGCTTCAACAAAAGGACAATAAAAGGATCACACAAGGACCACACAAGAACACAGAAGGAACATGACCACAATAGGAGAAAAAACGAAACCCTAATTTTAAAATCTAACCTACATACATGCAAGTCTTAATTTAAAACCACTCGGACACAGTTATTCATCCATAAATTTAACCAGTCGGAAGCAGAATCAAACGAAGAAGATCGAAAGAAGCAAAGAACTGACCTCTTCGAAATTCTAGGTTGAGACGAGATGTGTTGAAGATGAAGATGAAGTGATGAAGGAGAAGAGACGAGATGTGTTGGAGACGAAGAAGATTAGAAGAACAAGAAGAAGAAGAAGAAGAGAAAGAGACGAGCTCGAGAGAATCGCTCAATCGCAGGAGGCGGAGACAAAGAAGAAGATAAGTGAAAAATTAGGGTTAATGACTTAGGTTTACACTTATATAGGGCTGCCTAAAACTACTAAACCGATCGGCCCGAGAACCGAACCGACCCGAACCGACTTCCGATTCACCAAATTAATTTCGCCGAACGGTTTGATTTCTCTCTTCGGTTTACGCCGATAACCGAAATTCTCGGTTTAATCGGGTCGGTTTGTTCGGTTTAATCCGAACTCCCAGGCCTACTCAGTGCCTATACTATCATTTTCTGCCACCACCTTTTTTTTGGCCTTTAATTACAATGCTATAAGAAAAAAACTTACTGTTCGAGTTTGTTATGGACGTTAATTGAACGATATATATATTTTGGTGATTAAATTATGTCTATGTTATTGTTGTTAGATTCGCCGATATATTTTAGTTACAACGTAGTTTTAGCGATCATTAGGCTAAAATATCTAGCAATCGAACTTTTAAATGGTTAGTTGCTGAAATGTATCACATAACCGGCAACAAAAACTACGTAAATATGGTTTGAAATTCGTTTCTATGAAATTATATGTTATAACTGAAATTAAGTTTACAAATAAACAATTGTAATTAAATCACTCTACTTGGCTAGTCGAAATGGTGTTATACTTTGCATTCATTAGAAGACCCGAAAAGTGGACTACTCTGACTGCTACATTCACCTCTAGTTATCAAATTTTTTTTTTTAATTACTCACAAGCATCAAAAATTTATTAGGTTTGTGACTTATGTGAGGTTCAAAACTAACTGTCAAATCGTTCACATAAAATATAGTAGCGACAAAAAAAATACAAAACAAAGATATATTGTTTTGACTGATTGACATGTTCTGCCCCAAATCATATGTATCAGCAACAGAGGCCAGAAAATTATAGACCAATTTGGTTTCTTTAAAAGGAATGGTATTTTCATTGATTGTTGTAAAATTATGTGCTCTGAACCACAATTGTGGTATTCAAACCGCACCTATATTTCCCTCTTTTTTTCCGACCAAAACAATTTTGTGGTATAAAACTTCTCATCTTTTATTTTTTTATTTTAGTTTTAATTCGGACCACATTCGTGCTATCAAGACTCTATTCGAAAAAGAAAAAAAAATTGTTTCCTTATCACTACGGCATTCTATTTGCACAAGGACAATCATAACTAAGTCAAATAGCCTAAGTCTTTACGAGAGGTCGGTAACTCGACTGAAAAAGTATATTGGAAAATTCCAAAAGGTCACAAGATCGAGTGGCAGATGGTTTATGTAAATATACAAGGCTGGTACGGTCTAAAAAGATGTATGGGCTTGTGCCCTGAACTTCCTACTTTACAAAAAAAGAAAAAAAAAAGAGCTATGTCTTTTAATTTCCATCAATTGCAAATAATGGTGTTATACTCTGTTTCACATATACTGTATAATCTTAGAAATTTACATATGTCAACTTTGAGACATATTGTGTGGAGTTTTTGAAGATGCTTGATGATTATGAAGATTGGCCGGCTTTTTCTTCAGAGTTAGATGAGTTTTATAATGGCCTAAAGGGTAAGCTTCATTGACTTATGCAAGGTCTGGCTCCCCCTAGACTCGTACATCTCCCCAGTTAGAGATTAAATTTAGCCCAAGCCCTTTCCAAATGGATATCGAATTAAAGATTCTATGGATCACAAATTTTGGAAAGTCTTAAACATTGCTATCCCAAAAGCCCACTTGGTACATAATTATTCTTCTATAACCATACGCTTTTTAAATTTCTTTAAATGCAACATCTTTAAGAGTAAACTGGTCTTCTAAGCCCATAGAATTTCACTTATTCGTACACGTACAACACTGAAATATGTCAACATGGTCCCCTATCTCGTGCATATAATTTCTTTGTACATATGTAATCAATACAATAAAACTACTAAGAGTCTCTCCAGCAATGACACATCAGCTTTTTAAGCTATTGTGAGACTGACACATCATTAAAAATGATACCCAATCAAAATATAACAATTAATACAACTCATCTCTCCAGCATGCCACATCAGCTTTCTGTGCCACATCAGCTATTTATTAAAAAAATGCATCATTTTAAAAAGACAACCAATCAAATTAAAACATATAATACACATCTTTTTTTTTAATTATGATACATGGATTTCTAATTTGTTCAAAGAAAAACAAAGTTAAATTATAAATAAAATGAATACACATTAGCTTATGTAATGTTGACACATAAAAAAAATTTATTATTATTTGATGGAATTGATCAAATATCTAAATATAAACTTTATCTCTATAGTTATTTTTAGGGTTTTGTGCGAAAAAACCCTCAAAGTTGCCCATTTTTGCAACTTTACCCTCCACCTCAAAAAAATGCAGAATAATCCTATGAAGTCTAAAATAATAGGCAATATAGCCCTTATGTATATATTTTAAACGTTTTCACGATCACATACATTTGATTTTTAAAATTATAAAGTTACAATTGCACTCGTCGTCTCGAGGGCTTCGATTTGATATATTATTAATCATAATTTTAAAAACTTGAAAATAACGAAAAAGGGTTAGATTGCCTATTATTTTGGACTTCATAGGATTATTCTGCATTTTTTAGAGGTGGAGGGTAAAGTTGCAAAAATTGGCAACTTTGAGGGTTTTTTTGCACAAAACCCTTATTTTTACATAACATATTTATATTTAAGACGTTCATAGTAAAAAAATTTACTATATAACTCAACAATTAATATGTACCGATTCAATTTACACATATATTTTTTAATATTCACGTCCACCAAAATTTTGATTTTGTACTACTAGAATTTGGTTTAGTAACTATATTCTTAATTAAGCCACTAAGCACTTTTATTAATTTATGTCTTACTTGAAGCTGATATTTCATTTAAAAAGTAAAATCAATCAAATTAAAATAAATAATACACATCAGCTTTTATTAACATAGACAAAATTTATAAAATATCTTAATTGGACAAATAGTTCATATTCCTAATTGTAAGGATTGTTAAATCACTAAATAATAAAAATATATAAATTTAAATAAGCTTGTCTATTCTGTTTTTTGGTTTGATTTGGTTCAATAACATATTTACATATTTCAGTTTCATAAATTATAGTCTGACTCTATAAACAAAATAATAATGTTAATTGAGTATATCAAATAAAAAAAAATTAATGGTGACAAATATTTGTATTCTTATCTACGTTTATACGGTGTAATTGCGTTATAAAATAATAGCAAGTAGTGTTTCCTTGATTTTCTGCTAACATCGAGATTGTGGGTTTCTCCCTCAGTTACGAAAATGAGTAAATTTTTTACAAAATCCAGTAACATAATTGGAATAATAATTTTATATTAAAATTATGGTATAATTGAAATAAATTATAAGTTATCATTTTAACAAATCATTGAAAGTCTATGTTAAATATTTTAAGTGTTATTCAAATTATGGTTGTGCACCATGTATATCTTTAATAAAAAGAAAGTAAGGTTCTTGAAATATATTAGTCTCTGAAAACTATATAAATATAAAAAGAAATCAGATATTTGTAAAACGTTATACACATTATAAAAATAAAACAAAACAAAAAAAATACAAAATTGACTATACGGTACATTTATTTTATAAAAGTAATATATAACATGTATTTATTAATGTATGCATATATAATAAAAATAATAAAATACTAAAATTTAAGTAAAGGTAAAATACCTAATCCTAGAATCATTTCAAACTTCTACCAATCATACTTGTAATTATATTAAAATAAAGCTAACTTACAAAAAAATACCCCGCGGCAGAGCGCGGGTTCTTTATCTAGTATAATGTAAAACATTAACATTATTGTGATATTGGAAAATCACCTCCCGCCAGAAAGTATGGAGTAAGCAATCGAAGATCTACTGGTAAACATGCATGACTCACTAAATCCGTGGCTGATTCCCAACATTTTTTCACTCCCACGGAAGTCCAACAGCGATAAATCTGGTAAAAGTGCATCTCCCCTTAGATATTGTAACACTTGTCTCATAGTTGGTCTAGCTTGTGGGTCAGAGTGAGAGCACAACAAACCTAGCTTCAAAACCATTTCGACTTCTCTTTGGTCATACTCGAACCCGAGATTCGGATCGGTAGCATCCAAGAGTTTTCCCTCTATCCAAAACCCGAAAACCAATTCCACGAGCAAGACGGTTTCATCACTCTCGTTTACAATCTCGATAGGACGTCTACCGCACACCACTTCTAGTAGGAGCACCCCAAACGCAAAAACATCAGTAGCGGTTGTGGCCCGTCCTGTCCTAACATGATCAGGGTCTAGGTATCCCCAAGTTCCAACAACGCACGTGGTTTGAGGATCTGACCCGTGATCGCACAATCGGGCTAAACCAAAATCTCCGAGTCTTCCATTGTACTCTGCATCTAACAAGATGTTACTTGCTTTGATGTCCCGGTGAATCACCACTTGTTCCCATTCCTCGTGAAGGTAGAACAAGGCAGAAGCCACACCATTTATGACTTTAAACCTCTGTTTCCAATTTAGTCTTACCTCCGGACTGTTGTACAAATACTTGTCTAAGCTTCCATTAGGCATGTAATCATACACCAGAAGAAGCTCATCTCTCCGGCGGCAATAACCCACGAGAGGGACTAAGTTCCGATGACTCATCTGTCCAATACTCACGATCTCAGCCACAAACTCTTTCAAACCTTGTCGGGATTCGTTCGAGACTCTTTTCACCGCGATCTCCTTCTTAGTCTTCAGCATGAAACCTCTGTAAACCCTCCCAAACCCGCCTGATCCAAGAAGGTTCTTATCCTTGAACCCTTTTGTGGCATAGTACAAGTCCTTGAACCTTAGCCGGTTCTTCCCGAACTCTGTTTCCCAATCTTCAAGCTCCTCTGCGAACTTTCTCTTCCTCCTCACGAGAAAGCGCACAAGGAAGATAATAAGGAAGAGGGGAATCAACAAGAGGGAGATCCACGGCATCCAATTCTTGATGAAGCTGTAGAATCTCGCGGGTTTTGAATCCCACACAGGCAATATCGGAAGTTTCGACAAGGCCAGTGGCTGAGCTTTCCCCTTCACCCGGAAACTCCAGCCAAGAACAAAATGTTCTGACAACATAGAACCGGTCGCAGACGAGAAACCTACGAACATATCTTGCAAAAGAACAGAGGAAAGATCTCTGACAATAGTAACAAGCGGTTTTCTAGGTTTATTCTCGCTGAAGGGAGCCATTGTTACGTCGATTCGATGGGTACGACCATCGTAGTCGATCCAAACCTGCATACGCTTACGACTAATCAAAGTCAGATTATTAAACCGATTGTTCTCGTCCCAGTACCCAGCCGAGGAACTTTTTACCGATATCAAGCTGTTGATATCGATTCCGACATGGTTATTGTTCATATCATTGAGCTCGATACTCATAATTGTGTCAAGTTCGACAGCGAATACATGATTCGTATCGTTACCGTTGTTTGTGACGTTTAAGAGGCCGAGGTATTGGAAAGGACTGCCGAATGGGAGGCCAGGGTTAGGAGCGATGACAAAGGCCATGCCGCCGCTGCTAAGTGTGGGGATCTCAGAGTGGATAGCAAAGACAAAAGTTGTGGAGAATGACGAGACATTTCCGTTTGGAGAATCTTTGAACCGGATTGGTTTGGTGTAGAAAGCGTGACCGGTTCTCTGCATGCTTGTGTTGGTTAGCTTCAAGAGACCGTTAGGTGTGATGGTGGCGATACCTTGGATTGATATGTTAGTCAATGGAGGACGGAAGCCATTGTAAGTTAATTCAAGAATTTGGGAAGAGGATTTATGGGATTGGGAGAGGAAGCTCAAGAAGACGATAATGAGGAACTTGACCAACATGGCTCTGTTTTTTTTTTCTTTTGGCTTTGGTTTATACGAAATTTAGAAGTGAATACAACTGAATTTATGGTGTGAGGAGAGTGTGGAAAAGTCATAATTTGTTTACGTCGACGTAAAAGTCGTCAGTCATCAATCGTCATCATAGGTTTAACCCGATTTAGAATCCATGGTCGATGGGAGACTCATAAAACACTTCGATGGGTGGTAAAATTAAGTTCTTTTTGCTATTTCCATTTAAGATTGTAACTCGTTTTTTCTTTCTCCTCAATTCATGTTGGATCAAATTTTATTTTAATTTCTTTTATATCGTTAAATTTTATGAGTTTAGATTTCAGAATTATTTGACAATAAGGATTGGCCTTCGTAGATATTAGTGTTGATCCTTTCACACTTTTGATGAGTAGTCAATAAAGAATGTGGAAAACTCAAAATATTACCTAACAATAAAGAAAAAATTGGTTCTTTGGAAGATAGATATTCTGTTATTTCCAAAAAAACCCGAAGATAACAAATCCAAAATTCTTAAGAAACTTTGGAGAAACTAAAACAGCTTTTGGTGTAAAGAGAGGAGGAAAAGTCGTATTACTTTTTATCATGGGAAGATTCTTCGTCTTAACCTGATTGATAATGTTGTCAAAGATTTTTAGAAATGTCATCGTCTTAATCCGATTAGTCAAGAGAATATTGATCAAAAAGTTTATGGTGATAAATTGCAGGAGTTTCGATCTTTGGTCCATTATCTCTCTCGATACATACAGAACAAGTTTTAGTCTATACCGATTAAAAGAACGTCTCTCGGTCCTAAAAAAGGTTAAAGTTTGGAACCCCGGGCACAAGAGAACAAACATCTTGTACTACTAGTAGACCAATACCTCTTTGGCTAAACATGCATATTGCAAGTTGATAAAAAAAATTAAAGAAATTCATGGTGGAGACTCAAAGATGGACAGTAACGGTCAACAAAGAGTAATGTTACGAAACTACGTGTATTACCTTTGGTACCCGGTAAATAAGTAAAAAGATGATGAAAAAAGAATGGTCTTGCCATCTTTAACCGAAATGTTATTTTTTACTACTATGTACTATATTTTGTGCTTCTAATTGCAATGCTATTAATTTTCTAATATCTCTTTCCGTCAAAAAGTAGTTAGACACTTAAAGACCATCATTAACGGTGGGTTCTTAAACATTGCCAAAAAGTACTATCTTTTGTGCTTGCAGTGCTATTAGTTTGCAGTACATACATATAGACTATTCCCTCAATGATTTAGGGAATAGTCTATATGTATGTACTAATAGCTATTGTACCTGCTCCATGCCTCCACAATCTCTAATGTTGATAATAAGATATTACTAATAAATACTTATATAAATCAATACAGCTATACACACATTGTGTTTTGGTAATCGTTTAACCTTTGAGACATTCTGATCACCAAAAAAGGGTATCATCTTTTAAAAAAAATGGCTTCAGAGAGCACTCTAAATATATTCAAGTGTTAGCAAAATACAAAGTTTCTCCAACAACACTTCTTGTCTTGTGTCTGTGGATCTTCATCAGCGCGGATGAGCTGATCGCATTTCGACCAGACCGGAAAAGCTTCCACATTAACCAGAGGTCTGACTTGGCTTTTGATTAAATAGTAATGTCTTTGTTATGTTCATCTCATGGAGTCAACAGTTTTGTAGTCAATATGCTGTCTTCTTCGCCGGCACCTGAATTGAGGTTTAGTATCTGAGAATTTCGTATCACCAGACATCCCCATTGTTGAATCTGTATCTGTTCCAATTCCAAAACAATCATCAATCACCAAGCATATCAAAATACCAAGTACATACAGTTAAATGTCAGACAAAGACCTAACATGATAAAACCTATTCCACAATGTATAATCAAATTGTGTTGGCTCTGACTAGATTGATGTTTCACCATTTACAATCATATTCCCTAACCCAAATTTGACAACTTTCTGACAATTCCTATGTTTTGCTACATCAGGCAAGACCATAATAGACAAGCAAAGAAAAACCAGACTAATTGATCAGAAGAAATAACACCAAAGTCTCCATCTTTAGTCTTAAGAACATCAAAATCAATCTCCAAATCTTCATAGCAATAACCAAGAATCTCAAGATGGAACACAATGGCTATAAAAGTCTCGAATTTGTTACCTCCCCAAAACAATGGCTTGACATCTTCTTCTTCATCATCAAATTCATCACCATAACCAAACTCAGCATCACCTCTGTAACCAGGTTCACTACCATACCCAGATTCATTCCCCATTGGATCAACTCCGATAGCGAATCCAAATCCTCCAGAAGCTTCCTTCTCACCACCAGAATCTCGCCGCTCTCTCCGTGAATTCCTCGCCGCCTCACTCACATCAGAAGCCCAATTCGCTTCACCAAAAAGCTCTCCACTTGAATCTGTACCAACAGCGAAAGGCAAATCCGAACAAGTCCCATGAGCTCCAATGGAGCAACATTTCCGCGTCCCACTCCGATCACTACTCCGACCAGACACCGATCTCGAATTACGACGCCGTCGCTTCCTCGCTACTAACCGGAAACTTCCTCTATTGCTGTAATTCGAAGCAGATAATGTCTTCCCTCCATTGTCCTCGTCGGCGAGTGAGAGACGGCTCATAGCTTCGATGGAGAAAGAGGTGGATCGATCGGAGAAGCAAGGGCGTTTGGGAGTGGAGTGAAACCCATTGGACTGCGGTGGTTGGTCAGATGAGTCTAGGGTTTTGGAGCGGTGAAATGGTCGCCATGAGAGGAGCTGTGAAGTGCAAGATTCAATTGAACTTCGTGATGATTCTCGATGTTTCTGAGACATTGTTAAAGGTACCAACTTTCTAGATCACAGAAAGCAAGAAAAAAAAAAACCTTCTGGGTGAATCTGAATTTGGGAATGGATCTTCGTTGTTTTCGAAGTTCTAGGAGAAAATCGAGTAGCGAAGATTTGGAGTTGCTCTTTTGGGTTTAAGAGCGTTTAATTTGCTTGAGCCAACTCATTGGTAAGATTTGTTGCCAAACGGGCCAAAATGTATTTTATATGGTCACGTGACACTCACGTGATGATCTCTGCTATTAATCTCTCCCAATTCGAAAACCCTAGAGAGCCAGATCTCAATTTCTCCATTCAGGTGAGACTTTTTACCTTTCTTCTTCCATCGGAATTTTCTCTCAGGTGATCGGAATCGTTACTGTAATTTTAGTTCATATGTAGACGATCAATCAAACCTCGTTAGTTTTAGAGCTTTTTCTTGTCTTCTTAGGTTAATCGTTATCCAATGAGTTTTTGTGTGTGATCGCTTATTTGTTTCGAATCTCAATTTTTGATTTTGTTAAAAGGAAAAAAATGAGCAGCCGTTCGAGTAGAACTATTTACGTCGGAAACCTTCCCGGCGATATCCGTGAAAGAGAAGTTGAAGATTTGTTCAGTAAGGTAAATTACTCGTTTCATCTAAATCAAGAACTCAGGATGTGAAAGAAATTGAATGCATCTTAGAAATTGTTAGCTTGTGATTTGTTTGAAAGAAGTTTCCGTAAGAATTGTTCTTCCCTTTTTTCTTGCAGTATGGACCTGTTGTTCAAATCGATTTGAAGATTCCGCCGAGGCCTCCAGGCTATGCATTCGTCGAGGTCAGCTCTTTTATGCAACCTGCATGTAGGCTTGTTGTTGATTCTACATTTAGGTGGCTACCAACCACTTAATTTATTTTGTGATATATGTGCTTTAGTTTGAGGATGCTCGGGATGCTGATGATGCAATTTATGGCCGTGATGGTTATGACTTTGATGGGCATCGTTTACGGGTTTGTTAATCATCAAATTCCAGAATTTATACATAAACTTTGTATTGTTGACTGGTAGCCAAACATAAACTGATGCGTGGTGGCCATTGCAGGTGGAACTAGCTCATGGTGGGAGGCGTTCATCACATGATGCACGCGGTAGTTACAGTGGTGGTGGTCGTGGCGGTCGTGATGGTGGTGACGGTGGTGGTCGTGGCGGTCGTGATGGTGGTGACGGTGGTGGTCGTGGGCGTGGACCATCTAGGAGATCTGAGTACCGCGGTACATATGATATGTTTAGCATTAGTCTATGCAAGAGTTATTGGAGAAATCACCAAATTAATACTTTTCATTATACAGTTGTAGTGTCAGGTTTGCCGTCATCTGCGTCCTGGCAAGACCTCAAGGTGACTACACAATTGTGGACAGATTCCTCATTCTTGTTCCTATATTTCAAAATTTCCGAATCTTGACATATCACTTTGTTTTGAAGGATCACATGCGTAAAGGAGGAGAAGTTTGTTTTTCGCAAGTGTTTCGTGATGGTAGAGGTAAATCCTCATGTCTTACCCAAGAGTAGAGATGTGTCTAATGCTGTTTGGATTTTACTGCATTTAAATCCTGTTTTAACTTTTTTGTGAATGCTTTAAAAAATCTATATCTTGGACTATTTATTTACAGGTACAACTGGAATAGTAGATTATACCAGCTACGAGGACATGAAATATGCGGTGAGATGTTCATCTTCTTCCTATTATTTGATTATTTGTGTGGGTGAGAATGTGTTCATCTTTGATTATATTTTTTATTCTGTACAGATAAAAAAGCTCGACGACACAGAGTTTCGGAATGCGTTTTCTCATGGATATGTTCGGGTATGTTAAAGACGAGGATTCTGAGAGCTGCATTCGTTTTTAATTGCACTTAACATTTCCCTATATCTTTGTAGGTTAGAGAATATGATTCAAGGAGGGATTCGAGGAGCCCCAGCCGTGGAAGATCCTATTCTAAAAGCCGCAGCCGTAGTCGCAGCCGTGGGCGGAGCCCTAGCTGTAGTCGTAGCCGCAGTAGAAGCAGGAGCAAGAGCAGAAGTCCAAAGGCTAAATCTTCGCGCAGATCACCTGCAAAATCTACATCGAGATCTCCTCACTCTCGCTCCCGCTCTAAGTCAAGGTCACTGTCTCCACGGGGGTATGCTTAGTTTCTTCTTTAATGTTTATGCTAAATATCCAACATAAAACATAGCATAGGCTATATTTAGCTCTTCCCTTGAAGTTTGCTGACATCTCATTAAAATATGTCATTGGGATGACTTGAGTTTTTGATTGAGAATGATGATTGCTTCTAGCTAAGGGTACACGATTTATTACCTTTTGAAAGTTCGGTCTTTTATTGTTGAGAATGGTTTTGTTTCCTAGATATGGATATACATACAATCAACTAAAATATGGGAAATAATATCTGGATCATGGATATCTTGGTTGGTTGTACACAACTGTTTCGTCTCAGAGGTATATGCTCTTTCTTAGATGGGCAAGTTTGGAATTGAAACTTTCTTTTTCCCCCGTTTTCTGATAACATCCATTGCTGCTAGATGGGTAACAGTGGAGACAATGGATCGCATTGATATAGTGTCGTCAAAATGGATCCATCGAGCTAGGAAAGATATTTTCATTACCTGCTATTCAACAAGCGATCTGGATTCTCATGGAACCGATGCTGTCTGGACACAGGGTTTGATAGAATTAGATTTGCTTTGATATTGTCCATCTCTGCCCTCTGTTTTGACGAAAAGCATGCTTGTGTTGGTTTTATTTGTTCTGCTAGAAATTGCCTGAAGTTATCGTTTTTTTTTTTGCTTTCTTGTGATTACGTTTTGATGTCTGACATGGAATGAGGCATCAAGGGTCTTTGGTGAAACAGCTATTAAACACGGAAATATTGGATTTTTAAAACTGGATTTGTTTCTCGGACTTTTGCAGATCTCGTTCAAGGTCAAGATCTCCTCTACCCTCTGTAAGTCGATCTATCTCTATACACTTTTGACTAGGCTATACTATCAGCACAAATTATTTCGGTTTTTGATCTATACTTTCCAAAAGACAAGATCTATGTCTAGCTAAGTACATTCTCATCATCTTGAAACTTGTGTGTTGCAGGTTCAGAAGGAAGCAAGCAAGAGCCCTAGCAAGCAGCTTAGCCCAGCGAAGAGTCCTATCCGTGGCAGGAGCAAGAGCAGAAGCAGGAGTCCCTCTCGGTACTGCACACTCTTTTTTCACTTGTTTGGAACATTGTCGCTCTTTGTCTGAATCTGTCTCCAACTGTTTTACAGGTAAAGAAACATGTCATAATCAAGGTAAAAAAAGCTGGGTTTGTTGGAAGATTCTCCTAATGATGATATCTCTCCTATGTTGTTGGTGTGACTAAAACAAAGTATGATAAGTTGAAAAACTAGTTGTATTTCTGGGTTTACCTCATGAGATTTAACTCTCTTTTCATTTCTTAAATATTCACTGCAACTATGTGTTCAGAATTCTCTAAATAAGTTAACTCGGCCATCATCAGTAGTTTATGAGCTAAGCATAGTTAGTGCTCAATACGAACTATCAAAAATTTACCATCGAATGCCAAATTAAAATTCAGAAGCTCACAATATAATAATAGATATGTATGTATTCAAAAGATAACGAATATGTTATTTCTAACTTATGAAAACAAATCAAATTCACAATAAATGAAGTTAAAAAGACATGTACATTGAACTGATTTGAAATCCAGTTGAGTCCGTACAATGTCGTTTTCGAGAGCTGTTGCGCATAATTTGCCTTTGTGTGGGTGTGAGTGAATCTGTGACCCACCTAAGAACAGTTAAGACAATTCCCGGTTTACTCGTACCGGATCCACAACAGTATAAGATTTGGATAAGAAAGGGGCCGCCATTAATTAAATATATCAGAGGTTGAGCGAAGAAGAGAGAGATCCATGGCGGAATCAACCTTCTCTTGTGTACCAGATGACGTAGTCTTCAACATCTTCTTCAAGCTTCAAGACGATCCAAGAAATTGGGCTCGTCTCTCTTGCGTCTGCACCAGATTCTCCTCAATTGTACGAAACGTTTGCTGTAAAACACAGTGCTACTCCGCTATCCCCTCCGTCATCTCCGATCTCCTCCCTCCTTCTTCCTCCACCGCGGCGAATTTGTCTCTTCCTCCTCCCGGTGGTTGGGCTTCTCTTTTCAAACTCGCCGTCTGCTGTCCTGGTCTCTTCCACGCTGGAATTCTCCTCGAAAACTCCGATTTCGGTTTAGAACGTGAGCTAGGTCCCGATCAAAACCTCGATCCGAAACCTACTACGACGGATCTAGCTAGTGACGACGGCGAAGTTTCGAAACCACTCGGATCTGGTTTAGAAACGACTTCGTTTTGGTCTCTATATGACGATCTCTACACTGATACTATTCCCGCTCCTCTTGAAGATTCGATCGACGAACAAGAAGAAATCGAGACGAGTGAGATCAGACCTGGAAGAGATCTTCCGGTAAGGAAACGAAGGAAGATTTGTAGATCTTTAGGATCTCATTTAGCTTCCGGTGGCTGGAATCTTAGCCGTGAACAAGGCAACAAGCTTCTAGCGAGTAGATTTCGAGGTGATTGTCTCTACATTTGCAATTGGCCTGGATGTATTCACGTTGAAGAGAAACGAAATTACATGTTGTTTAGAGGTGTTTTCAAGGATTTCAAACGGTCTCGAGTTTGGAGAACGATAAACGACGGTAATCGGAGTAAGATCTCGGGACTGAAATGCGCGTTTTGTTTGTGCGATGAGACTTGGGATTTGCATTCATCGTTTTGTTTGAGAAGAGTGTTTGGGTTTCATGATGATGGTGAACCAGTTGTTAGAGCTTACGTTTGTGAGAATGGTCATGTCTCTGGTGCTTGGACTGCTTTACCTCTCTACACTTGACAGTGAGAAAGAGAGAGAGAGGGTCTTTTCATTCTTCTTCTACGGTTTAAGTCTGAATCTTGTTTGGATTGTTTCATATATTTTGTAGGAATCTTGTGATTGTGTTACAAATGCTGGTTAATGTTTAAGTAAAAGCTCTAACGTCGAAGAAACTTGGCTCATGTTTGTTTCAATGTTAACATACATATTGGACTTCCATTCAAATGCGTACCGATCAAATTTTTAGAAAACTTTGGAAAACTTGAGCTCATAAACTCTTACGTCAAAGTCAAACATTGTAAGTCCAAGAACATTTGGAAACCATATAACCCATAAAAAAAAGGTAAAAGAAACTTAAACCGATAACCAATCCATAGGAAGAAAACAGAGTAACAACAACATTCTTATAAAGAAAGCAAGTAATTCAGAGGGTTTCATAAACCTGAAAGCTAATAATACCATATGGTTCCATCTCTAGAACAGTGTCTTCACTTGTCTTCCTTGACAGATGTTGTTTCTTCTGCTGCTGGTGCCTTCTCTGTCGCAGGAGCTTCCTCCTTAACGGCATCATCCTTCTTGTCTCCTGATTTTGCTGTTTCTTCTGCAATTACAAAAAAATGTTTCATTACATAAAGTTCTGCATTTTGTTGAGGAACAAAGAAACACTAAGTCTGCAAAATGTTTCCTAAGATTACTTACTACTTAGCATCTACAATGGAATATGAGATAACTTCAATAACAAAGTCATTTTAGTCTGGCGAAAGGCTCTCATTTCAACAAGAGGCTGTGACCAAACATAAACTAGAAAGATGTTCAAAAGTATTACCTTCATCATCACTGTCTTCAAACTCTTCCATGCCTCCCATTCCTCCCATTCCTCCCATACCACCCATGCCTCCCATTCCACCGAGCCCTTCGAGTCCGCCCATTCCACCCATTAATTTCTGCACGAAGCAAGGAACAAGTATGAAGTCATTTCTCAAAGCTAGGTATATATGAAGCACAAAATAAAGAACAATCACAAGTTAGAAACAAACCGAGAAATCCATTCCTTCCATTCCTCCCATTCCTCCCATTCCTCCCATTCCACCCATTCCTCCCATTCCTCCCATTCCTCCCATTCCGCCCATTCCGCCCATTCCGCCCATTCCTTCCATTCCTCCCATATCCATATCTGCGGCACCTAAAACATAACATAAAAAACAAATAAGTTAAGATGAATGCTAACACATTACACATCCTGAACTTTGTATAAAGTGCAGAGAGTGTACACGAGAACAGATATATAAGCTTTAAGATGAATGCTAACCAGCACTGCCTTCATCGTCCTCATCAACCCACTTGTCCCAATCCACCTTGACATAGTGTGGAGGCTTCTTCACACGAAGTAGCTTATTCCACCTTTCTGGCTCTGCTTTCTCTATTATGCAGAATATGCTTCTTTCACCAATGTTGATTTTGCTTTCCTGAATGGATAAAAAAGGTTAAATATTTAAGAACTAACTAGCAAACAAATGAAACAATAAGACCAAGTTAGTCTAAGAATCACACCTCAACATTGACTTTATCGTGAAGTTCGAGTTTGAGCTCATAAACGTGGTTTTCTGGACCAACTTTCGCAGAGAAATCAAACACTCCTTCTGGGTCTAGATTAACCTTGGTATCCTTAGTATCTGCCAATACTACAGTGAGAAAAATCTTCTCGGTAGTCTCAGCCCACTTCACTTCAGGATGACGACTGTAAAAAACATGAAAAGCAATCACCTTCAAGACCAAAAACATAACAAAAGCGAAACACCAAATATGTATACAAATCTAAGATACGAAACTGTCACTTGATTCTACACTGAGAACTGAAACTTCACTAAAAAAACAATGTCTTCAATCACATTATATACAAACATAAACCCTAAACCCTAAATCCAACTGCTCTAAGGTTCAAGCTTCAACAAGAACAGATTGATGCAAATATATTCATAAACAATTGATGGCGACAGTGTAAAGAGAAATTTCGGACCCCAATACAATAAACCCTAGACCCCAATTAAAAACCCTAATTTTTTTCCCCGCATTCCTCAGGAATCTAATGAAAGCGTAGCCCTAAATCAACCAATACTAGAAAGAAACCAAGTTTCTAAGACAAACCCATGAGTAAAAATGAAAAATTGAAGTGAACAAAGCAACAAAAAACAACACACGAATGAATCTGAGAAGCACAAAGGAAAGAGTTTAGGTTAAAGATCCCAATAAGATAAGAGTGATGAGAAGGATTTCTTATAAGTTACCTCATGTTTACTCGAAAGCTGTAGAAGAAGAAGAACCCTAGAGAGAGAAGGGAAAACACAAACGGTGACGCAAAGATTAGATTTTTTGATCGAGTCGAGAGAGAAAGACTTCTCTTTTAGTTGCTCCACATAGATTGTGTTTATAGTGCTCCAAGCATTTATCGTCTACAAGCTAGTGTATCGTAGTTAGGTGGGTCACGAATAATCTCAACGGTTACGATTGTTTACGGTTCAACGGTTAAGATGGAACTAACTCGATTTAGGGTTAGTGAACTGATTTCTTCTTCTCAAGCATATCTTTTTTTTTTTAGCCAAATTTTTTGAAATCATGTCCATAGAATAGATAATAGATGTACAGACTAAGGCAAACAAATTAAATTTACGATTGTTAGTTATGACCGAGTGTTCCTCAATGTTAATAAGACTTTTAGTTCATGCCAATGAGATGGTTGCATCATCATCATCATTGTCGTCATCAGGTAGTGTGAGTAAAGTTGTCAAGTCCACAAGATGCCGCATCGTTGGTCGTCCGTGCGGGCAGTTCCAAGGAGATTCGAGATCTGCCAAGTGTTCTACTATCTGACCAAAACCCAAATGACAAAGTATTAGATTTGGTTTTCTTGTCTGAGGAAGAAAAAAATCAGTAGAGATGATTTACTTATCAAGCCCTCATGTGTTTTACTATTCAAGTTGAATTTAGTAGAGATGATTCTATGACTCCATCATCAGCTATTAGGGTAAGCATTGGTTACCTTCTGCATTTCGTTTTTTCTGAGTGGATCTCCGATCATCACGGATGATCTACATGCGCGGGATGCTAGCATTGCACGGACTCGTGATGGACAAATCGAATCTGTTTTACTGGTTTTGTAGCTACTGACAACCGAACATTCCCCGTGGTTATCTCCTAGAGTTGAGATCAGGTCTTTAAGATCTGTCCAAAACAATAAAGTAAATAAGAACATGTGATGCAAAAGACATTTGATGCAACAGAGGTACAGAAAAAAACTACCTTCGACCCCAAAGGTGATATTCTTGCTATAAGGAACGGCTCGTAGTCTAAAGTGTTTTCCGGGAGGAGCACTTGGATTCTCCTCTAGAAGAAATCCATTTTCCCTAGAAAGTTGTTACAGAATATTAAATCTCTAAACCGATATCAAGAATAAGAAAATGTTAAAAATTAAGTAATGTGATCTTTCACCTGATAATATCCATGTGCATTAATACAGTGACTTCTTCTTCTGGAGAGAGCTCCAAGTTCAAAGGCCTAATTTTAGGAAAAAAATGGATAAATATAGGTAACATATAGAGTAGTGGAAGAGAGATACTACTGGTTCAAGTATGGCTAAGTAAAAATGGGACCTAAAAAACGCGCCGGGGAGTTTAATGTGAAAAAGTGAAAGCAGTGAAATGGAATCAAGAATCTAGATTGATCTCACAAAGAAACTCACTGGAGTAAGGGTTGCTGGTTCAGGACAGTTGACCTTGCTAAATGTTCGAAGTTGAATTTCTCATCAGCTGCATGCTGGACATAAAATTCAATCACTAGTCTACTCTATTTATTCAAAATTCAGACAAGGGAAGAACTCTGAAATGATGGAAACTTCCATTTTCCACAACTCAACCAAAAACATACAATTCGGAGGAGGAAAAAAGGGTCTGGAAGCATGCATAAATGAAGACTCACCTGATCCACAATGAACAGATCTCGCTCCAATTTTGCAATGATGAACCCAAGATTGAATTGCCCGAGTACCTATCACACAGAAGAAACAGATAAATATTTCTCGACAGGAGCCAGGATAAAGTAGAACGAAAAACATTAAGAATCGATCTTTCAGTGCTGAGATATCCCTTATTCAAAAAGATAGCAACCTGCATTCTCCTGAAATCCTCTTTTCGAAAAAGCCTTTCCAGCTCAGAAGTAGCTGCAGCTAAAGCCCTTGCTTTTCGCTCTTCATCATCCGGTTGAGATAACTCTAATGTTGCAGCAGCAAAGCACCTGTAACTTGTCATTTTAAAGAATTCCATTTCTCTAACTACAAACAGAACACACAATAGAAGAAAGAAAGAAATCTTACTTTTTAGGCTGTGGCGTATTCATACATTTAGATACATAACCTGTGGACTGCAATCTCGACAGCCTCTCCAACCTCCTTGTCCTGAGGTTTTGGAAACTAAATTCTAATGTGGAAAACATTTTTGGACCGGTTGACTGAGCTGGGGAGTCTAGCACTGTGGCCACAGATCGCAGTGGCTGACTGCACCCTGGATTGTCCTCTGAAATCCTTTCCACATCCCCCTTGGTGAGTGTGTTATCTGATGGTGGTTCTTCAAAACATATAGGCTTTTCATGTTCCTGTAGATGATATAATGGTTGAATGACAGTAATTTTAGGAGATAAACTAACAAAAGAAATAACCACATCAAACATAAACAATTAGCATCCCACTAAGACATTTTTTCAACTACAACAGCCTACTTACTCTTTCATGTCTTTCAGCATTATCAGTTTGTGTTCCAGGAGTCCGATTGCCTAGTTCAGAATCCATTTCGTTTGGTGTCATATCTTCCTTCGAGATGTCCACACCATCTACTTGATCGCCTTCCATGAGACACCTTGAAGCCAAAGCACGAACTTCAAATTTGCTTTTCTCCACACGATAACTAGATGTTTGGTTTCTGAGAACAGGTACCTCAGAGAGGATGGTGCTTATGTTTTCATGTTTTCTTTTTCCCATGGTAACAAAAGTATTCAAATTTGACTGGGCAAAGCTAGAGCGACTGCTCAAGTCTTTACTTGCATCGGTGACTTTCTCCGTCACATTTAAGTGAGGCAAACCTTTGCTAGTTGTCTTGTCAAGGTGAGTTACAGTTAGGGGCACATCATGGACTGATAAAGAACCTTCCCCTTTCTTAGTCCCACGTGCCTTAATGTCAAATTTAAACTTCTCCATTGGCGAACTATTATCAATCTCAGCCTCCCTTGAGGATGGATTTTCCTTCTCAATAGTTTCCCCTTGTATTGTTTTAGAACCGACATCCAAAACAATTTCTTTTGACAGGAGAAATGATTTCTCCTGAAAAGATGAAACTCCAGCCTTATCTGGTTGCTCTGAATTCTCCTCAAACCTATTAACAATATAAGACGCATTACTAGAGGAATATATCTCGTTCAGACCTTCCCTCAGAGAACCGATAACAGAAGTCTCATCAGAAAAGAACACCTTTCTTTTATCGGGCGTGACATTCAAATCACATGCTCCACCTGGCACAACAAAATCCAGAATGGCAACTGGATATTTCCGAGAACTTGTATCTTTATATAACTCATTCACCAATTTGCTGACTTTTGGCATATCTACAGGCCGACCATTTATAAAGAAATACTGTCGATCTGCCAAATTGCGTCCAGTACCCTGTCCAGGCTTGGAAAGAAACCCTTCAACTCTACAATCTTCTGATATACATATACGTACAGGCAGTAGACTTGTAAAGGTGTTCATGCCGAAAACTGTTATGATATTGTCTTTAAGTGAACCCCTCCCTTGTGTGTTCAGCACAACAGACTTAGGGTTTTTCCCAGTTGTGTTAGAGCAGACAAACCGCACCCCTTTCGCAATAAGTGCATATGCCTACACAAAGGAAATACAGGAGGAAGATCATTGAAGAAATCATTGGTCATTACTGAAACAGAGATTGAGCAGAAGTCAAAAGCTGATTCTAGCAGAAGAAATTGAGCTTAAAACCGTCTACATAGTAAACATAATTCCCCCACCACAAATATAACTTGAGTAAACAAAAACTTCAACTAGAATCGTGCCAATAAAACTGATCAACCATCCACCATAAAAGATAAAAAAAAAAAAAAAAAACTTTCGAAAAACATCAGTGAAACAAAACTCAATGTAAAACATCAAACAGTAGAAATTCAGGGACCATTGAAGTACTACTCAGGAAGACAAAAACTTGATGACCCAGAAAAGTGTGAATATCAAAGAAGTCAGTAAGAAACTCACATTCAATAAAGATACAAGCTTCCCATATTCTTTGCGTATATTGCGCTTAAACTCTTTGCTTCGTACAGGTAAATTAGAGAACAACTTCCTAACAGTGACAGTGGTACCAATTTGGCGTGCAGTCTTCTTTTCAGCAGTAAGCAAACCAGAATGATCAAACGTCAAGAGCGTAGCAACTGGCTCATTCTTTGATCTTGTTTCCACCGTGAGATTGCCCAATGCACAGAGAGAGCTCAAGGCTTCTCCTCTAAAACCATAAGTAGTCAAATTCAGAAGATCTGTGAAATCCTCCAATTTAGAAGTATGATGCTTGAGTGCTAGAACCTGTAGGGCAAAAATCAGAATCCCAAATCCAATTTAATAGTTTTACAAAATCGGAGATTTTGGAAAAACAAACCTTGAAATTGGTTGGGGAAATGCCACAACCATTGTCAATGACCTGAAAGTAGTCTTCGCCGTAGTCTCGGAGGTTGATCTCTATACTGGTAGCTCCGGCGTCGAGACTGTTCTCCACTAGCTCCTTGACGGCAGAAGAGAGGTCTAAGATGACTTGACCGGAGCAGATTCTGTGAATTACGTTTCTGTTAATCGGTCTTATCAAAGGAGAGCTAGTAGTCGTCGGAGACGGAGAAGGAGACGAATCTCCTTGCATTTTCAAAATCCTATAAACCGATTAATCTCCTCAATCGAATCAACACCACCGTACTCTGAGTGTGAGAAACCCTTTAGGGTTTATGTTTTGCCGCCAAAATCGAAGGTGAGAGAAATTGTGAGGATGGAGAAGAAGAAGAAGCTTTTGCGTTTTGGGAATTCGTGTTTTTAACAGTGGGACGCAGCTGCACATTGCGATATGCGTTTGGCGTTTTGCGTTTTGAATATGTTGATTTTGATGTTAGTGGACTTAAAATTTAAAGCCCATATCAGCTCTTGGGCTCAGACCTAAAACTTCTGCCCGTTTTGACAGATTTACAAGTAGTCGTTTGGGCCACGTAATTCATTTTAGGGCTAAAGTCAGGTTAGGGTTTCTTCTTGCTTTGCTAAATAGCGTTCCCTCAATCTCACTCTCTCACATAGTCTCTACTTCTTGACTGTATCCAATGGCGATTAAGCGGAAATGTCAAGATATTACCGTCATAGCCTCCTCCTCAAGGAAGGTGAGTGAGAAATTTTTAAACCTTTTCGTAGATTTTGGAATTGATAGGGTTTCTAAATTCCCTGGGTTTTTTGCAGCTAACGCCGAAGATTCTGAAGGTAGCTTATGCGCAGCAAAGAGAGGTCGAGAATGAAGAAAACGCAGAGACAATCCCAATGAGCGCCTTTTTCAACAATACATAAGCCGGTAAAAGAAGATTTGTTTGACATGCCAGAAGTTCCAATGGAAGAACTTGAGCCACATGTTATATTAGCGTCAACACTTGAACTTGAAGTCGGTTTCTTATGCTGCAATGCTTGTGCAAACTGAAAAGCTCTTTTAGCAAGCATAGCAGACAGCCTCCCAGCGCCACAAATAAAATAGAAACTTGTTAAAACTTGAAAGACTGTTTTATTATAGCTGAAAACGCTTACCTTCCAAATATGAAGATGGAAATGTATATCCGAGGAGAAAAACTAAGACCTAGCAAGTTCTTTTTCTTCCAAAATATAGACCTTCACTTGATTCTAGTCGATTTTTTTTGTTCCTTTTGTTATGCTTACGGGTCGTCTAGACATAGATCGTAAAGCGTACAATGCACACACCTTCCAGATAGAGAATTATGTCCGCATCTTTAAAAGATCCGAGCCTCTATATACATACGCATGTATTTAGATTATACAGCGAATGTTTTTTTCATCTTATGTTGAGAAAGAAAATGAATTAGACAAGCAAAACGAACAACACCCTTTCTCTCTGTACACAAATTTATAAATTAAGCGACCAAAATGAGATAAGAAAAATATCCGAACACGAGAGAGATCAAAAACGAACAAATCTCTCTCTCTCTTCCTCTCTTTTGTCTCTTCTACATGAAGTAGCTCAACGACGTCTTCTTCCTCGATCCTCCTTCACCATACAGCTCGTTCCATTGCTGAAGCTCGTTCATGTTCGAGGAGTCTGAAGAAACACTTGCGCATACCTACATGTTTTTGATCATTTAGCTTTCTTTTCAATTTATATTCACAATGTGAAACTGATTGGCTTCTTAGGTTTGGACTTACCTGATCATGGGCAGCCTTGAAATCGTTCATTGTCAGGGGACGAACATCTGTGCAGCTATACAATGGCGGTGTGGGACGGTTCTCAGCCTGAGCTACAGTTTTCTCCTGTAGTCGAAACAACAGTCCGTATAAAAAGAATTGAGTTCTGAGAGTAGAATAAATGGCCTTTCGATTCGAAGCAATGCATTAAATAGAAACTAAACCTTCTTTTCTTTCTCCAGTATTTCTCGGATTGGAAGATGTGCTGCGGTCACACACAGATTCTGCAACCAAAAAAGAATGTGAGTGTGTTTTTTGACAGTGGAAGGAGATTGAGAGGGAAGGAGAGAGAAAGTGGAGACCTTTAAGTCACTTCCTGAGTACCCATCTGTCATATTTGCTATAGCTTCTAAATCAACGTCTGGTGCTATTTCTTCTTTTGCTAGAATGACGCTCAAAATCTTTGATCTGTTCGTTGCATCTGGAAGATTAACCATCAATCTGCATAGAAGTAGTATGCAGGAGAGGCTCAACAATGGTTCCAACATGAGGAATATTCTTCACAGCTAACAGAGAACAGAGGAAAAAGTGGTGGTTTTACCTCCGAGGAAGCCGTCTAATAACAGCTTCGTCTAGATCAAATGGTCTGTTGGTGGCAGCGAGTACCAGAACCCGTTCTCTATCCTTTGTTCGTAAACCGTCCCAGTTTATCATGAATTCGTTCTTCATCTTGCGCATAGCTTCATGTTCCCCAGGATTTTCACGTCTACCCAACATGCTATCAACCTAAATTATAATTTTCCACAGTCATCAGATCGAGAAAGTACATAAAAGATTGGCTTCAAAGGTGAGCGAACATAGAATGCTTTTTAATCTCTTCAAACATACCTCATCAACAAAAATGACACTGGGCGCAATCTTGCTCGCTAAGGAGAAGACAGCTTTAACGTACTTCTCTCCCTCACCAAACCACTGCAAAGCATTTAGCATAAATGGTCAATTACAATCTTTAAAAGAAAGCATAAAAGGAAATCAGTCACTTTATGAGAGATACCTTCGAAGTGATGCTAGACATTGAGATATTGATGAAATTTGCGCCAGCCTCAGTTGCTACTGCCTTTGCCAGCATTGTCTTCCCAGTACCAGGAGGTCCAAACAACAGTATACCTTTCGTAGGCTGCATTAAACAAAAAATATATGTTTGGTTCCAGTAAAGTGGGAGTAAGTGTAACAAACATATGTGAATACGTACGGCAATCAAAAGGTACCTTTGTGAGCTGGCCTTTGCCAAACAATTCCGGTCTCTGAAGAGGAAGCATCACCAACTCCTTCAATGTTTCTTTCACATTTTCCAGAGCCCCAATATCATCAAAGGAAACACCTATATCGCTAGGTGGAATGACATCCGACAACAGTTTTTTCTCAAATTCGTTCTCAGTAACAACATCCTGAAACAGTATAGTAAAGCAACTCTTAATCCGGAACTTACTAGGCAGCTCGGGAAGAAAGAAATTAAGTTACATAATATTACCTTGAGAGACTTCTTTAAACTCTTGTTTTCGTTCTGAAGATCATGTAACATCTGCAGGCCATATGTAATGCTGCAACAAGTGCCAAAATGTGATTTATAAATCAAACATGTATCTTAGCTACAGTATCACACAGCCTATACAAGAAAGCTCACCTTTCTGCAGAGATAACAAGCTTGTTGTCTTTAACTATAGGTTCTTTGCATATCATAAGATGGTGACCGAAAGCCCAGCCAACCACTTTTTCAACACCTATTAACACATACAGTTTTTGGTTAGTCAAACAACCGGCTTATCAAGACAACATACAGAAAGAAAAAAGCAAGTGAATGAGGCCTACTTTCAGATGGAAGGGTTTGATCTTTGATGCACAAGGTTCCAAGGTCAGGGCAGTCAAGTCGGTTTTTGGCGAGGACCTGTAGGCATCATTATAAAGACATAAGCAAAAGAAAAAATGAAAAGAAACAAGGAACGCTTAGATTATTGAAGGACATGATTAGAAGATGCTCACTGCAAGGATGCTGGTTATATTAGCCTGAACCTTCAAAATCTCTGTGTCACGGTCGAGTTTCTCCTTCCAATCCGAGAGTAAAGCTTCATCCTATCACGTCTTATGAGCATAAGTAAAAGGAAAAATCAAATTACCCCAGACAAGAAGAAATGAATAAAGGTAACAACCTGAGGTAACTGGATGGGGACTTTGTTAGGAAATAGTCGAGTTATTTGTTTCATTGATTTAGGTGTTTCTTTGCTTCTATCGTGCAGTTTACCAAAATTATCCTGCAGATAATATGAGAAATCATTTTCAACATCTAAAAAAGATACCAAATCTAAGATGACTTTGGTGAACCTTACCATTAAGATAGAATTATTTAGGTACATTACTATTTCGAGAAATTGAGAATAATTCAAGATAAGTCAGGTCATCATACCGGAAATGCTAGATCCAGTAGTGCCGTCTGATTGCCACCAAACTTAGTAAACAAGAAACCTCCAGGATGGGACTGAAAAAGAACCATCAAACCTCTAATTAACTATACAGATAAGCAAATTAAAACCAACTTAAAAGATACGAAAACAGAAATAGAGAAGACTGAATAAGTTCCCTACTTTCTCCTTTCGGCTGTCCAACTGGGTCTGTGAGGCCATGACAACTATATTTTCCGGTAAAGTCTCGAGCTTGCTCTTCAAGGTTGCATACACATCACTGTTCCCCACAAGAGATTTCTCAATATCTTTCAGGAACAATATTAGTGACCCTCCTTCACTCTCACTATATGCGACCTATGATATGAGTCAAGAGGTTAACTATCCTGTATCTACAAGCCATAAGTAGTTATCCCATAACTTAAAGTAAAAGCTACCTCAAAGATTTCATTAACGGCGAGTTTATCAGCATCATCGCTAGAAGAACCTTCTAACCGAAGTGAGCTAGCTGCACACAAAGAATAATATTAATAAAGTTCACTTTTTCAGTGAGGTAAAGTTAGAAAAAAACAGCCCGCCGATTACCAGCACAGAAAAAACCATGGTCTACTTCGCAGAGGCCACCAAGATCATTGCCATCTTGTACAGACCTATCGAATCTAATCCCAATTTTTGAAGCACAGTTGTCTTCAAATGCAAGGAGTACTTTTCCCTGGAAACCAACGGCCGGTCCCCTATATTATATAGCAGGGGAAAAAGTAAGAACTAAGTTGTGAATACAACAAAATTTACAGCAGATGTGAAAACTTCAAAAAAAAAAAACAATACCTAAGCGGGCCTTGAAGAGAAGAAATTGCAGAAGCCGATGGACCTACAAATTTTACTCGGTCACCTGAAAATGATAAAATTGCTTGTTCAATAAAACAGGAAGAGAGGTACATCAAACGAAGGATAACAGTCAGATTACACAAAAAAAAAAAAATAAATAAATAAATAAACCATCATGCCTGCTTTGAATGTGTAACTTTTAGAAGTTGCTGTTGACACTTCTTGTTTTGGCAAAGCCTGAGAGCTTAATGTTGAGCCACCTGTTATATCAGCATCAACACTTGAAGTCGGTTTCTTATGCTGCAATACTTGTGCAGCCTGAACAGCTCTTTTCGCAAGCATAGACAGCCTTTCACGCCTAGAACCTTCTTTAGAAGATTCAGCTTCCCTGGCTGGTGATCCCTGAAGCCATCCCGAAACAGTACAAAATCAATGACTTCACTGGAATGAACAAACCTACTACTTATCAAGGAGCCTGTTGGAAAAAAATGTCGGGTGGGCACTGTGACAGGTAGCATCAAAGCTATTTGGTACCAAAAGTCAACACTACCAGTTAATACCCACTTGCTCAAGATGCAATAAATTTTCTAATAAATAAAACAATATTGTAATGTATATATACATAAACCCAAATGCTATTTACATTAGTAGTAATATAGCTGAAAAATCTCCTGACTATTAGGATTTTTTTTCTTTTTGAACAATCTTTGCGGATCAAGATGTATAGACCTATGTATCTATGTAGAATCCGGTTCATGGACCTCATTTTACTAGATGACTAAGGTCTGTCAACTAGAAGAAACAGAAAAGAAAAAAATAAAGAGGAAAAGAAGATTACCCCAGGCAACAAAAGAGAGTCAACAATCATCAATTTGGCCCCAAAATTTTTAGCAAGCGCTTTCACCAACATTTCCTGATATATCTCAGAGCCTGAAAATATTTCATATGGAAAACTTGGTTAGAAAAACAGGAATCTCATACCTTAAATATACAGCAAAAAGTAGAAATACTGCTAGTAAAGCCTCATACCTGATGGTCCAGAGAGTAATACACGGGGACACGCTGTAGTCAAGTCTGTTGCAAAATTTGCATACTTGCTTCCACCGTTCATATGGACAAACATCGATGTCATCAAAACACCCTTTGTCGCAGCACTGAGACAATTTAGATATATTTTTGGCTATAAATCATCAAACCATCAAAAGCAAGATGTATAGTATATATATAACATAATATTTAGCAACCATACCTTAAATAATATGGGAAGTTCTCAAAAGAAATTTCTATGTTTTGCGCATTGAGTACTCCTCCTCGCAGACTATCCTTCAACGCTTGGCGTCTAGTCGATATAGTTGATGAAAGGTCAAATTCTCTGAGGAATTCCCTCACTTCCCTTCGTTCATCCAGCAGTTTGGAGATGCTTCCCCGTATATCAAATGAAGAAGACTCACCAAGAAGGTGCACGATTGGTCTAATTTCATAACCAGGACCAGGAACATTTCCACCATCAGCTTCTTGAAAAGGATCCAATCCACTGCCATCGACATTCAGGTTCTCATTGGCAGTACAAGAGGTAGAAGCAGCAGCAGTTTTCTCCACAGAAGCAACAGCAGCATGGTCATTGTTACTATCAGCATCGTTCATGTCTGTATCCGAGATGTAATCATTGAAACTGGAAGGTACCACAGGAACCGCAGGATTTTGCTGCCTCTTGGCCGCTTTAGCAATTGGTGGTAGAAGATGTAAGTTGCGGTACTTTGATAGAGATGCCAATATAGAGGCCCCATCAACAGCTGAGGAGTCTCCTGCTCTTGTCTCGACATGAACCCCTTTCAGAGGGGCACCACGAGCTTCACATATACTCAACGAAGAAGCTCTGTCAGGAGCAGCTAGATTTTCATCTTTAAGAGGTTGAAATATCTAGAGAATGGTTAAGAAAAATTTACCAAAAGCCACTGATTTAAATATAAAAAACGTTATAAATCATTTAGAATGAATCGATAAATTTATAACTAGTGAATTTGGCGAATTAACTTTGACGCAACTCCAAAAAGGATACATAAGAATGTTTCGCAGCAATGCTGAAGATCAGCTCGTCACCACCCCGTAGATGAACACAAGTACTTTTCTGGTAACACTTGCCATTGACCTGAACAATAACTCCATTCCCTATTATCTCCAGGGATGCAACTGATGGACCACCATTCTGCAAGAGACTGTGTAAGCAAAAGACTTTGAGACGAATTAGAAATAGAAAAATCTGATGTCATTACCTCAGACTGCTTCAGTTCACACAGGGTGCTGGGCATAGTTTGGTCTCTGATAGATAGATCACATCCCTTGCGTCCAACAGTAAACACAGGGCCTCTCATGATACGGTGAGGAGTCTGAAATAGCAGAGAAACACCCCAACACAGTCAGAATAAAAGAATTATAGTCACAAACAAATTAAAAAAACAAAAGGCAAAGTCAAAAGAACATAGTGAACCAAGAGAAAAGAAAAGAGCAGGACATGCAGACAACAAAACTCTGAAGCGAAATTCGCAGACTTTTAGACAACAGAAAGAACTAATCACCTACCTCAGAATACTGGGAAAGTAGCTTCGCCCATGGCGCCTTTAAAGCCCTCTTCTTAGCAGCCTTGGATTTCTCAGCATCCGCCATCACTTCACCTAAACACCAAAACATTAGAAAGGAGGTTACTTTAGAATAGACATGGTGAGATCACCAGGACAAAAAGGGAAAACCTGCAACGGTAGGTGTCGCCAAGACTTCAACTTCAGGGTTAGCGTCGGTTTCAGGAGAGTTCTCCATCACCGGGACATCAGTGGTAACAACAGGCTTGTCCGCATCCATAGCCTGTGGATCAGAGGATCCAAGTTCCGGCTCTCCAGATTCCGATCCAGGATCCGAAGCAGGTCCTTGATTCTCGATCGGAACCTCGCTCGCCGAAGAAGAACCAGCCGGTTCCGCCGCCGCCGCCTAGGGTTTCCAAAATTCAAAAAATCAGATCCCCGGAAAAACAAGATTAAACAAACAAGAAGAAGAAGAAAAAAAAACCCAGATTCAAAAATCCAGAGAAGGTATCAAAATCTGGAATTGGGGGAAAAAGAACGCACAGGCTCGAGAGCAGAAGCAGCGGCATCGATCTTAACCTTAGATCGCTTGTTAGGCCTTTGAGAAGAAGAAGCTTCAGGAGAAGAAGAAGAAGCACAGAAACGCTTGGAAGCGGAAGAGCTACGTCTCGTCTCAACCATATCTCACGACCCTCTCTTTTCTTTCTCCGCCTTGACTTCGCCTTTTGATCCAAACAAGAACCGCTTTGGTTTCCCGATAGAGAGAGAAGAGAAGAGATTAGAGATAGGAGGAGAAGGAAGGAGATAGAGAGAGAGAGGCGAAATCGAAGAATCAGAGAGATATCATGTAAATGATTACTGCCAAGGTCAATTTATAAATAAACGTTAACCTGCTAACTTTTTTTTTATATATATATTATTGTCTCTGCGTTTAATTATTTACTGTACATTTACGGGTCAAATATATATATAACTTAGACCAGCGATATTCAACGTTTTTGCCAAAATTTGAACACTAGAATATCGAAATTTAAATCCACATAATAAATTTTGATTGATATATTTGCATATTAACTAATTTCTTTAATGTAAATAAATATATACATATTTAATTTTATATTAATTTTAATAATATGACTTTTGTTATTTAAAAAATTATAAATGTATACGACAAATTAGATCCCATAATCGATGAATGCACATCTCGCCAACGAGAAGATTCTAAAGTAAATATTGTAGTTTTGTCTATTGCGTCTGTATGATCTACATAACGATAATTCCGTTATCCATAAATTAAAAAGTACTTAGCCGTTGAAATAAACGAATCCGACAAATTAAATTTGTCGTTTTTTAATTTAAAAATCTAAAAAATTGAGTAATTGTTTGACTTCTAAACTTTTCAAACAAAATCACATAGGGAAAGCATAAACATGTAAGCACAAATTAAACTTAGCAATTTAACAGTAAGACTTATAGCTAATTTAATTAATAAATAAACTAAATGAATTTCATCAAAAAAAAATAGTTATTCCAAACTCGTGTAATAGTTTAAACCTAAAATATGTGAAATCAAGTGGGATAAAATATTCTTGGTGATTTTTACATTCAGAGAATATACATATTAGAATAAATATTTCCTTTTTAGAAAAAACATTTCACTTTTTATAATTGTACAAAAAGAGAAAGCGAGAGTTATAACTTATATTGTAGCTCCCCGCTTGGGCAAATACCACAAGCACGTATACAAGAGATAAGGAGGTAAGATTCTTCTACTTGCTTTTTCTGGAGATAAATAATTGACTCCAACTAGTAGTAGTAGTCAAATCTTTTACTTTACCACATCCAACAACACATTCACTCACTATGACGCAAACACTATGGTCAAACTCTGTTTTTATCACTATTCTTTTTTTAATGATTTATTTAATATTTCTCATAAATTCCAAACTCTTTAATTGTAATGTGATATTTTGATATAGCTTTAAGATTTTGTAAATTTAGACAAAGGGCGTTTTTGAGGCATGCATGTATAATATACCTGAATGTGTAAGTTGTAACGATGGGGGAGGAATTATTGGGAGAAAAATCTCATCCAATCTTAAGACCCAAAAAAACAACAAATGAAGTAAAGAAAAAGTCAAACTAAAATCACCCAAGTTCTCTATATAATAGAATCCTCAAGAATAGGTTTATCGAAATCAAATCAAAATGTTTGACCAAGAACAGGAAATCGTAAAGAATCTTTTTAAAGAAGAAAAAATACCGGACCGGTTAGTTCGCTGCTACACAACAACAACAACACATGTTTCGTTCGATGAACAAACACACTTTGGGAGTATCGGTTCGTCTAACCGTTGGTTTTGTATTGGGCACGTGTTCGCATGAATCCAGACTCCTAATAAGTCTTTTTGACTATATACATCCATGCATGCCAGTGCCACATCACGTGACCTTTTTGTAATTTAATTTATGGCGGTTACAATGTGAATGTTCATTTCAGGAAAATTAAATATATATTCATCACATCTAACTTTATAGAAATATATAAATTATAAAATCTAGCAAATAATGTAAATTTCTGAATATCAATTTTTTTTTATCAAGTTGTGATTTTTCCTTGTCGAATACTCTAATGTAAATATGCTTCAGCTTTATAACCAAAACTTTTTAAAGATTCTTTAACAACTTTTTTCTTAAAGATATAACAAAAAAATATGATTCAAATAAAAAAAAAAAGATTCAGTCAGCATTTTGAATGCAAAAGACCAAATTACCACAAGATCTATGAACTTCACCGACTAAAAACTAAGGGTACTTCGGTCATTTATTGGAAATGAAGAAAAAAGAGTGACAGGTATAAAATCGTTAAAATTGTGTTTTTAATCTGCAATTCATAAATCCTCAAAAGTAGAAGAAAGGGGGTAAATTCCTTAAACCCTAAAACGCCATTGTTATCTCCTTCTCCACAAGTTTCGTGAAAAGTTTGAAGCTTTAGACACCAGTAGTAGCAGTGTCGTCGATGGTAGCATCAGATCAAACTTCGTTTTACGCTTCGAAGCTATCAGGTTGTTTCATCGTTTCTAACTTTTCTATTCATCTTCTTCCGTTGGTTTTTACTGGAATCGGAGATTTTTTTCTGATTGGAGAGAGATTTTCAATTTCTTACAGGACGAACTTGGGCCTCTGTTGTTTCCGGTGATGGTGATGGTAACGAGGTTGGTGCTCTGAGTTTTGTTAACGATTTCGATACCTCGTCTCAGTCTTTAGCGGGAAAATCGGAATGTTGCGATGTTGATCGAGCTGATGATCTTGGTTTATTTGACTTGGATCAATCAGTTTCTCCGATGACTGAGATTGTTACGGGACGATTCTGTTTCTTCGGAAACAGAGGGAGAAAGAATTGGGGTTGAAGAAGCTGTGAAAGAGATTGAGGAAGATAGTGTGGGTAAATTTGAAAATGTGAGTGTTGATGTTGTAGATGAGAATCTGGTTTCTTATGAAACCGAGAAAGATGAAATTGAGGTAAGGGAGAGTGAGAACGAAGTAAAGGGTTTAGAAGAAGCTGTGAAAAAGATTACGGAGGATGGTGTGGGTAAGTTTGAATTTGTGAGTGTTGATGTTGAAGAGAAAGAGGTTGTGGATGAGACTCTAGTTTCTTATGTAATTGAGAAAGAGGAAATTGGGGATAGGGAGAGTGAGAACGAAGTAAAGGGTGTGGAAGAAGTAGTATCTGAGGATGGAACCAAAGAGGAGAAGTGTTGGTTTAGTGATAAAGTCGATGATGAAGATAATATTGATCAGGTCGTAGAAGAAGAGGCTGTGAAGTTAAGAAACTTCATTGTGGACTTATTAACCACAGAATCTCTGCATGTTGATGTGGTTGATAAGACCCCCCTGAATAATCAGGAGACTATTTATACACGTGAAATTAGTGCTGAAGACATGGAAATCGAATCTTCTCGAGAAGGTGTTGTTGGAGTTGACGGGTCTGAAAGTGATGAAGAAACTGAAGGGATGATATTAGGGAGTTCAAAATCTGGAGAACAGTTCTTGGAAGAGTTGGAAAAGGTTTCTTCTGGTATTCAAGCCCAATCCGATGAAACAAACATTCCCAACCATCACGTTGATAGGATTGATGGCCAGATTTTCACTGATTCTGACGAGGAAGTAGACACGAATGATGACGGTAAGGAGAAAACCTTTGATTCTGCAGCTTTGGCTGCGTTTCTAAAGGCAGCCACCAGTGGAAGTTCAGATGGTGGTAATTGTAGCATATCGCAGGATGTAATGAAGCTTTTTTCTATGGAACATCCAGCTGGTCTGGGTTCCTCTTTAAGATTTGTTCAATCTGCAGCCCCACTTCCAAATCATTCCAATATCTTTCCCAGTCTAAAAGTTCAAATGGGTGGAGAGAGTGAGAATAACTTGAGCGAGGAAGAGAAACATAAGTTGGAAAAATTGCAAAGTATGCGTGTAAAATATTTGCGTCTTGTGCATAGGTTAGGGCAGTCTGTAGAAACTTCAATAGCAGCGCAGGTGCTTTACGATCTTGCATTTCTTACTTTGAGACATTCTGGTCAGTCGTTCAGTCTTGATGCTGCAAAAAAGATGGCTATGGATTCTGAGGCTAAGGGAAAAGATTTAAATTTCTCTCTAAACATATTGGTCCTTGGAAAATCCGGAGTGGGGAAAAGTGCTACGATAAATTCCATATTGGGTGATCAGAAGGCATCAATTCATGCATTTCAACCATCCACCACTTCGGTTCTAGAAATTTCTGGAACGGTGGATGGTGTCAAGATCACAATCATCGACACTCCGGGCTTAAAGTCTTCTGCCATGGATCAAAGCGCCAATTCCAAAATGTTGTCTTCAGTGAAGAAGATAATGAAGAAGTGTCCCCCTGATGTGGTTCTTTATGTTGATCGTCTTGATGCTCAGAATAGAGGCTTGGACAATATGCCCTTGCTAAGGACGATTACTGCGTCTCTTGGTACATCCATATTGAAAAACGCCATAGTGGTATTGACCCATGCTGGTTGTGCCCCTCCTGATGGCCCCTATGGCACTCCTTTGAGCTATGATGTGTTTGTAGAACAGTGCTCACATATTGTTCAACAGTCTATTGGACATGCCGTTGGTGATCTACGTTTGATAAACCCAAGATTACTTAACGAAGTTTCTCTTGTTGAGAATCACTCGTTGTGTAGGAAGAACCGGAAGGGAGTGAAGGTTCTCCCGAATGGCCAAACTTGGAGACTGCAGCTGTTACTTTTGTGCTACTCTAAGAAGGTCATTTCAGATGCACGTTCTCTATTGAAGCCTCCAGAAGCATTGGACCATCGTAAATTATTTGGTTTCCAAGTTCCAGCGCTGCCTCTCCCTAACTTGTTGTCTTGGCTGTTGCAGTCCCGTGCACATCCTAAGCTCCCTGCAGATCAAAGTGGTGATAGTGTTGATTCTGATATCGAAATTGATGTGTCTGATTCTGAGCAGGAAGATGGGGAAGATGACGAGTATGAACAGCTGCCACCATTTAAGCCTCTTCGAAAAACCCAACTTGCAAAACTCTCAAAGGAACAGAGAAAAGCTTACTTTGACGAGTATGATTACCGGGTAAAGCTTTTGCAGAAGAAACAATGGAGGGAGGAGTTGAGGAGGATGAGAGAGATAAAGAAAAACGGGAAGAAGAAGGTCACTGAAAGTGAGTATGGTTACCCTGAAGAAGAAGAGGCTCCACCTGCATTGGCTCCTGTTGTATTACCGGATGTGGTCTTGCCACCTTCATTTGACAGTGATCACTCAGCTTATCGTTACCGTTGTCTGGAACCCACTTCCAAGCTTATTACCAAGTCAGTGTTGAACCCCCAAGGCTGGGACCATGATTGTGGACTTGACTGTGTTATCGCAGAACGGAGTCTCGCCATAGCTAATCGATTCCCTGCGGCAGTTAGTGTCCAAGTGACCAAGGACAAGAAAGAGTTCAACATTCATCTAGACTCCTCTATCTGTGCTAAGCACGGGGACAGTGGATCTACCATGGCAGGGCTTGTTATCGAGGGAAGTGAGCAACTTATGTATACGTTAAAAGGAGAAACCAAATTCAAGAACTCAAGGAGGAATGAGATGACTCTTGGAGGGCTAGTGACATTCTTTGGTGGGAAAATTCCCAGTGGTCTCAAACTCGAGAAACAGATCGCCTTGGGAAAACGGGTCGTCCTCGTGGGAAATGCAGGGACCACACGGTCACAAGGAGACTCGGCTTATGAAGGAAACCTTGAGGTCAGGCTTAGAGAAGCTGATTTCCCAATAGGCCAAAACCAATCCCATATGGGAGTGTCTCTAAAGAAGTCGAAAGATGATTTAACAGTCACAGCCAATGTACGACATCAAGTCTCTGTTGGAAGACAAACAAAGGTAACAGCTTTTGCAAGTCTTGACAGCAAGAGGAATGGGCGTTTAACAGTCCGAACCAGCAGCTCAGATCAGTTGCAGATTGCTGTCATGGCTCTTCTTCCCCTTGCCATATCAATCTACAAGAGGATTTTTGGATCAGGAGATAACTGAGAATGCTCTTTAGGATTAGGGAGTTTTAACTTTAAACAGAAATTAAACAGAAAAGCCTTTCGTTATGAGAATTTGTGGAAAAAGTTGATTTCTTGTTCTATTGAGATGATTATCTGGTGTCAGTGTGTCACTAATTCATCCCTTTCTCTTGTTGTTCCTCGTATTATCAAGAGAAGCTTGCTAATTCTAATTATGTTTTTGCCAAATTCGATACCTTTGATTGAAATTATTATTACCAAAGACTTGGACTTTTGTAAGAAGTAATGAATAGGAATTTATAAATAGCTCGTAAAAGAAATAGAGAAGAAGCCCAAATAAAATAATGGAGGATGAAGCAGAGAATTTGAGAGCAGCTTTTGGCGATTCATCGGATGATGAAGATCGGCCGGGAAAAGAAACCATAGGGATCGGAGATTCGACGGTATGGGAGCGAGTGGAGGAGATAAATGGTTTATGGCTCTGTAGAAACTTTCTCTCTATTGCTCATCAGTCTGATTTGCTCTCCGCGATTCTAAACGGTACCCTTGGCTTCTTCTTTCGTTTCCAATTCTTAAATGTTGTTGTTGTGTTATCGATTGTTTTACTAAAGTTTGTTAATTCAAAATTTCTGCAGAAGGTTGGTTCATTGAAGAATCTATTAACCAGGTACTAAACCCCAATCATCTGTTTCGTTGATTTCGTACCGAACCCAGAATTTCGTTTCTTTTCTTCCCCCATGATCTTACTGTTCTTTCCTTGGTTACTTGAAATCAATGTTAAGGGTTTAGCTTCTTACTTTTTTAGACAAAAAAAATTACAACTCCTGCTTGCATACTTGTCTATCCATCCGCTTTAAACTGGATTGCAATCTCTAAAACCTTGTTTTAATGGAAATTGTTAGATTGCATTGATCCAAATACGCTTTGGTTGGTGTATGAATGAGTGAACATAGTCTTTTCCTAGGCGACTTTTGTTTCCTCTTGAAGTGATTTTAACATTTGGAGCCAAATTGTATGGATTCTGTTTGTTTTTTTTCTCCTTATCAAAATTGGGTAACAAAATACGCTTCATCACTTTTGGGTTTTAACTGTGATGCTTCTTGGAATTAAGTGTGACATGGTAAAGAAACTAAAGCTTCTGTCTTTTTCTTTTCGGAAAGGCGATGAGATTTGGTGATCTCCCTTCATGGGCAACAGAACTATCTGATCTCATACGCCAGACTATAGAATCTGTTGATCTTACAGTGTTGCCTGCTGATTTACTGTGGAGAGAACCTCTGTTTGATCAGCTCATTGTCAATTTATACCAACCAGGTGAGGTGCGGTACTTTCACTTTGCTCTTAGCATCTTTCTTACTTAGTAAACACTTTCGCTCTTCTTTAGTAGAACCACGAGATTTACAGCTTGTCATGGTTTCTTGAAAGATTAGAAATAGATAATTTAAGAGAGTTTCAAAATGGATGAAAGCAGATAATTAGTCATAGGTTACTGAGACATTAGATCATGAATTCGTGACAATGCAAAAAACTGGATGATCTTTAATAGGGGATAATGCAAAAAGCTAAAAGAACCAATGGAGTAACATCTTGTTTTGGTTTCATGGAGCATTTGAATTAGATAGTTTAAGAGAGATTCTCAATGAGTGAAAGCCGATAACCAGTCATAGACAGACATTAGATCAAGATTTAATGACAAAATGCAAAAAAAGCTGGACGATAGTGCAAAAGCTAGAAGAACCAATAGAGTAACAGTTAGTTGGTTTAAGAGAGTTCACATTGGGTGAAAGCAGATCATTAGCCATGGACTATTCAGACATTAGATCAAGTTTTAGTGACAATGCAATGATCTTTCAACAGGGAATTTGTGCACATGTTGATCTGCTGCGTTTTGAAGATGGAATTGCCATTGTCTCTCTGGAGTCACCTTGCGTGATGCGGTTCAGTCCCACAGAAAAGGAAGAAGATGAATATGTGGATAGGGAGAATAACTAGAATGACCCTTATATGGGGATTAATAACTAGAATGACTCATATCTTTTAATAATAACTAGAGTGTTTTCGTTTTTTTTTAATCCCCAAAATACCCCTATAAAGCTTTGTAGAGAAAATCATAATAACAGAAATGCCATTAAAAAAAAAATGCCAGCGAGGCAAAAGTTGCCGTTATTTACAGAAAAACCTGTCATTATTTACAGTTTTGCCACTGATCTCTGCGAATTCAAATAAATCTGTAGAAAAAATCTGCCACCGATTTTATAAATCTGCTACCGATTTATAAAATCTGCCACAGATTTTATAAATCTGCCACCGATTTATAAATCTGCCACCGATTTAATTGTACCGTTATCGCTGCTTTGTTTTCTTGCCGATTTGTTTTTGAACCACAGATTTGTTCTACAGATTTATTTCCACCACAGATTTAGTATACAGATTTTTTCATAGGTTACTACCGATTTATAGGCTATTACAGATTTTTTGTCTATCACAGACTTGGCTTACAGATTTTATTTGATGACATCGCAGATTTCCTAGGTTTCGCAGATTTATTTCCACAGATTTGTTTTTCTTACAGACTTATTGTCAATCACGTTTATGCAGACTTATTAATAGTGCCTACCGACTTATGGTAAGTCTGTACGTTGTTGCAGATTTGTTACTGCAAAAGATAATAACTAGACTGACTCTTAGTGCTCACCGAGTTTTACCCCTTGACGGCAGATATATTATGAATCACAGATTTATTTCCTGCCATCGCAGATATATGTGTCGTAGTTGTCGCAGACTTAATCTAGACTAAACTACCTTTTTAGTTGTCACAGACTTATACTCTACAGATTTGTTGTTCAACTTTGACCGCAGATATAGTTTTACAGACTTATTTGAAGACGCCACAGATTTGTTTTCTTGAATCTAAGATAGAGAAATCTCGACCGTCCGATTTAGGGTTTGACCAATCCTTACCTTATCTTATCTTCTTCTTTAGTCCGTTGTCTGCAATTGTTTTCTCCTTCAGAGCTCGATTCTACCTCTTCTTTCTCCTCTTTATCTTCTCATTACCTCTTTATCTCCACAACTCGATTTCAAACATCTCTTTCGTTTCTAAGATGGAGCAGATTATTCTTGTATGTGGGAAATGGATCTATGAAAGAAGGTGGTTGTTTATTGTTGATAACAAGAGAGGATCTCGGATGTTAGCAGCTGGTGATCGAAGCCGTTATGAAGATTTCATTGAAATGGTGTATGAAGATTTCATCAATGGATTTCCATACATGCGGAAAGTGGTGGTTGTTGATGGTACATTTTTGCAAGGAAAGTACAAAGGGACACTTCTTACCGCTACAGCTCAAGATGGTAATTTTCAGATATTTCCTGTTGCTTTTGCGGTGGTTGACACAGAAAACGATGAATCGTGGGAATGGTTCTTCAAACAACTCAGTTGTGTGATTCCTGATGACGAGGGCCTTGCCATGATTTCAGATAGGCACCAATCAATTGCAAAAGCTATTGCAACAGTATATCCGAAGTCAAGTCGTGGGATATGCACATACCATTTATATAAGAATATATTGGTCCGTTTTAAAGATCGGGAAGCGTTTGGTTTGGTGAAAAAGGCAGCCAATGCTTATAGACTTGTTGATTTTCAGACAATATTCGATCAAATTCAATCGCTACATCCAGAACTTCATAGTTATCTCCAAAGAGCTGATGTACGCTTGTGGACACGTGTGCATTTCCCTGGAGATAGATACAATCTTCTTACAAGTAACATAGCTGAGTCGATGAATAACGTTCTGTCTCAAGCTAGGAGTTTGCCTATCGTACAACTGTTAGAAGTTGTGAGATCCATGATGACAAGATGGTTTTCAGATCGAAGGATTGATGCAATGAAAATGAAAACATCTCTTACCCGTGGAGCAGAAAAATTGCTTGAGGTAAAAAATTGCTTGAGATCGAAGGAATCTCGAACTCTGCACGACGAGGCAATGGATTAGTCAATGCTACTTCTCCTGTCGGTGGAACTTCCTCAAACATCTCAGCTCCTAATCTCTCCCGCAATGCCTGAATGTTCTCATCGTTAAGTCCATCAAATTCCCATCCTAAGGCTAGACACTCTATGTACTTCAAAGTGTAGACGCCGCAATCCCCTGTGATTACATTACGTGGAACACCGGTCTTTAATCTGTAAATCTCAAACATAGATGTGTTCTTTTGGCGATCTGCATCAGGTACCATGACATTTAGCAACGCAGGGAGCATTTTACGAAATGGCTGACATGCTGTATAGATGTCCGCGTCTATCGCATGAGTCGGGATGGAGTCATATACGTATATCTTCTTCCTCGGGAAGTTAATGTCTAGTGCGATCCAATGATCACCTTTAACACTTACACAAGCGTACAAATTATCAATTTCAAACCACCATCTCTTCTCTGTCGCCGAGTGTCGCGGAGCAGTACCATTGAAATGGTCCATATAAGATTCATGAAACATGAAGGTCTTCTTGTTGTAATTCTTGAAATCTGAAACCATCATACTACTGAACCATTGATCCATGAAGCCTACCCTCTTGCGAAAAGGTGAATCCTTACGCATTGACCTTTTACGAAACATGGTCATTGCATCATCCATATGCTGGAAAACAAAAACAATGTAAACATATTAAAAAATCTGTGACTGCAGTTCTTTTTAAAGAAAGTCAGTGGTCATAGTAAAACAAATTGGTAAAAAAATCTGTGACCGCAGTTCTTTTTAAAAACAAGTCTGTGGACATAGTAAAACAAATCTGTGATGAAAACTAAAAATCTATAGCCAAAGAAAAACAAAAGAGAGTAGTAATACTAACAGAATCACGCAACCATCCGTAATCGTCTTTAGGCCACTGATCCCTAGGAGTAATAATCTCCTTGTAGAACTTCACATTTGTATTGACGCTTCCAAGGGGTTGCTCCCTATAAAAAACCAAGGTAGATGATGAACATTAAGTCAGAAAATAGGTTTATGTTTAGTATGTGAAAGAGAACAAATGAACACATACTCATCATCATTGATGTATTCCATTAATTTGCGCAGTTTGCTTTCTTCAACCATCTCCATAGGATCGTAGTCGTACAATGAGGTAATAACACCTGGGATGATGCGTTTAACAGTTGAGTTTCCAATGTATGGTAACTTCTGAGAATTGGCTAACTTTGGCACTCGTTTGGTCAGTGGTGTTGTGTCATCTAGGAGGTTGGAGTGTAAGGAAGCAACCACATTCTTAACCGCCTTATCAGCGATGTCTTCTTCATCACCACTTGATGCCATTGTATGCTCCTCTATGAAATGTTTTTCAGTTACATCTTCAATATCGCTTCCATAGTCGATGTTTTGTTTTTTAGCCTTCTCATGCTTTTTGACGACCTCCTTCTCTTTCTTCACAACAACCTTTTTCATTTCTTCAATCTTTCTTCCCCTTTTTACCGATGCAATATTCTTAACAACTTGTTTAAGAGGAATGTCATCAGGATCCTGTAAAATCCCCTTCGTTTCAACTACCATCCACGACTGCACATTTAACCAACCAAAAATGTAAAGTGTGTTAAATCAAACAAAACTCTCAAACTTAAAAGATTAATCTGCCATAACTAACCGTGGATGTTTTACTATTCACTTCATCAGCTTGACCCTTCACTTCTCCCTCTTGCAGCTGTTTGATAGCTTCCTCCATTTTAGCAAACTTGGTTTTACATGTTTGATCAACCAGATTGATTTTTCCATCAATGTTTCCAACTTGGGTGCCCAAATTTGCTAGTGTCCCGTTGATTGTTTTCAGCATTGTTAGGAGCTGTGGACATATTAAAAACCAAATAAATCTGTGGTCAACAGAACAAATCGGTGAACATATCAAAATAAATCTGTGAACATATCAAAACAAGTCTGTGAACGTATCAAAATAAATCTGTGGTCAAACTAACAAGTATGTGTCTTAGAACACACTAACCTCTGAATCTTGTTCACTTATTTTGACCTTCTTCTTCTTAGCAGGAAGTGACTCTTTTTCTTCTCCGGAATCCTAGACACATTTTTCAAAACAAATCTGTGATCAACAATTCAAAACTGTGAACATATCAAAATAAATCTGTGAACATATCAAAACAAGTCTGTGAACATATCAAAATAAATCTGTGGTCAACAAAACAAATCGGTGAACATATCAAAATAAGTGAACACTTCAAAACAAATCGGTGAACATATCAAAATAAATCTGTGAACATATCAAAACAAGTCTGTGAACGTATCAAAATAAATCTGTGGTCAACAGAACAAATCGGTGAACATATCAAAATAAATCGGTGAACAAATCGGTGAACATATCAAAATAAATCTATCAAACTAACAAGTATGTGTCTTAGAACACACTAACCTCTGAATCTTGTTCACTTATTTTGACCTTCTTCTTCTTAGCAGGAAGTGACTCTTTTTCTTCTCCAGAATCCTAGACACATTTTTCAAAACAAATCTGTGATCAACAATTCAAAACTGTGAACATATCAAAATAAATCTGTGGTCAAACTAACAAGTATGTGTCGTAGAACACACTAACCTCTGAATCTTGTTCACTTATTTTGACCTTCTTCTTCTTAGCAGGAAGTGACTCTTTTTCTTCTCCAGAATCCTAGACACATTTTTCAAAACAAATCTGTGATCAACAATTCAAAACTGTGGACATACTTAAAATAAGTCTGTGGACATATCAAAACAAATCAGTGGTCATATCAATTTAAGAGACATGTAAAAACTTGCCTCTGAATTTAGGTCAACACCTTTGATCTTCTTGTTCTTCTTCTTAGCATGAAGAAACTTTTTTTCTTCTCCAGAATCCTATACACATATTCCAAATCAAATCTGTGGACATATTTAAAACAAGTCTGTGTGAGCAAATTTGTATCCTAGTAAACACAAACCTCTGATTGTTGTTCAGATCTTTTGATCTTTTTCTTCTTAGCAGGAAGAGAATTCTTTTGCTTCTTAACTCTCTCTACTGCAGGCCAACCATTTGGATCCAAACGGTCTTCAATGATATCTTCAATCAACTTGTGAAGTAATGGGTCCCGGTTATTTGCATCATCGTCACTCCACTTAGGGTACATATCATGTAATGCAACAGGAACCATATGCCTCACACGAACCTCCCCATGTTCAATCTTCTCATCTGTTATGAAGTCTCGAAAGAGGAATCTCGGACGAGATCCTATCCAGTTAAGTAATGGTGGACCCGGAGAGGTTTCCCTTCTGTTGCCATACAATTCTGCTAAACCGGGAACAGATTCAAACACCCATATAAACAACGCATGAACACATCCATGCAATGTGTAACCGGTCCCTTCGTAGTTAACAACTTTAATCGAGCCTACCAATTCAGTAAAACCAACTCTCCCCCACTGGTATTTTTCAAAGCTCTCTGGATCTAACACTCTTTTCGCAAAACTCAAAGGTATCCTTGATCCGTGATTGTAGCCATATATTCCAACTTGTAGGAGAAATAACCTTCCTAGCATCATCTTCTTCTCCTCACTCCAACCCTTCTCGTGGCAAATGTCTAAAGCAGATTTCAGCTCATCCAAAGTAGGTCCATTCGCAGTACTAACTTTCATTTCCTTCCAAAACTCTCTATGGTCAGCATCGAACTTGTCCAATGGGTCAAATGGATCACAATTTAAACCTGTGATTTCTTCGAATTCATGTAGCGAAAATCTCATAGGTTGACCATTAAGAACAGACCAAAACTCATGGATGGAAGGGATACTCAACTGATTCGTAAGGAAGTAATGTACAATCTGCGCTGACCATATATACTTCTCTTCATAAAGCTTAAGAAACACCCCAAGTGATGATTCCTTCAATTTACGCCACACTTCATTTCCTAATTTCTTTTCCAAGTTATCAAAGCCACTCAAATAACAACCATGGTTAATGCTCTTTTTTTGTATCGGAGATTTCCCTTCTTCATATTGTCGAGGAGGGTAAGACGCCATTCGTTCCTACATATACACGAAAACAAATCTGTGAGCTGCAAATTTAGTTACTCAACAATTAAGTCTGCAATCACAAACAAGACACGCTGCAAACTTCTAACAAATCTGTGAGAACTCTGTTAGTTAAAAACCTGTGGTAAACAAATTCAGTTGGTAAATAAATCTGTGAACATATCAAAATAAATCTGTGAACATATCAAAACAAGTCTGTGAACATATCAAAATAAATCTGTGAACATATCAAAACAAGTCTGTGAACATAGCAAAATAAATCTGTGGTCAACAGAACAAATCGGTGAACATATCAAAATAAATCTGTGAACATAGCAAAACAAGTCTGTGAACATATCAAAATAAATCTGTGAACATATCAAAACAAGTCTGTGAACATATCAAAATAAATCTGTGGGTACTCTATGACTTTTATTAAAAAATATGTGGTAAACAAACTTCGTGGGTAAACAAATCTGAAATCTGATCTGAAATCAAAGCATCAAAACTAAATCTGCAACCACAAGAAACAAATCTGTGGGTACTTTTTGACGCAACCATCTGATTTTGCGATTAGGCCACTGATTTCTAAGAGTAATCTCCTTGTAGAACATTAATCTGAGAATCAGAGAGAGACAAATCCAAAAAATCTCTAAAAACAGAACACAAAGAGAAGAGAAAATAATAGAACTCACTGTAGATTCACCGGAAAAGAGGACGCCGTCGGAGAAGACACAAAATCTGTCGTCGAAGAAGAGAGGACGACTCGCCCGAGAAGACAACGCCGGAGAAGACGAGTCGACGAAGAAGACGAGTCGACGAAGAAGATGAGTCGCCGACGACACAAAATCTGGCAACGAAAGAGAGGACGACTCGCCCGAGAAGACAACGCCGGAGAAGACGAGTCGACGAAGAAGACGAGTCGACGAAGAAGATGAGTCGCCGACGACACAAAATCCGGCAACGAGAAGAAGAGAGGCCTCGCCGGAGAAGATGATATGCTCACCGGAGAAGAAACGTCGGTTTGGGTTTGCTCACGGGAGAAATTTTCAACCTTTTAGGGTTTGGGTTTTGTGTGTGTCGTTTGGGTTTTCTGTATGTTATTTTGTCTGTATTAAAATGTTTTATTTTTATTTCTTTTCTTTTTAATTAAGCTAAAATGGCAATTTCGTTAATATAAACTAAAACCAGGTTAGAATGTCTTTTTACAAAAGATTTGAGTCATTCTAGTTATCCATTCCAAAACAGAGTCATTCTAGTTATTTCATATAATATATGGGTCATTCTGAGTAATTTTCACTATGTGGATATTTTGTTGAGCCCAGGATCTCTCATTCTCATGTCTGGAGAAGCTCGGTATCGATGGAAACACGAGATTAATCGAAAGCAGAATGGGTTTCAGGTATGGGAAGGAGAAGAAATTGATCAGAAACGAAGAATCTCCATTACCTTGAGAAAGCTATGTCAAGCGTAAGTGTGTTAATCAATCTGATTTGAATCTTTATTAGAGGGGATACCTTTTTGTAAACGTGATTAATTGATATGAACTTACAATTTGTTTTATTAAAAATTGTTTTAAATATCTTATTATATAAACTATATTTGAAGCTATGTTTTAGTCTTATTGGTTGATAGTTTGATAAATTGAAGTAGAAATTTCGACTAAGGTATACTCAGTTTTATAATATAAGAGAATTACTGATAAATATATAAAATATATCAAAATGAAAAGGAGTGTACTCATTTTTATAACTTTTTTAATAATTTAGAAATCGTTTATATTTGATTGTATAAGTGTAATAAGAGATTCAATCTATACTATATAAAAGTCGAGGCTATAAGCTTCTGAAGCCGTCCACGTAGGATTTTAAACCACCAATCGTGGTTAGACACCTCATCAGTTAACATTTTTATACACCATGATAATTAACATTTTTGTACACCATGTTAATTAACATTTTCTTGAAACTTTCTATATTAAAATATTATTATTATTAAAAGAAAAAAGAAAACAAAATATATGGAAATAAAATAAATATAACCTTAAAGATATGGAATCTATGCAATTATAATTATGTAATCTTAAGCTCAATCCCATAAATATATATTTTAAAAAATGGTAATTTTATTAGTGTGTTTCCGTTTTCCCTTGGATAACAATTTGATTTTGATGAATAGCCAACCGAAAGCTCCGGTTAATTTGAGTCTCATGCGAGACTATCTCACGAGATTATATATGTTAATATGATCCTGAGAATATATGTTAAATTTTCAAAACAATTAAATTTTAAATCATCCATATATGTTAATCATTCAAAGATATTTTATAGAAAATATCAAAAACCTAAAAATATGTTAATCTTAATTTTCGTTTAAATGAAAGGAAAAATCCTATTAAAAGATGGGGAAAATAGAAGTAAAACACAAAGACAAATAAGTTAATGATAATTCAAGAAACTTTTAGTCCACAACAAAAGGGAAAAATTATATTTATCAGTAAAAAGAAAAATAGAAAGTTTATAAATTCTAAAATTAGCTGTTTATGTATAAATAGTAATCTAAAACTGATGATGGAACATGCTGCATGAGCGTTTCATTGAGGCATTGTTACATGGTCGATCTTCATTAATGCAGACAAATAATGGATGTTAGGACGTCAATGTATTTTGCTTACACAAAGAAAATAGTTTGTTTTCTTTGAGTTCTAATGGAGTAACTAAGAATAACCTTGGTTGGTTTGGTCGGATTAATTACAAAAAGACCAGTTGTTACATCACAAATACTTTATCCTACGTGGGTTATGTACATAGTGATGAAAGTTTGATAAATCGACTTTGATTGATATATATTAAAAGATGCTATTCTTTTTTTGGTAAAAAAATGTTACCTTATATGAAGGAGCGTCTTATAAAAGCTCTTGAAGAAAAAGCCCACATGTAAGAGATATATATTAGTAGTTGCGATAAAAATTGGTGTCATTGGAGTGTCTCTGAGAGAACAGTTTGATAAAATACCATCATGATGGTAACTGCTAACACCACATGTTAGTCATCTTCTAGAGACATGGAATGGATATCTTTGTCAAGGAATTTTGCCATTGGATATAATTTCCAATAAATTTTGATAAATCTAAAAGAAAATAATAAAACATAGCAACTTCATCACCTTTAGATTTTTGATTTCTAAAATATCTTTCTCTCTAACCAATAGTAAATCGTTTGTAATATTCTTATATTCACCTTTTTGATTATATCAAAATACTCTTACATAAATGAGAGAATCCTAAAATCATCTTAAATTTACGTCAAAACCAAAATGGTGTTGTGGTCAGAGATGGTCTAATAAAAAAATATATTTTCTAAAAAATTTTTTCAATTAGTAAGCAAATTTAAAATATGTGAAAATACTACTCTCTTTTTTTCTTTCAATTAGGTTATTAAAACGGCGATCATAATTAACCATCACGATTAACCATTTTTAAGGAAAAATTTAAAATTAACTATTGTAAATAAAATATATTCATTTTTTAAAATGACGGTTTTTACTTTTATATAAAACTAATACAATTTTAATTTTTTCGGCCAAGCCTCTAATATGTTTGAAATTCTATGTTTTTCATTAAAAAAACAGAAAAGTTTCTAGGCTTTTATAATAGCAATGACTAAATTTGCCAATATCCCCACTTAATCACAATTAGGAATCGGCATTTTGGTTTGATTTCGATTTAAATTTGATTCGGTTATTTCTATTTTAAAACACATTAAATCTCTAACCAAACTCACTTCGCTTTGGTTCGATTTGGTTTGGCTTAGTTTTGTTGGGCTTGATAAGGTTGTTATTTAAAAGAATTATTTATAAAATTGAAAGAATGGGAATAAATTGAAGCAAGAAAAATAAAAATTTTATTATTGGGATAAAAATAATAATCATATTAGTCTCACTCAATAGAATAGTTAATCAAGATGTAGGTAAATAAATTTCAAAAAAAAAAAAGTATACAAGCAAGAGGTACTTCATAATCTAGGTTTGATATTGAAATATTAAGATTATTTTAATCATAAATGTTTAAGTCTTTTTTATATACTTGAGTATAAATAAGTGAGTGAATCTATACTATTAATTGGGAAGCACTCAAACATAAATAACCTTATAAAGTGTAAAGTATTACAAAAATGCCATTGGTTTTTGTTTTTAAATAAATTCATTAAAAATACAATAATAATCACAAAATAATATATTTAAATAAAAAATAGTAAAATTCTTTAAATAATTATTAGTTTCCAAAAAATTAAACTCACTATCTCTCTCATATTAATTATGGACGAAAATTTAATTTTTTTTTCTAAAAAGTTGTTAACCAATGATAATAAAAAAAACTAAGATTTGATATCCAACTAAAATTTTATCTAAATTCTAACCAATCCTAATAAACTATTCTATATCAAAAATAAAAAGAAAAATAATAACATTTTAATTCAAAATTAAAAACACTATCGTTTAAAAAGTTTTATCAATGGAGGATTTTAAGATTGAATTTAAAATTTTGTAAAAAAATTAAATACAAATATTTAAGACTCAGTTTTGTTATAATATTTTTACAAATTTTGAAATATAAAAGAAAATTTTATTTCAAAATTTCTAAAAAAATGATATTAGATATTAACAAATATTTATATTTACTATGAAATAAACTCAAATAATGATAAATTTAAAGTAATTATCATTATGGCATTCGTTTAGAGCAAGTTTCGGAAATATCTAAACAAAAGATTGTACATATTAATTTCGAAATATTTTGTGTTTTCTTTTTTCTCTTCTCAACCGGATCTTCCTTAAACAAATCCCTAATATATTGCACACAGTTTTCGAAATAATGTGAACTAATTATATATTTTGCATTCAAAACAAATTATGCAACAATAGCATATCTTTTTTATAGATGTATCTCAAATTTTAATTTTAGTCCCAAAAACCGAATTAATTATGATTAAACAATGAAAACAAAAAATATGCAAAATTTAGCTAGAAACATTAATAAATTTATTAAAATATATTTGTAACTTTAACGGCATACATATTAATCCGCAAAATTCACAATATATATTGTAATATTGTATAGTATTTAAAGGTAAGCAAACAAGAATTTGGAATATGATTTTAATGGAATAAAATAGAAATATAAATTACGAGACGAGATGGGAGGGGAACATATATTAAAAATCAAACTAAATACCCAACTGGCATGAGTTCGGGTTATGAGCACTATATAAAATAAATTTGTTTACACACATAACCTTGTACATACATTTTCAGTTACACATACTCTATTTATGACAGATATGGGACCATAATATTTTTATTTTACGTATACGTGACACGTTATGGGACAAAGAATTTATGACAGATATCGGACGGTATATTTTCATGTTCCAAAATAGTTACGCCTAGCTAATATACATAAAATAACCTAAACTAAAACCAAATTCATATCCTATTTAACATATGTAATCAAACTGTTAGAATTGTTTTGATTAATTAAGAAAATAAAAATGTAACACCATTTAACTTTTGCAACTAAATTAGTCCTGATCTTAAAATATAATTATGCATTAACGTAACTGAATTTTGTTCATTACTCTAACTTTATAATATTTATACTATTACGAAATTCATTAACACAACAAAATATTTTATCTTTTTAAAATCTATTTAACGATTTCTATAAAAATATCTC